GACCGCCATACACAAAGTGTAGGGAGGATGAGGTCTGACCGATTATATTACGCAAACGTAGTCTCGCAAAGGCGTCGTGACCGTAACGATAATTGAGTTGTTGGGTGTGTGTTTTTTCCTTTTTTTTTTTATGAAGCATCTTTCTAGAGTTTGTCTCCGTGGATGGTAATGCTTGTGTCTTCGATCTATTACGTCATCACCATTGTTTTCTGACGTTACATACCAATTAATCGAACCCGGAACCACAGAGTTTCATGATGGCGTTGTCCAAAAAGTAGTCCCGTGAAGTAGTTTACCCAGGTCTCGTGTAGTGAGATGCACTAGTGGTATCTATGGAAGGCGGAATAATTGCTGAGCTTGACTGGGTGGAGTCAACGTAACAGGAAATAATGGCATGGGGAGGGGAGGGGGAGTGTCCCACAATGCGCCGGTAAATGTCAGGTGAGCTTGACACGCAGAAGTGAAATATTTTCCTCTGGGGGGTGGGGAGGACCCCCCCCCCCCGAAGAGTTGCCTGGAAGAAACTCGTGTGGGGGGGGGGAGTCGTCACACTCTTAGGGTATTGGGGGAATTTCAGATTTTTTAAACGACGTGTGACAAGGCAAGGGGGTTCTGGATTTTTATGACAATACAAGGCTAATCTGTGAGGTCCTTTTGAGGTAGGGGTTCTGGATTTTTGTGACAATACAGGGCTAATCTGTGAGGTCCTTTTGAGGTAGGGGTTCTGGATTTTTGTGACAATACAAGGCTAATCTGTGAGGTCCTTTTGAGGTAGGGGTTCTGGATTTTTGTGACAATACAAGGCTAATCTGTGAGGTCCTTTTGAGGTAGGGATTCTGGATTTTTGTGACAATACAAGGCTAATCTGTGAGGTCCTTTTGAGGTAGGGGTTCTGGATTTTTGTGACAATACAGGGCTAATCTGTGAGGTCCTCTTGAGGTAGGGGTTCTGGATTTTTGTGACAATACTACAAGGCTAATCTGTGAGGTCCTTTTGAGGTAGGGATTCTGGATATTTGTGACAATACAGGGCTAATCTGTGAGGTCCTTTTGAGGTAGGGGTTCTGGATTTTTGTGACAATACAGGGCTAATCTGTGAGGTCCTCTTGAGGTAGGGGTTCTGGATTTTTGTGACAATACAAGGCTAATCTGTGAGGTCCTTTTGAGGTAGGGGTTCTGGATTTTTGTGACAATACAGGGCTAATCTGTGAGGTCCTCTTGAGGTAGGGATTCTGGATTTTTGTGACAATGTTACTCAGGATGGACGAGGATGAATATATTTTAAAATGAGTTATGTCGTTTATATATGACCCATATTTTGCTACAGGAAATGTGTACCCTATACTTGTGTGTGATGTGCGGCCTTTACTAGTGTGTGATGTGATATCTATACTAGTGTGTGATGTGGTGTGCAGATTTTTCTAGTGTGTGATGTGATGTGCAGCCTATACTAGTGTGTGATATGCCCCCCCCCCTGGCAAATGACTAATGATGTACATAACCAATATAACAGTTGAGTTTTTAAACTCGCTGGTAGACTTTCTCGTTAAATTTATTTGACTTTTGGTGGCGCCCCCTTGGATGCTGTCACGTGGTGCTGCCCACACCCCACCTCCACCCCCGCCTTGTGACGCTACTAATCACATTTAAAAAAGAAATTCCCGAACGTCTCCGGCGAGCCCCGCAGTACGTGTGCCTAGTCAGCACACAACTACAAGACTAGTTTATCACCGCAGTACGTGGGCCTAGTCAGCACACAACTACAAGACTTTAATTGCTGATAATTGGGTCGGGGCGAGCCAGTTGTATTTGAACTTGTATATTTGTTTTTAAAATGTAAAATAAACACACGCTCCGTGCAATTTAGGACGGCAGCCCACGTGATGTTGACAATAATTTCTGTGACAAGAGCTCCATGGTAGACTGGCGTGTCCAGGGGGCCAGGGAAATTTTAAAAGGGGCCCCCAACCCTAAATTAAAATTTTCAGTGTGCCTTTTTTTGTCCATCGATTCCTGAACTTTACGCCTTGGTAAGAAGTAACGACCATTGTAAAATGGAGAAATACCAACAAATTATAATTTAAATATCTGAACACTTATCTTATAGGATTATTACAGCAACATTCCGAGGAAATCACCGTGATTTTTTTCCCGTTAGACAAGCAGACCAGTCCACCCATGTACACATTTGTCCCTTGGCTGAACGTACTATCATAATATAGTATTTGTTTGGGTGTTTTGGCGACTCGTTTGAGAATTTAACTCTTTTGGAGCAGAAAATATGACATTGCTTTGTTTAAGAGTCAATTAAATGATTCTCTCGATATGCCAAATCTGGCCACTAAAAACTATGATGATAGAAATAGAAGAAAAAATTAGCCCATTGGGTTAGTTCATGCTATTTATTTACTTGCATGTCATCTATAGCTATTAACTCATTAAGTTTCGTAAACCGATATAAAGCTATCAATTAATGTACATAATTCTCTTTTTGTTATTGAAATGTGCCCGTTGAATGTCAAGCTGTATTTTCCGTTGTTGACACCCCAACCCAACCCCACACACCCCTCTATTTAGTCGTACACATAGCTGTTGGGTGATACATTTATTTCAATACAATTTTACGCAATAAGTTATTTGTTCGAATCGATTCCTGCCGTATTCTCTGCATGTTGCTGCGAGATTCGCTGTGGAGATATTCAGAGCGTTCCATGTCGCGGTATCGATCCGTCAAACGACTTCTTCATAATTGGAGTCTGAAAATAAAAGTGATATAAATAGCAGAGAAAAATGAGTGAGGTTAGATCGCTCTTGTTCTCAGCCCGCTGTGTACACTTTCCATCAGGTCAGGAGACATGCTATTTTTAGTAACAGCTGCATCACTAAGTTGGTTTCTAGGCAATGTTCAACAAAACTGTACGGCATACAATGGCGACTCTTGAAAACATGGCACAGAGATCTAGATCAAGCTCTATACATGAAGATTAATATTTAAGCGTGTTATAAAACTTGCATGTACAGCTAACACCCCCTCCCCATACAAACATTTTTTAACTATTTACTTTTGTTACTCTAAGTAGCCAAACGGCCACCCTTAGAGACAGATCGAGTAGCCCCAAATTAACTACAGAAATGATTGACGTTCAAAAAATGCATGGCCTATGTAGGAGATTAAAACAAAATGTAGAGAAATTAATTCAAAGGGATATTAACCTAACTGGTGGTGTGCGACATGCACTCGACGACCCAATACATGTCTGCAGCATACAAGAAGGTCTAGTATTTTAAAGACTCAAGAATCTAGAGTTAGATTTTTAAATATCTGGAACATAAAACCATCTAGAGTCTAGATGGTTTTATGTTCCACATATTTAAAAATCACTTGTTGTTATTATAAACATGTTTCTACAAATAGACACAAACGTGACGTTCAGACAAGTAGACACAAACGTGGCGTTTAGTTAAGTAGACACAAACGTGACGTTTAGTCAAGTAGACACAAACGTGACGTTTAGACAAGTAGGCACAAACGTGATGTTCGAACAAATAGACACAAACGTGACGTTTAGTCAAGAACCGAGACACAAACGTGATGTTCCGATAAGTACCATTACCAAGCCATAAACTAAACATGATGTTCAGACAAATAGACACAGGACACAGACGTTTATAGGAGTTAGTGGAAGGGGGAAGATGATAGTTATGTTATGGTATCTGAGCGTGGTTTATCTGCATGGATGTAGGTTTGACGAGAGAAATTCGTGCAAGTCGTTAATAAGAGACTCGTTCAATAAACAGCTGCTCCACGCACGGTCCAACTCATCTAGTAATCACAGAACGACGCTGAGGTTATTTATAGCCGCTCGCGACGACTTGCTTGACCCGATCCCCGAGCTTGATAATCAGAGAAAACTTAAGTGATGATTGCCAATTAATTTGGTTAATACCACTTGAGCCTAATGCTTATCTTACTCTTACTTTAGTCAACACAGCACATGGGTTCGTCCACACAACTCCCGAGTTATGATATTTAAAAAAACAACTAATGAAACTTCACTTGCTGATTGCTGAAACCAAAAGCCTTGACGTGAATTTTTTTTTTAATTTTAGTCATTTAACTAACTTAGTTCCATCAGCCGTGTGACTGCGAAGATATCTAAGAAGACGCTGTTAGAAAACCGTTTGCTAAAATAATTAATTGAAATCAAAGTTCATATTACAGTATATTGTATATGCCTAATCAACCAATATGAAGGTACAATAATAATTTGATTAAATACACCGGGAGTGATCTCCCCTAAACTTTCTGGAATATTCTTATATAAAACAACAGGGGATGGAAATTCGGGCTATAGACATGATTTTTAATCCATTTTAAATACTTAAAATTTTAAAAATAGAATTAAATCTCGTAGACAAAAGAATTGCACATCAAGTGAACGCCAAATAAAAAAAGTGCATAATAATGGGCAATATTATTAGTACTTTATAAATTTACATGCGTTTTTTGAGAAATCGGAAATAGCGTAAATTAGTACTTCCGGTCAACGGAAATTACTCAAAATTTAACAGAAGGTAGAAAATTAGATCTTTTACTTACATGTGAAATTTCATTTATCTATCTGAAATAGTACTAAAATTATAGGCTTTTGAAAAATTCAAAGTAGAAAAAGTACCACTTCCGGTTATCGGAAATAGCTCAAAAGTTGAAACGGATCTACGATTTTGATAAAATACTTATATATGAAATTTCATCAACCTAGCTGTAACTGTAACGGTAATCAAGTTATCGTGTTTACACACAGACAGACACACAGACATACGGACAAGTTTGCAAAATTATGTTTTTCCGTATCAGTGAGGTGTAAAACGTCGAGATTTGTAAAAATCTCGATTTTTTTTTTTTTTTTGCACGATTACAAGACTTTCTCTAGATCTATATACGAGAAAGTAAAAACAGTTGTCCAATGTTTAGAAGCTTTTGGTAACTAGGATGACATTCTTGTTTTCATTTTCAGCGGAAGCACGTTTGTTACCTCGGTTGTTCATCAATCGTGCTCTGTGCATTCGCTATCACTGTTGTCCAGAAATCTAGGTTTAAGATCTAAATTAAAGAATGGGTGGAACGAAGAAAAAGAAGGTAAAATAAAAGAATAAGCCTAGCTGTCAGATCAATACTTATTCAGATCCTAAATATGGTTTGCTTGAGTAAACTATTTTATTTTTAATTTAACGTGAAATGGATGGAAGCGATGCTCGCTTACCCGCTTACACGGCCTACAGTAGCCTACACGGTTGAAAATGTATTATTAACAAAATCCTTGCCTGTCATCGTAAATAATGAGCTACTTTGTTTATTGGTGACATTTTTAATACAAAACTGGGATGACTAAATCATTAACAGATCTAGATTCTAGATCTCTTCTAAGTGTCATCAAACTCCGCCTGTCCAGCCTGCCTTCTCCAGTAGTAAACGCGAACTGTTTTGTTGACTAGAAATCTAGATTCTAGTTCTAGATTCTCTAGTTTACTGAATCATTTTCATCACTGAACTGAACTGATCCAAATTGTTTTGGCAATTTATCGCTTTCACTGTGCGTAAATTGGCCGCGGCTAGAATCTAGATCTAATCTAGATTCTAGATCCAGATGTCTTGTACTTGTAATGTAATTAGGGATTTAGGTAAAAAAACACTAATCATCATATAAAAATAAAAATTACATATTCTTGTAGAGCTCAACAAAATGAAAACAAAACAAAAAAGATTTTTTGTCTAGCTCAAATAGTTTTTTTTTTGCGAATTTTTTTGTGAGGGGTGGAATCCCCTTGCTTTAGCATTGGCCAATTGTGACAAGTCATGGTATACCTGAATAAATTGAGCATAGTTATTTTACTTGTAGTTGTATTTTGTTCATATTTGCAGAGTTTAACTAGAATGATATATAGAACTTGTAAATGCTGTTGAAATTAATAAAAATAATACAGAACTTATATTTTTGTGTTGGCTTCCTCCCATAACCCCAAAAAACTGTGCTGCGCTAATATGAAAATGTTTCTAAAGCCATATTTTATATAAATACAGCAAATGAAAGAACTACAAAGTTAGAAATCTAAAGTAAATGACTTGAACACTGTTATGTGCATATAATTGCCTCATTATTTTGGGCAGGTGAAGTAGAGTCCATCTTTAAGCCATTTTGTTATAAAACTGCTGCGCAAATATGAAAATGTTTCTAAAGCAATATTTTATATAAATACAGTGAATGAAAGAACTCCATAGTCAGAAATCTAAAGTAAATGACTTGAACACTGTAATGTGTCTATAACTGCCTTGTTATTTTGGGCAGGTGAAGTAGAGTCCATATAAAAGCCATTTTGTAATAAGTGAAATGAAGTTATCAGATCAATGTTTTTATGTGTGAATCGTGTATGGATTCTGATTTTCAGCATATAACTATATCTAAGGGTAAGTAGAACTTGAATACTTAAAATTACAGTTAGCACAATGCTAGTGTATAGCAACAGACAGGTAACCTAGATCTAGGTCTGACTCTCGTCAGTCTAGAGTCTAGTCTGACAAAATTGGATTTTTAGGAAAAACATATTCTGCAAAACTAGAACTAGAGCTGAAAAAATTAAAGATGGGTATGTAAATATATTTTGAAATAAAAAATTAGATTTGTTTGCACATGCCATAAGAATGCTGTTATTAGTTGATCAAATTTAAAGGCAGGAAGATCGGGATGAAAAAATATAACAATGGTGGCAGCGTGACCTACATACAGTGACTACGTTCGGAGGGGTATAACTAATGTCGGAGTCAAAATATCCAAAAACAAATTTCATTTCCAATTACTTAAGATATGTCTGATCAGTAATCTACTCTCATCTAGAGGAATCTTTTAAAAAATCGAGATTCCAACGTATTTGAAACTAACCTTGATACAGAGGGAAGACCAAAGCAGAGACAGCATGCAATCAGGTCGCAAAGCCATTAAAACTAAGGGATAACCACTCTTCTTTTTAATTAACCTTAGGAAATGACCTTTTAAACTTAATTAATTACCATAAATTAAAAACTTATTAGTATGCAAAACCAAATCTCGTGGGTCCGGTATCAGAAAGTAATGGGCGATTTCGGGTCATGTTTTTACCGCGAACTCGGCGGATGCCGACAACCCTAATGTAATGAAATGTAAAAAAAATGTTGCCCATTGTTAAGGAATTAGCCTAAGTATTGTGATATATTTGTGTCACACTTTTTAAAAATTATTGTAGGGCATTATAGGCCTAGATAACTGAATAAATAAACCAAAATCAATGGCTAAAAAATCACTATAGGCCAGAAACTAACTTTTTAAACAGAAGTGTTTGCGAGCAAGATTTGCTATAGGCCTAGAGATCTATATTTAATTATTTATATAATTATATAAACAGCAGCCATCTGTAAAATAGAGTGGCTTCCCCTGAATCTCCCACTTTCTTGTATATACGAAGTATAGAGTAAGTCTTGTAATCGTGCAAAAAAAATAATCGAGATTTGCAACAGCTCCCACTCCCTAAGTCGGAAAAACATAGTCTTGCAATCTTGTCAGTACGTCTCTGTGTGTATGTGTGTGTGTCTGTAAATACGATTACTTGAGTACCATTAAATTACAGCTAGGTTGATGAAATTTTATATATAAGTATTTTATCAAAATCGTAGATTCGTATAAACTTTTGAGCGATTTCCAATAACCGGAAGTGGAACTTCAACTAGACTGATACTGTTAAGCAAACAATTAGGCCTAAATATCACATAAATCTCAAGCATTCTGAGCAAATAGGACTATTTATGATTCTTAGTTTAATTTTGTTACCAGCCAACAACAAACATATACTTGTTTCCAATTTGACCCTACTAGTTTGTCAGGCAAATATTTTAATCTAGTATAGTCTATACTACCAAAGTTAGTAAAATTGCTTTATTTGCTCACATGACTATATCTCCTAGCAATACCACACTATATACAAACACATCAAATTTGTGCCTACTTGTCTAAACGTCACATTTGTGTGTCAGTACTTTTCTCAACGTCAGGTTTGTTTTTATTTGTAGAAACATGTTTATAATAACTATAAATATTGTTTTCAAATTATTCCAGTTTGAAAGGGGAGCAGCCACGGCATTCATATCAAGAAATAAAGCTCTCAAAAAGCTTCAGCTTAATTTGGCAGACTTCAGGTGTGGTTTAACTATTAATTTGATTATATGTTCATTTTATGAAAACTACTTCAGTTGTTACTTCTTTGTTCTATCTGGGTGTAAAGGTCAATCTTGTAACTTGATTCGGAGCCATGTCAAATGTTTTCAAATCTAGAAGACTGGAGATAATAAGAGATAAATGTTGATTTAAAGTTAGGATCTTGAGCAACTAAACAGTTTTTAAAGCTAATATTTTTTAGTTTTGTGTGATGTTGACTTAATTATGAACCAAGTAATTGAAGGGAATAAATAGGTACATATTGTTTTTAAAATCATTGACTCACTTTTACATGTTAACAAAATATCTAACTACAATAGGTTTCTATAGTTTTTTAAAAAAAAATCTGAAATGAAAACAATGGAAGGGCAAAAATCTTAATGTTTTTGAAAACAATCTGGTACGTTTGTATAACTTGTCATTTTTGCAGAACACTGTGCATATTCAAGGGAATTTACCCAGTTGAACCCCTGCATAGGAAGAAAGTAAACAAGGGCAGCACTGCGTTAAAGACCTATTATAATCTAAAGGATATCCAGTTTCTTTCACATGATCAACTTATAAGCAAGTTCAGGGAAACTAAGGTAAGTTCTGATTTTAAATATACACAAGTAGATTTACGATGTGTTTTGCTTGTTGGCTTCCTTTTTATTGCATAACAGATGTAGAATGTTCAATTTACAAATGTTTTTTAATTATATTTTAAATAGCCTTACCAGCAAATAATGTTCTGATCTCATGCCAAACTTTCTGTGTACACAGCATTACCAGCAAATAATGTTCTGATCTCATGCCAAACTTTCTGTGTACACAGCATTACGTCAGGAAGTTGAAGAAAGCTGTGGCCAAAAAAAACAAATTTGCTGAGAGCCTTCTTCGTGACAACAAACCAGTGTATAGCTTAAAGTCTGTTATAAAAGAAAGGTATGTTCATAGCCTTGTTTTATGTCATAATAAACCTGTGTATAGCTTAAAGTCTGTTATAAAAGAACGGTATGTTCATAGCCTTGTTTTATGTCGTAACAAACCGGTGTATAGCTTAAAGTCTGTTATAAAAGAACAGTATGTTCATAGCCTTGTTTTATGTCGTAACAAACCTGTGTATAGCTTAAAGTCTGTTATAAAAGAAAGGTGTGTTCATAGCCGTGTTTTGTGTCAGTTGACTTGTTTTATTGAGTTTGAACTTGTACTTTGCTTTGATTTGTAGATATCCATCATTTATTGATGCCCTGCGAGATCTTGACGACTGCTTGAACCTCTGTTGTGTGTTTGCAACATTTCCCCACTCTAAGAAGGTCTTTGTAGAAATGGTACAACTTTGTCGCAAGAGAACAGGTTCATTTCTTTATGGTTTTTTTTTAACAATGAGGCTTACACAGGGTACATTTAATTGACTCCACTACTGACTTATGGTTTTTTTTTTAAAACAATGAGGCTTACACAGGGTACATTTAGTTGACTCCACTACTGACTTATGGTTTTTTTTTTTAAAACAATGAGGCTTACACAGGGTACATTTAGTTGACTCCACTACTGACTTATGGTTTTTTTTTTAAAACAATGAGGCTTACACAGGGTACATTTAATTGACTCCACTACTGACTTATGGTTTTTTTTTAAAACAATGAGGCTTACACAGGGTACATTTAGTTGACTCCACTACTGACTTATGGTTTTTTTTTTAAAACGAGGCTTACACAGGGTACATTTAATTGACTGCACTACTGACTTATGGTTTTTTTTTTAAAACAATGGGGCTAACACAGGGTACATTTAGTTGACTCCACTACTGACTTATGGTTTTTTTAAAACAATGGGGCTAACACAGGGTACATTTAGTTGACTCCACTACTGACTTATGGTTTTTTTTAAAACAATGAGGCTTACACAGGGTACATTTAGTTGACTCCACTACTGACTTATGGTTTTTTTTTTAAAACGAGGCTTACACAGGGTACATTTAGTTGACTCCACTACTGACTTATGGTTTTTTTTTTAAAACAATGAGGCTTACACAGGGTACATTTAGTTGACTCCACTACTGACTTATGGTTTTTTTTTTAAAACAATGAGGCTTACACAGGGTACATTTAATTGACTGCACTACTGACTTATGGTTTTTTTTTTAAAACAATGGGGCTAACACAGGGTACATTTAGTTGACTCCACTACTGACTTATGGTTTTTTTTTTAAAACGAGGCTTACACAGGGTACATTTAATTGACTGCACTACTGACTTATGGTTTTTTTTTTAAAACAATGGGGCTAACACAGGGTACATTTAGTTGACTCCACTACTGACTTATGGTTTTTTTAAAACAATGGGGCTAACACAGGGTACATTTAGTTGACTCCACTACTGACTTATGGTTTTTTTTAAAACAATGAGGCTAACACAGGGTACATTTAGTTGACTCCACTACTGACTTATGGTTTTTTTTAAAACAATGAGGCTTACACAGGGTACATTTAGTTGACTCCACTACTGACATTACTGCTGACTCTGTGAAGTGGTAGGGCAGACCAAATTAGTCACTGTTTAAATTGTCAGAAATGTGACTGTATTATTCCAATTGTTGGTTAAATTGCAAACATTTCTAAAAAGTTAGCTCATAAAAGAAGTACTTTTTCTGCATCATCATTGCTTCTAATATCTAAAGTATTTGTTTGAATTTCATCAGATTAAACACCATGGGGTTTTAAGATGGAAATTCATTCTTAAAATTTCCAAGGTAGTATCAAGTAATACAAGATGCCTTGTTATGTTCGTAAAGAAAATGTGTACTTGTTAGGTGTCTGATCATTGTCTTTTTTGAGAAGCAGATGAAGTTATTAAAAAGGCTATATATCGCAGAAGAAATGCTCTTGACATGTAGAATTTAGACAATATGGTGTATGAATTCCTTTTGTTATGTGGTGCCTGTTCATTCTGTTGAATTCCATACATTTGGTTGTTTCAGTTGAATTCCATCATTTTGTGATAGCAGCTAAGGCACTTAGAAAGGTAAGTCTTGATTTAGGTTTTGTCATTTTGATTCTTATTTTCATTTGTCTAGTTTGTGTGTTTAATATCTAGTTTTCAATAAGTTAGTCATTTAAAAATTTACTCAGCAACCAACAAGAAACAAAGTAGCTTTTGAGCCAGTACCTACCAACTGACCACCCTGCTCTGGTGTAGGTTCAACTACATTTTGTCTTGTATAAAATCCCTTCCTTCTTTGATAAAGATTCATTTTTCCCAGGTGTTTGTGTCCATTAAAGGTATTTATTATCAAGCAGACATTAAAGGAGAAACTATTACATGGGTGGTTTCCCATAAAAGAGGCTATGAGGTATGTGGGTCATGTTATTGATAAGTGAACTCTCTGTTGTCCTCTACATGATGAATGTACAATATGCAGAATTATTTTAACACTCATGTTACCACATTGCAATAGTTAAACCATTTCTCCAAGATAAATACTTGACAATGTGATCTGTTTGTTTCAGCCTCCTCATGATGTTGATTACAAAATTATGCAGACTTTTGCTGAGTACTATTGTGTTCTTCTTGGTCACATAAATATCAAGTTATTCAGTGATAGTCATCTAGTCTATCCTCCACAAGTAAGTACACATGGGATCTTCTTGGTCACATAAATATCAAGTTATTCAGTGATAGTCATCTAGTCCAGGGGTCTCCAAACTGCGGGCCGGATGCGGCCCGCAAAGTGCCCTCATCCGGCCCGCGGAGATCTTTTTGTCCAAGCAAAAATCGTTTGGTTGTTATGGCTGAGGAACTTTGCCCAGAAAAATCAAAGACATGCCTGGAAGAAACTGGCCCCCGAACTGAAATTTGATAGTTAATGCGGCCCTCGGACTGAAAAGTTTGGAGACCCCTGCTCTAGTCTATCCTCCACAAGTAAGTACACATGGGATCTTCTTGGTCACATAAATATCAAGTTATTCAGTGATAGTCATCTAGTCTACCCTACACAAGTTAGTAAGTACACATGGGATCTTCTTGGTCACATAAATATCAAGTTATTCAGTGATAGTCATCTAGTCTACCCTACACAAGTTAGTCAGTACACATGGGATCTTCTTGGTCACATAAATATCAAGTTATTCAGTGATAGTCATCTAGTCTACCCTACACAAGTTAGTAAGTACACATTGGAGGTCACTGTGGCTCTCATTTTACACCTATTTCTTGTAAATGATACTTTTTCGAATGGGCAGACTGATAAAATATTTCTTGTTTGCAGTTATTAGAACAACACTTACAGTTGATAAAATATTTCTTGTTTTCAGTTATTAGAACAACCCTTACAGTTTGATACAGATCATTGCTCAAATGGGCAGACTGATAAAATATTTCTTGTTTTCAGTTATTAGAACAACCCTTACAGTTTGATACAGATCATTGCTCAAATGGGCAGACTGATAAAATATTTCTTGTTTGCAGTTATTAGAACAACACTTACAGTTGATAAAATATTTCTTGTTTTCAGTTATTAGAACAACACTTACAGTTTGATACAGATCATTGCTCAAACGGGCAGACTGATAAAATATTTCTTGTTTGCAGTTATTAGAACAACACTTACAGTTGATAAAATATTTCTTGTTTTCAGTTATTAGAACAACACTTACAGTTGATAAAATATTTCTTGTTTTCAGTTATTAGAACAACCCTTACAGTTGATAAATTATATTTCTTGTTTTCAGTTATTAGAACAACCCTTACAGTTTGATACAGATCATTGCCTGGAAGTAGACAGGGTAGATGAACACCTGGCCAGTTTAGCCCTGCCAATCAGAACTACAGGTGAATCTGTTGATGATGATGATGAGGATCCAGAGGTGGAAGCCATGAATGCCATCAATGTGAGTGTTAAAACCTGCAGATGTTTGTGTTTTCTGATGTTGCAGATGTTTGTGTTGATGTTGCAGATGGTTGTGTTTTCTGATGTTGCAGATGTTTGTGTTTTCTGATGTTGGATGTAGATGTCTATTGCCCCTTGAATCTACCTGATGTGCTTATCTTATTGGGCCTTGCATCATCCACCACTATCTTAGATTATGGTAGTCTAGTTTCTAGTCCTGTTTTCCCCTCCTCCACAGGCTGAAGATCCAGACTTTATTGAGAAATCTAAGCTGGAGGCCAAGAGTGTCCTGAGGTTACAAAATTTATTCAAAGGTCTCAAGTTTTTCCTCAATCGAGAAGTTCCCAGGGATGAACTCACTTTTGTCATCAGGTAAGATTTTACTTCATCCTAGTCAATTCTATTATATGTGGATAAATTGATATATGTGTAAATAATGTTTAATGAGCTTCATTTGTGGCTCTTGTATGATTTGCTCAGGGCATGCAGTGGTTCAGTCTCCTGGGATTTTACAATAGGTCCTGGTTCAACTTTTGAAGAATCTGACAACAGCATAACCCATCAAATAGTGGACAGACCAGCAGTTACAGATCAAAGACTTGATAGGTACACATTGACACTATCAATTTTCTTAAATGCTTTCTCATTCTTATGTTCATGTAGTTTGATGTGGTGTTTTACTTTTCTGTGGTATATTCTTTTCATGTACTTTGATGTGCTGTTTTACTTTTCTGTGGTATATTCTTTTCATGTAGTTTGATGTGGTGTTTTACTTTTCTGTGGTATATTCTTTTCATGTAGTTTGTTGTGGTGTTTTACTTTTCTGTGGTATATTCTTTTCATGTAGTTTGTTGTGGTGTTTTACTTTTCTGTGGTATGTTCTTTTCATGTAGTTTGATGTGGTGTTTTACTTTTCTGTGGTATATTCTTTTCATGTAGTTTGTTGTGGTGTTTTACTTTTCTGTGGTATATTCTTTTCATGTAGTTTGTTGTGGTGTTTTACTTTTCTGTGGTATGTTCTTTTCATGTAGTTTGTTGTGGTGTTTTACTTTTCTGTGGTATATTCTTTTCATGTAGTTTGTTGTGGTGTTTTACTTTTCCAGAACTTATGTACAGCCTCAATGGGTGTTTGACTGTGTAAATGCTCGGACACTGCTGCCTGCTAAAGATTACTTTCCTGGGATCCCATGCCCCCCACACTTATCTCCATTTGTAGAAGAGAAAGAGGGAGAATATGTACCTGAAGACAAAGTTAAGTTCCTAAAGAGGATTAGAGGTGAGGAGTTGGATGAAGACGAGGAAGAATCATCTGATGAAGATGAAGAGGATATGGGAGATAGCTCAGAAGAGGAACCTGGTAGGTTATTTTTTTAGTTGCTGCTAGACATTCAGTAGTTCAGTGTCAACATCTTCACTTTGAAGATTGTGGTGGAAGTTAATATTTCACTGTAACCGTAAAACAAAATTTCAAGCAAAATGTATGTTCATGAATATTGCCAATCCTTATAGAACAAGCATTATTTTCTTTTTCCAAAAAATAACATTTTCAGAGTTAACAGAAACCATTTCAGGCAAGAAAAGAAAGAGAGTTGAAGAAGACAGCACCGAGTCAAAGAAGGTTAAGGTGAGCCTCAGCCTAGTCCTCAACTCTTGAGATTTGTGTCATAGCACATTGATAGACACGTGTTTACTGATGTGTTTGTTTATCTGTTTATCATGTTGACACAGTTTTGATGCTTTAGTTGCCAAATTTAATTTTTTATTGTTTATACATTATTTCTCAATATTTAAAAATATATTTTAAGCAAAATACTTGAACATATCTTGTATTATTCCCTCCTGAAAATGAACCCTTGTGTACATGAAATGTCCTGCTTGTATTTACTTGTGTACATGAAATGTCCTGCTTGTATTTACTTGTGTACATGAAATGTCCTGCTTGTATTTACTTGTGTACATAAAATGTCCTGCTTGTATTTGCTTGTGTACATAAAATGTCCTGCTTGTATTTACTTGTGTACATGAAATGTCCTGCTTGTATTTACTTGTGTACATGAAATGTCCTGCTTGTATTTACAGGTGTCCAAAATGGCTGTGACGGCAGGTGCTGTAGAAAAAGTGGACAAGCACAAATTACTTGAGCACCAACAAGCAGAGGAGAGAAGGCTGGCTGAGATGATGATTCCTAAAAAACACAAGCGTCTCTACAATAAGATCATGACCTCTCGCAAGAAGAATCAACAGGAAGCCAAGAAATTGCAAGAGAAAAAAGAAATATTGAAAAATCAGAAAAAAAATAAAAAGAAGAAATTGGTTTAGAACGGGGTGTCTGTTATTTATATAGTGAATCTGGCTAATCATATGGTTCAAATAGCAGCAAGTATTCTGAAAAATGACAGAGATAGTATTAGCAGGTTTGTCTTATTTCTAATTTATTGGTAAATTAAAAAGTTGGAATGTGTATAACATATTGCTGATATTCTGATAAAGATACTGGTTCTGATAAAGCTGGAAGATGAAACTAGATTTTCAAGTGCTGCATTTGTTGTCAATTGTTACTGTACACTCAGATTTTTAATGCCTCTTACACACATGATAATAAAATTATCAATGTCACTAATTTTGTTACTGGTTTTTGTGTTCTTTAAATCAACTATAATGGTGCTTAGTAAAGTAGGACCCCAGTTGTGACTAACATGTACAGTGACTTGAGTGTTTAAATGCACAATAAACTTTCCATGAAAAAAAAATTGTTAAACTGCATAATTCTGAAAGCGTGGTGGAGTATTTATGCTAGAGCAGAAATCTTTTTAATAACCTCATGGAAAAACAAACATGCAAGCATGTTTAGAGGCGTGGTCAAATGTTTTAAATAGACTCATTTTTACTCAGTTTCTCTCAACTCTCCCAATTTTTTTTTCACATTATTTTATTCTTTGAACTAAATCCAATTTGTGTTAGAATAATTACACAACTGGTTTTGTAAGAAATAAGACTGGGAGAGCTGGTAGTGAATAAAAGCATACAAAAACTTTGTTTTCAAACTACTTTTAACATAATGTTTTCCTTTAGACTAGTTTAGACTCCTTGAAATGAGCCAGATCTAGACCTATGAACTCTGACTTAGCAATAGTTTGCTTCAATTTTATTTACCATATGTAAGCGATATAGATGATGAAAATGGCCTTCTTATTACTAATTACAAATGTAAAATTAAATTCATATAAATAACACAAAATTTGTATACCAAACAGAATTTCTTCCAATTATCTTTTCGGGGGAGGGGGGAAGGAGGAGACTCTACCCCCCCCCCCCCCCCCCGCACGAAATGGAATTTATATAGAAAATCTAATATATATATAATTCTCTTCTTGGAGACAATAGAAAACACCAAGCTGTAAGCGCGTTCACTACCACCCCCACCCCTACATGGTCTGGTGAGCTGTGGTTCACGCTAATTGTTTACAATCGTAGAGCCGGGTTTAGTGACGGCTATTAGGGCAGATAATTTAGTTTGAAACGATTTTAAACTTAGGGGAGGTGACTAAGAGGAATTTACTTTCACGGGGGGGGGGGGGGGGTAGGGGTAAGAGGGGGGTTCGGGGTTATGGTCCTTAACGACCTACTGATAGTGTTTTAAAGCAAATATTTTCAGTGGCAGCGTTGGTACTGTCGAATTGACAAATTATGAATTACTGAAAAGTAGAAAATAAAACAACAAAATAGCGGCGTATCATACGCCGCGGGTCGGCTCGTATATAATATACCTTTAACACTTAACAGTAAAAAAAAGTCAGGCCTAGATTTATTTCTTTTGTTGATTCTTGGATAGTGAATACTAGATCTAATATTAATACGTGTTGAATGATTAGTCTTTTTAATGTCACAAATAGTAATGTTAATTATTGATTAGGCCTATCGATCAATAGTTTTTTAAACATAAAACAAATTTTTATGTGGGCCATAGAATGTAATAATTATAATAAAACGCGATCATCCTACATTGCGTAGAGTGACTTCCCTTGTTCATGTAGGGGGCAGTAAGCGAACTGCGGAAAATCATAATAAACGAAACTTAGAAATATGGCATCGTTTCCTCAAACAAGTGTCTAAATAACAGAGGATCTTATTGACTATAGAGTACAGAGTCGTAGGACTTGTTTTGTGTTTCTTTTTTTTTTTCTTTTTCGGATTATAATTATTAGATCTAGTGGCACAATATGTCATCTATACATCTTCCTAAAGTTGTTAGTCAGAGAGGAAAAACTTCATTGGATATTGAAAGAGAAAACTTCGAAAAAAGACAGGTCAGTCGGTTTCGTTCTTTGACAGTTGTTTTCTAATGATTGTTAATAATTTTAATAGATCTAGATCTTTAAGAAATTTTTTTTATAAGACTGGTTTTTTTTTTAAATTTGTATCTAGATTTCTAGAGTGAGAATCTAATTTAAAACAAATAGGCCCTAGGGCCTAGATAGAGGCTTTCATTTAAAATAGGCCCAAGGCCTAAGTACTAGTACTTTACTAGTAGCCTAAGTAAGCTAAGTTTAACAATTAATTAATAATAATTGTATTAATTAAACTAAGGTCTAACTAACAAGAGTAAGCAGACTAAGTGATTTCAATAGTCATTCGACTCATTAGAATGATTAGATCTTTATTCTAGAATCTAGATCTAGACTAATCTAGACGGACTCTAGTCTAGAATAGAGTCATTCCATTAGTAAGACTTTAGTTAGTTAGAATTTTAATTTAAAAGTCACTTTTTTGGTAATTTATCGTGATAAGTTTGTAAAATCGCCAGCGGCTAGTAATGTACGAAACAGTTACCTCATTGTCAAGGCTTTAATAGAAGTATATTGAATTACTATATTGTGATATATTTGTGTCAAATATATAGATAAATGAATAATAAACCTAAATCAACGGCTAAATATATAAATATAGGCAAGAAATTAACTTTAAACAGCAGTGTTTGCGAGCAGGATTTGCTATATAAAAAGCGGCCATCTGTAAGTTAGAGTGGCTTCCCCTGAATCTTGCGCTATAAGTCTCCAATAAAAAATAAATAAACAAGATGGCTGCTATATTAAATGAGCATGGTTGCATCTGTTGGAAACATCGCTAATCTTCATTTATTACTGAAAAGTTTTAATTCAGTTGTTTAAAAACAGGTAAATAAATGAAAAAAAACAACTTTTTTGTATTTTTCAAAACATAAACCCTCCTCAAAATGTGAAATAATTATTAAAATTTAAGGAGTCACCTGTTTTTCACATTACTAGTCGCAGGCGATTTTACGTACCTAAAACGATAGATTACCACTTTTTTTAGAGCTAGAATCTAGATCTAGACTCTAGATCTAGTTCAGTCAATCAATATTTAGATCTAGGTAGATTAATAATAATTAGATCTAGTCTTGACTTAGTCAAACATATAACCTATTAAAACATCACTATTGCTACCCTTATTCTAATGAAACGGCAGCAACACAGATAAAAACATTGAGTGATTGATGTGGTACTGTTATGTCCTGCTGGTGTTTTTATTAGAACCAACTAGGACTATAGGAATATAACTACTGTAAGTCAAACTCTAAGAAAAAATAAAACTATGCCTATGCCATTCAAAACTATGGCTGTAAGTCAAACTATAATTATAAGAATAACTAAAACTATGGCTGTAAGTCAAACTATAATTATAAGAATAACTAAAACTATGGCTATAAGTCAAACTATAATTATAAGAATAACTAAAACTATGGCCATTCTATAGTAGGGCTACATAGTCTAGCTCATGATTGCGGAAGTGTCCATTTTAGTTTGTTGCTCATCTAGTCTCTACCACTTAATATGTCTGTTCAAACAACTTAAACCCCACTTCACACATTCATATTCTGCTTGTATGGATTGAAATCTAAATAGTAACTTCAAAACTATTGAAATATCATTCAGTTCTTAAATACAAAAAAAAATTGGTTTCCATTAGTATAATATGATGAGTTTATCAGTGTTTGACAAATTGCAACAATTAAAAATTTGACATTTATGTAAATTAAGCCGTTTGAAATATTTTTTACTGAAGTAAATAAAGGAAAGGTAGCATGAAAACACATGTAATTGTAAAGACCACATGTGTTTAAATTAAATACACTTAAAGAATATAAGTATTATTATGTTTAAACGCCTGTAAAGACGACAGGTGTGTGTAAACAAACACACGTGAAGACATGTGTGTTGAAGACCTGCTAGACAGCCTGAGTGAGTGGGACGCACTAGACTCGGGCAAAGAATGTCTCAAGAAAACAGACGGCTATTTCTCTGTTTCCTCAACACAAAAATGTCGTGGTGTCTGGACATGTGACCGCCCTTTGTGTCTGACAATTTTAGAGTCAGTTCAAGGCCACCGGAAGCAGCAGTTGCTCGTCGACCAGCTGTCTGCTGCCCATACCGGCTGCTCTCGCCAGCAAGTGCCCCCCCCCCCCACTCGCCCATTATAAATCCGTAGGGAGTGCGGTGTAATTTAAATTCTAACACGTTTTTGACGGTCATGTTACAGTTTAATGCAGTCTATTTTTCATCTCCTCTGACTTCAAGGAGGGCCGTCTGTTAATGACGTCATACTTTCGATGGATAATATTTTACCTCAACCTCCCCATCGTGGCTAACGTCTAACAACCAAATGACGTCACCAGCCGAGCCCCTTCCCCCTCAACACACTGGACTTTTGTCTGGAAATTTTTCTAGCTAAAACAAAATTTAAAACTGGAAACAACCAAATTTTGGTTTCAGAAATTATATTCCACCCCCTCCCCTCCTTGAATACCATGTCACGGGTTGTCACAAAAATTGACCCCACCTCCTAGTAGTGTGACACCATACAGACTGTAGTGTGACACCATTGACAGACACCATTCAGACTGTAGTGTGACACCATACAGACTGAAGTGTGACACCATTGACAGACACCATACAGACTGTAGTGTGACACCATTCAGACTGTAGTGTGACACCATTGACAGACACCATACAGACTGTAGTGTGACACCGTACAGACTTTAGTGTGACACCATACAGACTGTAGTGTGACACCATACAGACTGAAGTGTGACACCATTGACAGACACCATACAGACTGTAAAATGACACCGGCCACCCAACTCACCGGTAGCGGCCACCCAACTCACCTGTAGCGGCGTGCCGGCCACCCAACTCACCTGTAGCGGCGTGCCGATCACCCAACTCACCTGAAGCGGCCACCCAACTCACCTGTAGCGTCGTGCCGGCCACCCAACTCACCTGTAGCGGCCACCCAACTCACCCGTAGCGTCGTGCCGGCCACCCAACTCACCTGTAGCGTCGTGCCGGTCACCCAACTCACCTGTAGCGGCCACCCAACTCACCTGTAGCGTCGTGCCGGCCACCCAACTCACCTGTAGCGGCGTGCCGGCCACCCAACTCACCTGTAGCGGTCACCCAACTCACCTGTAGCGGCGTGCCGGCCACCCAACTCACCTGTAGCGTCGTGCCGGTCACCCAACTCACCTGTAGCGTCGTGCCGGCCACCCAACTCACCTGTAGCGGCCACCCAACTCCCAACTCACCTGTAGCGACGTGCCGGCCACCCAACTCACCTGTAGCGGCCACCCAACTCACCTGTAGCGTCGTGCCGGCCACCCAACTCACCTGTAGCGGCGTGCCGGCCACCCAACTCACCTGTAGCGTCGTGCCGGCCACCCAACTCACCTGTAGCGGCTTGCCGGCCACCCAACTCACCTGTAGCGTCGTGCCGGCCACCCAACTCACCTGTAGCGGCCACCCAACTCACCTGTAGCGGCCACCCAACTCACCTGTAGCGTCGTGCCGGCCACCCAACTCACCTGTAGCGGCGTGCCGGCCACCCAACTCACCTGTAGCGGTCACCCAACTCACCTGTAGCGGCGTGCCGGCCACCCAACTCACCTGTAGCGTCGTGCCGGTCACCCAACTCACCTGTAGCGGCGTGCCGGCCACCCAACTCACCTGTAGCGTCGTGCCAGCCACCCAACTCACCTGTAGCGGCCACCCAACGCACCTGTAGCGTCGTGCCGGTCACCCAACTCACCTGTAGCGGCGTGCCGGCCACCCAACTCACCTGTAGCGGCGTGCCGGCCACCCAACTCACCTGTAGCGGCCACCCAACTCACCTGTAGCGGCCACCCAACTCACCTGTAGCGGCGTGCCGGCCACCCAACTCACCTGTAGCGGCGTGCCGGCCACCCAACTCACCTGTAGCGGCCACCCAACTCACCTGTAGCGGCGTGCCGGTCACCCAACTCACCTGTAGCGACGTGCCGGCCACCCAACTCACCTGTAGCGGCCACCCAACTCACCTGTAGCGGCGTGCCGGCCACCCAACTCACCTGTAGCGGCGTGCCGGCCACCCAACTCACCTGTAGCCGGCCACCCAACTCACCTGTAGCGTCGTGCCGGCCACCCAACTCACCTGTAGCGGCGTGCCGGCCACCCAACTCACCTGTAGCCGGCCACCCAACTCACCTGTAGCGGCGTGCCGGCCACCCAACTCACCTGTAGCCGGCCACCCAACTCACCTGTAGCGGCGTGCCGGCCACCCAACTCACCTGTAGCCGGTCACCCAACTCACCTGTAGCGGCGTGCCGGCCACCCAACTCACCTGTAGCGGCGTGCCGGCCACCCAACTCACCTGTAGCGGCGTGCCGGCCACCCAACTCACCTGTAGCCGGCCGTCCAACTCACCTGTAGCGACGTGCCGGCCACCCAACTCACCTGTAGCCGGCCGTCCAACTCACCTGTAGCCGGCCGTCCAACTCACCTGTAGCGACGTGCCGGCCACCCAACTCACCTGTATGGTCCCGTCAACAAGAGACTAATCTATCCTGTTTTTTTTTCCTACACAATGACCAGCATACCTTATCGTCTGGTCTGGTAACTTAACACTAAGATATGCCGTCATTGAGAAGTCATCGGCAGTAAACAGTTCTGTGTTCCATGTTTTCTCTCTCTTGTGTGTATATATATATATTTATATATATATATATATATATATATATATATATATATATATATATATATATATATATATATATATATATATATATATATATATATATATATATATATATATATATATATATATATATATATATATGTGTGTGTGTGTGTGTGTGTGTGTGTGTAGTGCTCAAATGTACAGGAACGCCCAGGTATACGTGACGTCATCAGGTGTAGCTCGCTAGCTCATACAATCTGGTGCTCTCCACCAAAACATCATGGGATTTCTGTGTGGGCCCCACCAAAACATCATGGGGTTTCTGTGTGGGCCCCAAAAAAACATCATGGGGTTTCTGTGTGGGCTCCACCAAAACATCATGGGGTTTCTGTGTGGGCCCCACCAAAACATCATGGAATTTCTCTCCTCTGTGGGCCCCACCTAAACATCATGGGGTTTCTGTGTGGGCCCCAACAAAACATCATGGAATTTCTCTCCTCTGTGGGCCCCACCTAAACATCATGGGGTTTCTGTGTGGGCCCCAACAAAACATCATGGAATTTCTCTCCTCTGTGGGCCCCACCTAAACATCATGGGGTTTCTGTGTGGGCCCCACCAAAACATCATGGAATTTCTCTCCTCTGTGGGCCCCACCTAAACATCATGGGGTTTCTGTGTGGGCCCCAACAAAACATCTGACTATGTTGATGTTCTAGATGCTACTCTAGTTGATGTTGTTGTAGATGTTACTGTACATGTCTGTTGATGTTGTTGTAGATGTTACTGTACATGTCTGTTGATGTTGTTGTAGATGTTACTGTACATGTCTGTTGATGTTGTTGTAGATGTTACTGTACATGTCCGTTGATGTTGTTGTAGATGTTACTGTACATGTCTGTTGATGTTGTTGTAGATGTTACTGTACATGTCTGTTGATGTTGTTGTAGATGTTACTGTACATGTCTGTTGATGTTGTTGTAGATGTTACTGTACATGTCTGTTGATGTTGTTGTAGATGTTACTGTACATGTCTGTTGATGTTGTTGTAGATGTTACTGTACATGTCTGTTGATGTTGTTGTAGATGTTACTGTACATGTCTGTTGATGTTGTTGTAGATGTTACTGTACATGTCTGTTGATGTTGTTGTAGATGTTACTGTACATGTCTGTTGATGTTGATGTAGATGTTACTGTACATGTCTGTTGATGTTGTTGTAGATGTTACTGTACATGTATGTTGATGTTGTTGTAGATGTTACTGTACATGTCTGTTGATGTTGTTGTAGATGTTACTGTACATGTCTGTTGATGTTGTTGTAGATGTTACTGTACAAGTCTGTTGATGTTGTTGTAGATGTTACTGTACATGTCTGTTGATGTTGTTGTAGATGTTACTGTACATGTCTGTTGATGTTGATGTAGATGTTACTGTACATGTCTGTTGATGTTGTTGTAGATGTTACTGTACATGTCTGTTGATGTTGTTGTAGATGTTACTGTACATGTCTGTTGATGTTGTTGTAGATGTTACTGTACATGTCTGTTGATGTTGTTGTAGATGTTACTGTACATGTCTGTTTATGTTGTTGTAGATGTTACTGTACATGTCTGTTGATGTTGTTGTAGATGTTACTGTACATGTCTGTTGATGTTGATGTAGATGTTACTGTACATGTCTGTTGATGTTGATGTAGATGTTACTGTACATGTCTGTTTATGTTGTTGTAGATGTTACTGTACATGTCTGTTGATGTTGTTGTAGATGTTACTGTACATGTCTGTTGATGTTGTTGTAGATGTTACTGTACATGTCTGTTTATGTTGTTGTAGATGTTACTGTACATGTCTGTTGATGTTGATGTAGATGTTACTGTACATGTCTGTTGATGTTGATGTAGATGTTACTGTACATGTCTGTTGATGTTGTTGTAGATGTTACTGTACATGTCTGTTGATGTTGTTGTAGATGTTACTGTACATGTCTGTTGATGTTGTTGTAGATGTTACTGTACATGTCTGTTGATGTTGTTGTAGATGTTACTGTACATGTCTGTTGATGTTGTTGTAGATGTTACTGTACATGTCTGTTGATGTTGTTGTAGATGTTACTGTACATGTCTGTTGATGTTGTTGTAGATGTTACTGTACATGTCTGTTGATGTTGTTGTAGATGTTACTGTACATGTCTGTTGATGTTGTTGTAGATGTTACTGTACATGTCTGTTGATGTTGTTGTAGATGTTACTGTACATGTCTGTTGATGTTGTTGTAGATGTTACTGTACATGTCTGTTGATGTTGTTGTAGATGTTACTGTACATGTCTGTTGATGTTGTTGTAGATGTTACTGTACATGTCTGTTGATGTTGTTGTAGATGTTACTGTACATGTCTGTTGATGTTGTTGTAGATGTTACTGTACATGTCTGTTGATGCTGTTGTAGATGTTACTGTATATGTCTGTTGATGTTGTTGTAGATGTTACTGTACATGTCTGTTTATGTTGTTGTAGATGTTACTGTACATGTCTGTTGATGTTGTTGTAGATGTTACTGTACATGTCTGTTGATGTTGTTGTAGATGTTACTGTACATGTCTGTTGATGTTGTTGTAGATGTTACTGTACATGTCTGTTGATGTTGTTGTAGATGTTACTGTACATGTCTGTTGATGTTGTTGTAGATGTTACTGTACATGTCTGTTGATGTTGTTGTAGATGTTACTGTACATGTCTGTTGATGTTGTTGTAGATGTTACTGTACATGTCTGTTGATGTTGTTGTAGATGTTACTGTACATGTCTGTTGATGTTGTTGTAGATGTTACTGTACATGTCTGTTGATGCTGTTGTAGATGTTACTGTATATGTCTGTTGATGTTGTTGTAGATGTTACTGTACATGTCTGTTTATGTTGTTGTAGATGTTACTGTACATGTCTGTTGATGTTGTTGTAGATGTTACTGTACATGTCTGTTGATGTTGTTGTAGATGTTACTGTACATGTCTGTTGATGTTGTTGTAGATGTTACTGTACATGTCTGTTGATGTTGTTGTAGATGTTACTGTACATGTCTGTTGATGTTGTTGTAGATGTTACTGTACATGTCTGTTGATGTTGTTGTAGATGTTACTGTACATGTCTGTTGATGTTGTTGTAGATGTTACTGTACATGTCTGTTGATGTTGTTGTAGATGTTACTGTACATGTCTGTTGATGTTGTTGTAGATGTTACTGTACATGTCTGTTGATGTTGTTGTAGATGTTACTGTACATGTCTGTTGATGTTGTTGTAGATGTTACTGTACATGTCTGTTGATGTTGTTGTAGATGTTACTGTACAAGTCTGTTGATGTTGTTGTAGATGTTACTGTACATGTCTGTTGATGTTGTTGTAGATGTTACTGTACATGTCTGTTGATGTTGTTGTAGATGTTACTGTACATGTCTGTTGATGTTGTTGTAGATGTTACTGTACATGTCTGTTTATGTTGTTGTAGATGTTACTGTACATGTCTGTTGATGTTGTTGTAGATGTTACTGTACATGTCTGTTGATGTTGTTGTAGATGTTACTGTACATGTCTGTTGATGTTGTTGTAGATGTTACTGTACATGTCTGTTGATGTTGTTGTAGATGTTACTGTACATGTCTGTTGATGTTGTTGTAGATGTTACTGTACATGTCTGTTGATGTTGTTGTAGATGTTACTGTACATGTCTGTTGATGTTGTTGTAGATGTTACTGTACATGTCTGTTGATGTTGTTGTAGATGTTACTGTACATGTCTGTTGATGTTGTTGTAGATGTTACTGTACATGTCTGTTGATGCTGTTGTAGATGTTACTGTATATGTCTGTTGATGTTGTTGTAGATGTTACTGTACATGTCTGTTGATGTTGTTGTAGATGTTACTGTACATGTCTGTTGATGTTGTTGTAGATGTTACTGTACATGTCTGTTGATGTTGTTGTAGATGTTACTGTACATGTCTGTTGATGTTGTTGTAGATGTTACTGTACATGTCTGTTGATGTTGTTGTAGATGTTACTGTACATGTCTGTTGATGTTGTTGTAGATGTTACTGTACATGTCTGTTGATGTTGTTGTAGATGTTACTGTACATGTCTGTTGATGTTGTTGTAGATGTTACTGTACATGTCTGTTGATGTTGTTGTAGATGTTACTGTACATGTCTGTTGATGTTGTTGTAGATGTTACTGTACATGTCTGTTGATGTTGTTGTAGATGTTACTGTACATGTCTGTTGATGTTGTTGTAGATGTTACTGTACATGTCTGTTGATGTTGTTGTAGATGTTACTGTACATGTCTGTTGATGTTGTTGTAGATGTTACTGTACATGTCTGTTGATGTTGTTGTAGATGTTACTGTACATGTCTGTTGATGTTGTTGTAGATGTTACTGTACATGTCTGTTGATGTTGTTGTAGATGTTACTGTACATGTCTGTTGATGTTGTTGTAGATGTTACTGTACATGTCTGTTGATGTTGTTGTAGATGTTACTGTACATGTCTGTTGATGTTGTTGTAGATGTTACTGTACATGTCTGTTGATGTTGTTGTAGATGTTACTGTACATGTCTGTTGATGTTGTTGTAGATGTTACTGTACATGTCTGTTGATGTTGTTGTAGATGTTACTGTACATGTCTGTTGATGTTGTTGTAGATGTTACTGTACATGTCTGTTGATGTTGTTGTAGATGTTACTGTACATGTCTGTTGATGTTGTTGTAGATGTTACTGTACAAGTCTGTAATGAGGTTTTTTTCTCCACAGACCGTGGCCCTGACCAAGGCTATCAACAACCAGGAGACACCACTGTAATGAGGTTTTTTTCTCCACAGACCGTGGCCCTGACCAAGGCTATCAACAACCAGGAGACACCAGTCAAGGAGAAACATGCCAGGAGTATCCTTTTGTTCTACTCTCTGACCCCTGGTCAGCTACTTATGTGCCGTCAGTCTCGCCCCCCATTATTCTCTGTCTGGCCGCTTTTCAATAGCGTTGCCGCTCGTAGAAATATATGTGTATATATATATATATATTCGTAGAAATATATGTGTATATATATATATATATATATATATATATATATATATATATATATATATATATATATATATATAAATATATATATATATATATATAAAAGTCAGTGGTGGCCAGGGAATGTTGGGGTCACGTGTTATTGTTGTGGCAATGTTGGGGTCACGTGTTATTGTTGTGGGAATGTTGGGGTCACGTGTTATTGTTGTGGGAATGTTGGGGTCACGTGTTATTGTTGTGGGAATGTTGGGGTCACGTGTTATTGTTGTGGGAATGTTGGGGTCACGTGTTATTGTGCAGGCTAGTAACCTCTCACAACATCCTATTTCTCCACACTCTTGTTGTTTCGTCATGTAGATCAACAAACCCACTCATGTGTATTTTGTACGCTACCCGAGTCACGCATGACTTGTGACTATGGTGTCGCCTAAGATTTTAAATTTCATAATTATTCAAGATTACTTAAAAACGATTAAAAACTAATTTTATTTATCAAATTTGATCGATTGCCTAGAAAATAATTTGTGAAAAAAACGCGTTTGTTTTTAAATGGCTACGATGATGTGAATGATTTTCAATTATACGGTGGGTTAGTTTTTTAAGGGGTGTTGTGATGCGATTGACCGTTCAGCAGAAATGTGTCATTGAGTCATCTCCTAGATTTCTCGCCATACAAATACACAGCGGGCATAATGGGTGGGCTTAGTTAGCTGTTGTCTCGATCAAGTTATTTTTTTTTTTGTATATTTTGTTTTTATCCTGCATGCTTTTTAAAAAAATAATGAAATATTTTAGTAGCACGCAATATATAATGTTCTATAGTTTATCATATTTTGAGTAAGTTCACAACAATATTAAATTAAGCAATTCACGTTTTGCTTACTTATATTATGTTCTGCTCGATATTCTCAGCGATTAGAAAAAAAATGTACAAATGACAAGCTTGCATTAAACACTAATTGTCCATTTTAAAATTAGATCGGTATCGTTGAATAATACGCAGAAATAACGATTATTAGTATACGAGCCGACCCGCGGCGTATCATATGCCGCTATTTAGTTGTTTTATTTTCTACTTTTCAGTAATTTGTGAATTTCGACAGTACCAATGCTGAAAATATTTGCTTTAAAACACTATCAGTAGGCCTTAAGGACGATAACCACCCCCTCCTTTCCCCCAACCCCTACGCTACACCCCCCCCCCACCCGTGAAATCAGCCTCCTCTTAGTTACCTAAGTTTAAAATCGTTAGAATGGTTACTAGATCTATATTGATTAGAATATTATCACAGAAAATGAAAACAAGAATATCAGAACTAGACGTCTAGGTCATGTTTTTTTTTACTCATATTTTTTTAAAAACTATTTAAAACTGGCTAATTTGTGAGAACAAATGACTATAAAGTGGGGTTATCAGAATATTGATCACGCAGTTACTGTAAAGCCTATCAATTTGTCTTACGAAAGTGAACTTCGGTTTGTAACTTAGGCTTGATGAAAATAAATAGAAATGAAGCTTTAAACTCAAAAAATTCTTTTTCAGTTTTCTTCTCTGGATCTGCAACTTTTATAACATTGATTCAGGATTAATTTTAAAAATATTTTTTTTACGGCCGATTTGATGGCAAAATCTAAGGAAAAAAATTTCATTTCGTTCGGGGGGGGGGGGGGGCGAAGGAAAATTTTTTACCACCCCCCCCCCCCCCCCCCCGAACGAAATGAAATTTATATAATTTATATAGAAAATATATACTTTTAACAGTGTCCGCCCCCCCCCCCCGAAGAAAGTTTACCGCCCTCCCCCCCCCCCCCCCCCCGAAAATTTCAAGTGCCCCCCCCCCCCCCCCCCCCCCCCCCGGAGAAAAAAGTCTGGAAGAAACACTGAAAACAACCCGTGTTTTTAATCCATGTCAACAATAATAATCGAACCCAACTCATCAAACTCGGCGGCCACCATTGCCGTTAGACCATATCGCTCTCTTATTATTGAAAAGAAAGTTTCAATTTGTAATGTATCCGTAATGCTGCTGCCCAATGTTTAGGCCTAGGCCTACAGCTTGGGTGAGATTTGAAGGCGTCCCGCTGACCTAACTATTGATGACATGCGCAATTGAGGACATGCGCATCTCATCCGTCACGTTTCGGCTAATTAGGCCTAGATCTATCTCTTGAGCGGTTATTCATCACATGAATATTTGTTGTAAAGTTAATCCCCCATTCAGCAGTTTTATGTCGCGTGTAGAAAACATTTGAAAGTTTGATGGTAAAACTAAAGCAAACCACAAAAACGTTGACGTATGTAATGACAATTAGAGCTAACACGATCTTGTCTACTCGCTTGCTGTGGCTTAGGCCTAGGGCTATGCTATATTGTTTGAGACTCAGCTGATCTAGGACATTGATACTTGTTGATTGTCTGTGGTTCCATTGTTAAACCAGTACAAGCAGATAGTATCATTTGAAGGAATGATACAATCATTGTTTGCTCTCGGTCTTCTCTCTCTCTCTCTCTCTCTCTCTCTCTCTCTCTCTCTCTCGTAAAAAGTAGACACCATCGGATATTGATTTATGCACACCAAAGCATAATCACGACAGCTGTGAAGCATTATATAGATCTAGATCTAGATCTAGCTAGGTATAGATAAATTCGGAATGAATCACCAGCCCGTTTGAAATAGTCTTTCGCTCAACGAAAAGAAATGAAACGTTTTATTGATATTAATGTAGCACAAATCTTTGTTACACCTTTTTTTTTTAAAATCTGATCTACACCCAACTCAGGCTACAGGGATTCATTTTCTGATACAAACGAGGCCTACTAGGGGAGAGTACTATAAGTAACTTAAGGTCTGACGTCTGCTAAGGCCTACCGTCAAAAGTGGAAGGGAAGAGGTGAATCATGCTTGTATTGTTGACGAAGCTTGTCCTAGATCTAAATCCTAAATGATCTAAATGCATAATTAAGTAGAGATAAGTTGGTCTACTAATGAACATTTGTAGATGTTGTTACATCTTTGCAATATGTGGGCTGCTGTTGAGGTGTTTAATAACGTAATACTAGCCTAGTGAAGTGACTAGTCTAGATCTAGATTCTAGATTTCTAGATCTAAATCTAGAATCTAGATCTAAATCTAGGTGACTAGAATCACTAGATTGACTAGAAGAATCTAACTCTAGTTCTAGATCTAGATTCCTAGATCTAGTTAGTAGATCTAGTAACATTACTATTAAATCTAATAATAAGTAATATCTCAGCATCTTAGTTACTTTAACTAACTTACTTATAAAATAATAGATTCTTTCTATAACTTAATCTTAATGCCCAATGATGGGGAATAGCAATACCTGCCCTAGCTAGAATCTTGGGCCTATCTAGTATCTACATCTAGATCTAGATATAGATCTACTATCTAGACTTTCTAGATCTAGTTAGTAGCTAGGTAGACTAAGAATACTTTTAGGTGATATTGATCTCATTTTCAATCACTATTAATTTTACGGCTGCTATGAAGTCAAATAAAAAAAAAAAATTTTTTTTATTCATGTCAACAATATGACAATATGATATAATCATAGAACCATTCTTGTCAACTAAGTGGCCTCCATTAATCAACATTTAGATCTAATAATAATAATTAAATTTCATAAATTAATAACATTATTAAAATTAGATCTAGGTGTCTACTATTTACTATAAAAACTAGAAAGTATTGATTGGCATGACTGAATCTAGGCTAGCATTCGATATCTAGATCAGCATTCGATATCTAGATCATCTAGATGGCATACTGCCAACCCTGTTCTTTGGATATTGCTGTAGAAACAAATGCTACTGGAGTTGTAGATTTTCATCTTTTTGCTGCATTTCCAACTGTTAGCCCTACATTGCAAGACTCAGGCCGATAGTAATATCATATAGTAAGGGGGTTGAAGGGTTCTCTAATACAGTTTACTCTCTGCAAAGTATGAAGGAATTAATATTTGACTGCAAATGAAGATAGCTTGCAGTAGAATTTATTTTTAAAAAATACATGTTTAATATTCAGCATAGTAGATCTAAATATTACAACATAGTATATTCTAATTTTCTAAATTAATATTATTTCTTATTAATTTAAGTCTCAAAATCTCAATTAGTAAGACTGAGTCACATATTATCTCTCTGTACATAGTCAAAGTTACTTACAGAAACTACTGTACTTAACTATATAATTAATACAATTCTGTAGGGGTGTAATGGCTAAAAAGTTTTTAGAGAAGTGCCAACCTTAACCATGCCCTACAGGTGCTATACTTGGAACTTTCCAAGACCAGGGGGGCAACATGTTCTGGTCCATCGCCTCCAAGATGCCTGTACAGGCTAACCCTATAGTGGCCTGGAAGTTCTTACAAGTTATACACAAGCTCATGAGAGATGGCCATGCTAACGTGAGTACACCTTCTTACATTCACCCATGTGTTTTATGGTTTATTTTATCAAGAACAATTACATGTAAAATGTCAACAACAGTTACATATTAAATATAATATTCTGTTTAAACATATTTAAAGATGTGATTATGCAAGCCTCAATAAAAGCTAAGGTTCTCTCATGTTTTATTTTTGCACTTAAAGGTTGTTCCTGATTCAGTGAAATATGCAAATCAAATCCGAGACTTAGGAAAGTTATGGGTAAGTCAATGTATGGGCTGATATCTGAAAACTGTTTCATGACAAATAATCCATATCATCTTTTATCCTGAGATATTTTGTCCAAAGATGTTTTTTTCTGGAATAATTTGTCTTGAGATCATTTGTCCCATCACTCTTAAAAACATATTAGAATATATTTGATTAGAAATTTTTAATCTAAAAGCAATCATTGTGGTGGTAACACATACTGATTGATCCCTGTAAGAGATTGAGATAAAGCATTAGTTGTGGTGGTAACATATACTGATTGATCCCTGTAAGAGGTTGAGATAACCAGACTGCAGTTACTAGCCACAGTTAAATAAATTGGTGGATTGCCTGAAGAATTTCTGTGAAAAGACATGTTGTTTTGATATGGCTTTGTTTGTCGTACAACTGTTAGGACCTCTATTGCTTGTTAAGATCTATTGGACTTGCCAAATGCTATTGAACCAAGGATCTACCGTATGGACCCACATTATCTAGAAAAGTTCAAGTAGCCTAATCTAAATATACTAAAATGTGCATTTTCAACTGTCAATGTTGAATTTGTTAAAAAAAAACAGATGAAAGTTCTGAAACAGTCGAACTCATCTGAACTCAAGACTTTAACATGTTAGGAAAGTGTTAACAAATCTTTAATAAAATAAATGTTTTGTTCACGGGGTGGGTTATTACATTTACTCTAGGTGACACCCCCACCTGTACAGATTTGGTGACACCACAGTGTCGGATGATTGTATGTGAGACTGGGGAAGTGAATGTTGAATACAAGATTGTATGTGAGACTGGAGAAGTGAATGTTGAATACAAGATTGTATGTGAGACTGGGGAAGTGAAAGAAAGACTGACATGATTTACAGCCATTCAATATTGGCCAGTCTGTAGTCTCTAATCTGGAGGCCACAGATGGCAATAAAAATCTATGCCTTCTTTAAAATGTTGCTGTACAGTTGATCTTTAAAATGTTACTGTAGAGTTGATCTTTAAAATGTTGCTGTACAGTTGATCTTTAAAATGTTGCTGTACAGTTGATCTTTAAAATGTTGCTGTACAGTTGATCATTAAAATGTTGCTGTACAGTTGATCATTAAAATGTTGCTGTACAGTTGATCTTCAAAATGTTGCTGTACAGTTGATCTTTAAAATGTTACTGTACAGTTGATCTTTAAAATGTTGCTGTACAGTTGATCTTTAAAATGTTGCTGTACAGTTGATCTTTAACATGTTGCTGTACAGTTGATCTTTAAAATGTTGCTGTACAGTTGATCTTTAAAATGTTGTTGTACAGTTGATCTTTAAAATGTTGCTGTACAGTTGATCTTTAAAATGTTGCTGTACAGCTGATCTTTAAAATGTTGTACAATTCATCTACACAAAAAACAGTTTAATTAATGATCACTGTACAAAAAACTAATTTCTAGGGCCACTAGTTTATGAAAAGTTGTTATACATTTGTTGTTACTTCTTGTATATAACTAAATTAAGGGCCCTATTAAAATTGTTAAAAATGTATGTATAGCTTGTGTATGTAACTAACTTTCAGGGCCACCTTAAAGAAGGTTATGGGAAGTTGATATCAGGCTACTGCAGGCTTATCATCCAGAAGTTTAAATTTCACAGAAAGGTAAAAACAATGTCATAACTTTTGCCACATTGTTTATTTAAAAAGTTTGAAAACCTTTTGTTAGCTTACCTTCATTAGTAGTTGTTGTAACTTTTAAATTTGGTCTTGTATCAGTTTCCTGGCATTCCTGGCAATCTGATGATGACTGATGAACAGTATTACAAAATATGTGGGGCAGATGTCAATAACTAGTAAGTAATATTCAGAACCTTGCAGATTTTAAAATCTATTTCATTTGAATCTTAGATAGGTTTGATTATGAAGATGTTATAATGATCCACTTTGTTCTATTTGCAGCTTTGAATTTTCTATAGATATGTTAGATTACATGGATGAGATTCTCTCACTACAACATTCAGGTTTGTCTAGAATTCAGCTTTGTTTGTTGATGTTTAAAGAGAAGACAAGTACTTGTGTATATTAGACACCCCCTCACACCTCTCCATATTTTGACCATATGATACCTTGGGCTGAGAAATATCACCAGACATGTTACAATGATCTTGATAGGAGCAATGGAAGTTTTCCATGTTCTAAAACAAGTCAATGATGCTAGATGGACATCAACCAGTTGATGTTAATCCTTGCATCATTATTGTTGATAGTAATTGGTTTTCTAAACTTTGACAATAAAGATTTTAATTAAATACTTTTTTTTTAAGTAAGTCCAACATAAATCAAATAGTCAAAGTTTTATAACTATATTAATCTTAGTAACATTGTTCATTAAAATTTTAAAATATTTAAGGGGCCTTTCAAATAATTTTGAGACTATTTCTGGTTGGGTCCTCATTTTTCCAGTTACATTGTTTAATGTAGACATGTAACTGTTTTGTCACTAACTGTTTTGTCACTACTTCAAACTTTTTTCAAGGTTAATTTATGTTGTGCCATATTGTGTTTGGTACATACGTTAATTTATGTTGTGCCATATTGTATTTGGTACAAAGGTTAATTTATGTTGTGCCACATTATATTTGGTACATAGTAAGTATGTACATGTTGTCAAACTTTTGTTTTCCCTGCAGTTTTTGGGTCACTAGACATGTCTCGCGCCAACTCCATGACCTCATCAGGACAGTGCAGGCTGGCTCCTCTCATCCTGTGTATCCTGGACTCCTGTCAACTCTACGACTACCTGGTCAAATCTCTATTTCACCTCCACTCTAGTAAGTTACAGTTTGTAGTTTCCCCATGTTTGTCATCTGTAAGATGGAGTGGGTGATTGACCTCCACTCTAGTGAGTTACAGTTTGTAGTTTCCCCATGTTTGTCATCTGTAAGATGGAGTGGGTGATTGACCTCCACTCTAGTGAGTTACAGTTTGTAGTTTCCCCATGTTTGTCATCTGTAAGATGGAGTGGGTGATTGACCTCCACTCTAGTGAGTTACAGTTTGTAGTTTCCCCATGTTTGTCATCTGTAAGATGGAGTGGGTGATTGACCTCCACTCTAGTGAGTTACAGTTTGTAGTTTCCCCATGTTTGTCATCTGTAAGATGGAGTGGGTGATTGACCTCCACTCTAGTGAGTTACAGTTTGTAGTTTCCCCATGTTTGTCATCTGTAAGATGGAGTGGGTGATTGACCTCCACTCTAGTAAGTTACAGTTTGTAGTTTCCCCATGTTTGTCATCTGTAAGATGGAGTGGGTGATTGACCTCCACTCTAGTAAGTTACAGTTTGTAGTTTCCCCATGTTTGTCATCTGTAAGATGGATTGGGTGATTGACCTCCACTCTAGTGAGTTACAGTTTGTAGTTTCCCCATGTTTGTCATCTGTAAGATGGAGTGGGTGATTGACCTCCACTCTAGTGAGTTACAGTTTGTAGTTTCCCCATGTTTGTCATCTGTAAGATGGAGTGGGTGATTGACCTCCACTCTAGTAAGTTACAGTTTGTAGTTTCCCCATGTTTGTCATCTGTAAGATGGAGTGGGTGATTGACCTCCACTCTAGTGAGTTACAGTTTGTAGTTTCGCCATGTTTGTCATCTGTAAGATGGAGTGGGTGATTGACCTCCACTCTAGTGAGTTACAGTTTGTAGTTTCCCCATGTTTGTCATCTGTAAGATGGAGTGGGTGATTGACCTCCACTCTAGTAAGTTACAGTTTGTAGTTTCCCCATGTTTGTCATCTGTAAGATGGAGTGGGTGATTGACCTCCACTCTAGTAAGTTACAGTTTGTAGTTTCCCCATGTTTGTCATCTGTAAGATGGATTGGGTGATTGACCTCCACTCTAGTGAGTTACAGTTTGTAGTTTCCCCATGTTTGTCATCTGTAAGATGGAGTGGGTGATTGACCTCCACTCTAGTGAGTTACAGTTTGTAGTTTCCCCATGTTTGTCATCTGTAAGATGGAGTGGGTGATTGACCTCCACTCTAGTAAGTTACAGTTTGTAGTTTCCCCATGTTTGTCATCTGTAAGATGGAGTGGGTGATTGACCTCCACTCTAGTGAGTTACAGTTTGTAGTTTCCCCATGTTTGTCATCTGTAAGATGGAGTGGGTGATTGACCTCCACTCTAGTGAGTTACAGTTTGTAGTTTCGCCATGTTTGTCATCTGTAAGATGGAGTGGGTGATTGACCTCCACTCTAGTGAGTTACAGTTTGTAGTTTCCCCATGTTTGTCATCTGTAAGATGGAGTGGGTGATTGACCTCCACTCTAGTGAGTTACAGTTTGTAGTTTCCCCATGTTTGTCATCTGTAAGATGGAGTGGGTGATTGACCTCCACTCTAGTGAGTTACAGTTTGTAGTTTCCCCATGTTTGTCATCTGTAAGATGGAGTGGGTGATTGACCTCCACTCTAGTGAGTTACAGTTTGTAGTTTCCCCATGTTTGTCATCTGTAAGATGGAGTGGGTGATTGACCTCCACTCTAGTGAGTTACAGTTTGTAGTTTCCCCATGTTTGTCATCTGTAAGATGGAGTGGGTGATTGACCTCCACTCTAGTGAGTTACAGTTTGTAGTTTCCCCATGTTTGTCATCTGTAAGATGGAGTGGGTGATTGACCTCCACTCTAGTGAGTTACAGTTTGTAGTTTCCCCATGTTTGTCATCTGTAAGATGGAGTGGGTGATTGACCTCCACTCTAGTGAGTTACAGTTTGTAGTTTCCCCATGTTTGTCATCTGTAAGATGGAGTGGGTGATTGACCTCCACTCTAGTAAGTTACAGTTTGTAGTTTCCCCATGTTTGTCATCTGTAAGATGGAGTGGGTGATTGACCTCCACTCTAGTGAGTTACAGTTTGTAGTTTCCCCATGTTTGTCATCTGTAAGATGGAGTGGGTGATTGACCTCCACTCTAGTGAGTTACAGTTTGTAGTTTCCCCATGTTTGTCATCTGTAAGATGGAGTGGGTGATTGACCTCCACTCTAGTGAGTTACAGTTTGTAGTTTCCCCATGTTTATCTGTAAGATGGAGTGGGTGATTGATGCATGTCATGAGAGGAATGCTGTTTTAGCAACCAAACTTGTTTCAAAAGTGTTGCACATAAAAAGAATTAATATTTTAGATGTTTTTTAGTTTATATCTTTAAATACTTGCAACAAAAACTATACAAAGATGTTTAAAACCACAGCTTGACAATTAAAGTAGTTTCTGCTTTCTACACTTTTTGGATTGATAAGCTTATAGTGATAAAGCACTGTTATCATAATATGATAGAAATAGCAGACTGAAGCACACTTGTACTGATTTTATACATCCCTCCTCACACCACATCTCAAATCAAAAGGAAGTTTAAAAAATCTTTCTTTGTGTATATAAACAGATAATTTTTTATTTTAAAATAGTCCACGCACGACTCCCCCCTTTACATTTAAGATAAAAACCTGTTAGAAACAAGTTTTCCCATCACTACAGTGTCAAGTTTAAACAACTCTAATGTCCAACATTTGTAAGAATGATGAAATAAAAGAAGATATATGGTCTTGGTGTGCATCCCTTTTTCTTTGATAACTGGCACTAACATAAGATTATACATTATCAACTCTATTGGTGGTAGGTCTTGTCATACTTCAAGTATAATCATCTGCTGTATTACCAAAGTACACTTTGACAAAAAAATGCACTTAGACCCAAGTGCACTTTGACATAGTGCACTTAGTTCCAAGTACACTTTGACATGGTGCACTTAGACCCAAATACACTGTGACATGGTGCACTTAGACCTAAGTACACTTTGACATGGTGCACTTAGACCCAAGTTCACTTTGACATGGTGCACTTAGTCCCAAGTTCACTTTGACATGGTGCACTTAGACCAAAGTACACTTTGACATGGTGCACTTAGACCCAAGTTCACTTTAACATGGTGCACTTAGTCCCAAGTACACTTTGACATGGTGCACTTAGACCAAAGTACACTTTGACATGGTGCACTTAGTCCCAAGTACACTTTGACATGGTGCACTTAGACCAAAGTACACTTTGACATGGTGCACTTAGACCAAAGTACACTTTGACATGGTGCACTTAGACCTAAGTACACTTTGACATAGTGCACTTAGACCAAAGTACACTGATTTGACATAAGCTGTTCCCTGTATAGACATGAGCAGAGAGTTTTGTGCTGTGTCCTATAATATTCAAACATGACATGTAAAAGCAGTTGCACTAACTGGCACTCTGTACATTTCAGTGCCCCCTACTAGTAAGTAACTGGAGAAAACCCCTGCTTTTGGTGCTGGTCTAACATACTAAACTCTTTATTTTATCAGCCCCAAGACATTTCTATTTACAATCACAATTTTACATAGGTTAACTAATTAGTAACAACCCATGATATGCTGTTTAATGTATAACACAATTAGTGATAATATTTTAATGTTAAAATCCCTAATAATCTACTAGTTTTAACATTTGTTTTGGTTAGTTTTAAAAACACATTTTATGAAATTTACCAAAAAGAGCAGGTATTGAATATTACAATTTCTGTTATTTTTAAAGATTTTTAAAAAATTATAAAAAGAGGTTAATCAATTCATTTATATTTCTGTTGTAGGCTAGATTTTTTGTTTTGTTTTAGCATGGGTAGTGTTCTCTCTCCTGCCTCTAGTTTTGCATGAGAATTTCTTTTCCATTTTTTATTTATATAAAGTGGTATCTAGGATGGCTAAATTATCCTACCCCAAATGGTTTTTAATATATCCAAACCTTCCCTAGATCAGTAAACCGTGCTTTATTCAACTAGTTTTGGTCCATGTCTACATAGTAAAATATTGCTTTAATGTATTCTGTTTGGTCTATGTGTACGTAGTAAAACATTCTTTATTGTATTCTGTTTGGTCTAAGCGTACATAAAACAACAGTGTGTCACTCATTTAGGTTTGGTTTAAGTTACATTGAACCGGTTCAAACAGTATTTCAGGCAATGACTAAAATGTACTAAAATGCTTTGTTGAGTGTTAAAAGAGCAGTAAAATCTGTTTTGATGGAACCATTGTTTTTTTCTTCAGGCCTGCCACCTGACACTCTGTCTGGGCACAGGGATAGGTTTCTACAGTGTTATAAAAAGTAAGGGCATTTCTTAAATGTACTTCAATATATGGAATCAAATTTTTAAATTCAGATCTTAAGTTAATCAAAAAAATCAAGTGTATCTATAAATAACCATTGATTAAATCAGTGTATAGTGAAATGGGATGGTGTGGTTGAATGATAGAGTGTTTGATTGCTAACCCAAAAGTCTTAAGTTCAGATCTCCAGATCGTCTGTACAATGTCACAGTCCACCAAGCTCTGATAGGTACCTGACTCATGTAAGTGAAAGAAAAGGTGACTGGGCATAGTGCTGACCACACTATCCATTCAAACATGAAACGTACAAACTCTGGTTCACCTGCCCTATGGACCATTATATGTGTGACACTAACTTGTTTCTAATTGAAGAAAATGTTGTTAATTGATTTCTAGGTTGAAAGAGTTCTACTTCAAGTGCAGTAACCTCCAATATTTTAAACATCTAGTCCAAGTACCAGCTCTACCTGAGGTAGGGGCACAAAAGAAGTCTGATAACTTAGTCTTTAGAAATGGCATTAGGCACTGAGTACTTGTAGAATGATTAGGCTGACAAGACTTGTGTCCACCTAACTGGGCCAAACACCTAATTTGTTCCAGAACCCCCCAAACTTTCTGATAGCATCAGACTTTACAAAACACATCAAACCTGCAGCCGTGGTGAAAGAGGTGGAGCCTGAGCCAGATGCTGACACAGATTCTGTTGATAACTTGATTGACATGTCAATACCTGAGGTCAGTTCACATTGCTTAAAACAAACTGGCAATACTTTCCTTCAATTCATGTTGTACAAAAACTATTACAAATCCTGCTCGCTAAAACTTAAAACCATTCATAAATTGAATGTAGTTGTTGAGGGGGAAAATTTAATTGGATTTACCTTTGTTTATTTTTTGTTTGTTGTCCTCTTTCAGCAGGTCCCTGAAGTGGCTAGTCGACCTCCAGAACCTGATGAGCGGTAAGTAATCAAAGGGCGGGTGGAATCAAAGTGCTGGAGGAAATGGCTAGGGGTTATCAAAGGATGGATGGAATTTGATGGGTGGATGTAATCAAGGCTGGATGTAAACAATGGGTGGATGTAATCAATGGGTGGATGTAATCAATGGGTGGATGTAGATAATGGGTCAGTGTCATCTCTGCTGTTGTAGTGTGAAATTAGTAATGATAGACTAAAAACTGTGTGTAAACAGAGATTTCCTGATAGAATACAAATTGTGTGTGTAAACAGGGACTTGCTGATAGAATAAACCTGTGTGTGTAAACAGGGACTTCCTGATAGAATAAAAATTGTGTGTGTAAACAGGGACTTCCTGATAGAATAAAAATTGTGTGTGTAAACAGGGACTTCCTGATAGAATAAAAATTGTGTGTGTAAACAGGGACTTCCTGATAGAATAAAAATTGTGTGTGTAAACAGGGACTTCCTGATAGAATAAAAATTGTGTGTGTAAACAGGGACTTCCTGATAGAATAAAAATTGTGTGTGTAAACAGGGACTTCCTGATAGAATAAAAATTGTGTGTGTAAACAGGGACTTCCTGATAGAATAAAAATTGTGTGTAAACAGGGACTTCCTGATAGAATAAAAATTGTGTGTAAACAGGGACTTCCTGATAGAACGACTGAGGCGAGAGATCCAGCAGCTGAGAGATGAGTTGAACCGTCTAAGGGTGGAGGACCAGAGGATCATCTCAGGGCTCAATGATGAGATCAGCAAGCTGGAGAAGATTCTCTCTGAGCTCAGGCTCTCAGCCAACAAGTCACTCAAGGTTAGTCTTACTTTTATTTGCTTGCTCTGCACTGAGACAATTCCCTCCCAGGTAGAAGGTACTCTATTGTTGTACTTGTCTCAGTTGTCATCCATTGTTTTCTCCCACCACACAGGAAAACGAGGGCCTTAAGAAAGACATTGAACAGCTAAAAGCTGATGCCCTGGCTGCATCCAAGTTGCCTGAAGCAGAAAGTAAGAATTCTACAATCCTAAGTTTACATCAGTTTTTTTGGTGGTCAGTGATTTGTGATCGTGTCATTCTTTAAGCTAGCTATAACAAATTAATTTACGTTAATTTTTTTTTTTACTCAGAGCATGCTAAAGCAAATCAAGAAAAGTTCCAGAAAATGAAAGAAATCTACAGCAAGCTTAGAGAGGAGCATGTTTCATTGTTACGAAATGTAAGCTTAATTGATGCTGATAAACATTTTTGTTTTCTTCAAGTTTTGCCTCCGTGAAGTAACACTTCTGCTGGATGCTTTTTTTTTTAAGTCATTTTTTTTTTTTTTGGTTCCATTAAAATTTGCATAGAAAAAATATTTGTTCTACTGACATCTTCTCAAAATAATAAAAACATTTGTTCTACTGACATCTTCTCAAAATAAAAAAAACATTTGTTCTACTGACATCTTCTCAAAATAAAAAAGAACATTTGTTCTACTGACATCTCAAAATAAAATAAAAGCTTTCCCACCAATAACTGAGAAAAAAATGTTCACTGACACATTTTTAATTTTTTAGGTTTTTGTTAATACATTTTTCCCTCTACACTGGGCTTGAAATGTCTAACTTGCACCTAAAAAGTCTTAGAAAAACCATAAAATTTTAATGCTTGGGAGAATTTTGTTTTAGTGTGTCACATTTTTAAGCAGATTCCACCCCACCATCTCCTCACTGTCGTACATCACAAACCACACACGCACCCTGTTTTGCAGACACTGAAAAATTAATTTAGATGGTCAGTTACTTTGTTAAAGGGTATCTTCTATGTTTAGTTGAAAATTCTTTTACTGCTTGATTTTAGCATGATAGCCTAACCAAGCAATTGGCTGCTGAAAAGAAAACAGCTGAAGAGAAAGATCAAATTCTAAAGGTAAGTTTTGATATCTTTAAATCTGTTATAGCCAAAATGTCTAGGTTTTGAATTAAGTTAATTTGGCCTTTAGACTAAACATGCTATTTTGAACCTAATTGTTAGCTATTGCCTCATAGAAATAAAAAAAAAACTTGTCATTGGTATTGTCATTAAGTTATATCTCTCAGCTTGTTGATTTAACATCAGGGCAGAGGCGTAGCGACCCTTCTCGGCGCCCGGGGACAAACTTTCTATTTGGCACCCCCCTCAAACTTTTGATCTGCAACCCCTCCCCCCCTCAACTTTTCGATTTGCATCCCCCCCCCCCCCCCTCAGACTTTTGATTTGCACCCCCTAAGGTCAGCGCCTGAGGACACATTGCCCCCCCCCCCCCCCCCCCCATCGCTACGCCTCTGCATCAGGCCTGTCAGTCTGTACAACTTTCTCCATAATTTTACACTCCTATTTACACTTCTGTTGAAACAGTTGCAGATTCTGCCTCTGTTAAAATCTAGGGAAAGAATTAAAAAGTTAATATTAAAAGGGCCAGCTACCCAGGCTTTTAATCTTTAAAAATTATGATCAATTTAATTGAGGTGTTTATTTGTGTTAATTTTGGTTTCCTAGTCCAGTTATCTCAGCTCCATTGTAGGCTACAGTGCTTTTTGTTTGCATGCATCTACCATAGTACACCCCAACATTGATGCTGTTCAAATTTAACCTGTACGTAGTTAGGGTTAGCTATTTCATGTTACTTTGTTAAAGTGTTTTAAGGATTTGTGGAAACAATTATAAATGCTATCAAATATAATTATGCGGAACTTATCAGATTATTATTTGTAAAAAAAAAGCATTACAATTTTTGTAACTTCATCATACATTTTAATTATTTTTTTTATTAAAAAAATATAGCACCACGTTTTACTATGTTTATAGTAATTTTAGAACACAATCATTAGGTTTTTGTCTATGGGTTAAGTTAATTTTTATGATACATAAAGTCATAAAGATTATGACTGAAACAGTTTTGTTATGTGTAGGCAAAACCATGTCCATTGACAGATATTAATGTCTGAAGCTGTGACATTTGATGTCAACATTGATATCATTGGCATGTTTGCTCTTTGAAATAGTTTCATATACTATAAACTATAGATTGGCTCTTGTAGACTTTCACATCTTTTCAACTTCACTAATAACCACTTGGTTCATTTTTTTTTTACTTCTTTTTTTTTTCTTTTTCTTCCCTGGTATTTTGTGCATGTCTTTGACTTGTTTGTGACCCTTCTTTCTCTCACCTTTGAGTGACCCCCCTCTCACCTTTGTGACCCCTCTCTCTCTCAACTCTGTGTGACCCCCCTGTGTGTGACCCCCCCCTGTGTTTGACACCCCCACTCCTCGTGTGTGCAGGAGAACCAGCTGGAGTTGAACCGGATGGTTGATGAGAAAAAAATGGTCCAGGACAACCTGCAGAAATCAGCCAATGACATCTCACAACAGCTAGCAGAAGTTAGCAGCTTCAACTCCAAGCTGGAGAAACAAAAAGAGGTTAGGGACACTCTTGTAGAGCACACAGGTGCACACATGAAACTAGTTGCACTGATGAAGGGCAGGCCAGGTACATGTTTGAGTGTAGTGTGACAACCCTTGTGGAGCATGACGACCCATCTGGCATGTAACTCACATGTTTTTGGCATGTAGCATGTGACCTTTGACTTGAGTAAGTGATCAGCTGATTGATTTCTATCAGGCTTCAAGTCTCGAAGGATTTTATGATGGCTGGCAGCAGTGTCAGGTGAGCTTTGTCAGTCAGGTAGGTCAGTCAATTGTCAGGTGAGCTTTGTCAGTCAGGTAGGTCAGTCAATTGTCAGGTGAGCTTTGTCAGTCAGGTAGGTTAGTAAATTGTCAAGTGAGCTATGTCAGTCAGGTAGGTCAGTCAATTGTCAGGTGAGCTTTGTCAGTCAGGTAGGTTAGTCAATTGTCAAGTGAGCTTAGTCAGTCAGGTAGGTCAGTCAATTGTCAAGTGAGCTATGTCAGATTTTAGGTCAGTCAATTGTCAGGTGAGCTTTGTCAGTCAGGTAGGTCAGTCAATTGTCAGGTGAGCTTTGTCAGTCAGGTAGGTCAGTCAATTGTCAAGTGAGCTATGTCAGACAGGTAGGTCAGTCAATTGTCAAGTGAGCTTTGTCAGTCAGGTAGGTCAGTCAATTGTCAAGTGAGCTTTGTCAGTCAGGTAGGTCAGTCAATTGTCAGGTGAGCTTTGTCAGTCAGGTGGGTCAGTCAATTGTCAAGTGAGCTATGTCAGATTTTAGGTCAGTCAATTCTTCATGTGAGCTTTTTCATACAGGTAGGTCATTCAGTTGTCAGGTGAGCTTTGTCAGTCAGGTAGGTCAGTAAATTGTCATGTGAGCTTTTTCATACAGGTAGGTCATTCAGTTGTTAGGTTAAAAGTGAATCTAGTTTGTGGCATCCATCAAGCTGATGCTACTGTGTAGCAAAAAGAGATGTCTTGACCCAATGCAGGATACTCCACCAGTCTGTCCAAATATCCGTCTCTTAGTACAGTGGAATCTATATATACTACTAAAAGTCAAGTTTGTTTACATGTTTGAATATTTATTTCTTTTTTTGTTTGTTTGTTTGTTTGCCTGATTGACTATCTCGCATGGTTGCACTCATCGTGGAAAGCTGTAAAATAGTATGTAGGTAGAGAACAATTTTTGTTTTAAGACAGACTGTTAATCACACATTTATTTAAAGACGTTAATTAATTTATTGATTTATTCATAGTTAAATTAACCGTATTTTTTTAAAAATGTTAATACTTTGAATAATTTTTGTGGGGATAGTGACGTCCCTTGATGTGTTTACTTTTTTGGTACAATAAAAATGGCGGACTCCATCATAAACTTTGTGACCCATTCAAAAGTTTAACGCGTTACAAAGCTAATTTTCTGCCGGCTATAACTTAAACAATACGTCCGTTTGCTGTATTTATTACGTTCCAACACTTATATCAATTTTCAACTGTCTTTTTCATTTAGTTTTACGATAAATTTCTCTAGATCTAAAGATCAGCTGTCGAATGAAAGTTATGAATCTAGCCTATTCTAGATCTAGCCTAGATCTAGGTCACTACTAGACTCCTTGTAAATTCTAGATCTAGACTTAATGTAAATTCTACATCTAGAATCTATTTCAGGCCTTAATACATCTAGAATCTATTTCAGGCCTTAATTATTTTATATAAATCTTTGTTTGGCTAATTTAAGATTAAATTTAATTTGAAAGTTACTAGATCTACTACTAGGGTTAGATCTAGATCTATGCGCGCAGACTCAAAAGTATAGTATAAAAATTCATTTGTGACGTCACGAGTAAATAGCTAAGTTGGTAGCGTAGCCCGCTCTCATGTGGGTGGCACAGGTTCTAGACCAATATGTCAATGATATTTTTTTTCAATTTTTTTTTTTTAGATGTGAATGATAAAGTTGCCTATCTGAACTTGGCAGGATACAGGGCAGGTGAAGTAGAGTTCATCTAGGTATTCTAAATGAGCCGAAAAAAACGCACTGCGCGCAAAAAAATTTGGTCGGGTTGCGCCAACGCTCGGAGATCCGATACCATAATACATACGATTACACTGAAAACTAATATAGAAAGTAGAATGGACGCCCTTTAAGATGATATGACTTTGCCCGCTGTAAAATATAATTTAATGCTAAAAATAATAGATTTAAAAGTTTCAAATTATTTTTTTACACGAAAAAAATATTTTACAGCCGGCAAAATTATATATTCAGATCGGGCGTCCAATTTACTATAAAAATGTTATAATTTAATTAACACTTTATGTATGGTATCGGATCGCAGAAATAAAAACGAACGCATACGTATCGTGATGACCCGCGCTAACTTTTGCCGGCTTAAATCTAGTTTTGCGTAATGTCACGGAACACCCCGCTCAAGTTCAAAGCAGGATTTTGTGTTTATTCGCGGATTACCATGGATTTTAAACAATGTCTAGGTAAGTTAAGTGCTTTATAAATTATTAGCTATATTCATTTTATTTATAATAAACTGCTGCTTTAAACCATTTGCATTTTAGTGTCCACTTATCGGTAATTGCTACACGCTTAAAAAAACATTTACCAAAAAATTATCTAGACCTTTTTAAAAGTTCTTTGTATTTAATTTACGATTACCAAAATAAAAAAGGAATGCACAATTAAATCAAAAAGATGTTTAAAAGAGTGATAGAATTTAATTTGTATTCGTGAATTTTATTAATTACTAACATCGACCGATTAAACTATCAATATATTGTCGATATTTCAAGCCGCTTGTCGGCCATTTTTTTTTTTTGCCTTCTCGTAATGTTGGATTCAACTATTATATTACGCAGGGTTAACAGCATACTTTCAATTTATTGGAGCATTGTTTATTTTGTTTTTCCTAGTTTAATAGTTAACTATTCTATATAATTGCAGTAATTACATTAAATTTTAGAATACTACGATCGTTAATGTTTCTTATCTCTAGGTTTATTGAACTGACGACATTAAAATAAAATGTAGCCCCCCTTCCATAATAGTTTAACCCAAAATTGTTTCTAGATCTACTTAGATTAGTTAGATTCACTATTGCTTTCATGTTAATATTTAGTAGTAGAACTATCTAAAGTGTTTGCATTTAATATCTAAAAAAAAGCATTGAGCAGCCTTACTTTTAATATTATTCTATTTACAGAGCAAGATATTAGCAAAAGAAAGGGGAAACTGAAAGGCCTGTCAAAAATGTGTATTGTTTGTGTAAGCACCAACAGGACTACTGAATACTTTTGAAGGAAACCATATGTCAGATGTTAGTATTTTCTTCACTTTGCTTATTAGTTATAATGATGTAATGTTACATGATTGATATCTAAGTAGGTATAAAGATATACAGACCTACTATATAAGTCTGTATATTGGAATTGCTAATTAATTGTTTTTATTCACAGACATTTTCTATACTCTGGACCAATGGAAAGATCCCTTACTAGTTTCCATAATTTGATGTGTGCTGCCAGTTCACAATAATTTATTACAATGCTACTCCAAACCTTGAAGAAGAAGACTAACTCAACCAAGATATTGACTATTAATTACAATGCTACCCAACCTCATAGAGAACTTTCCCAATCAGGATATTGACCTGTCTTTTTGAACCTGCTCTAAGATTTCTGATAATTGTATAAGTTAGGACCTAGACATTTCCAGAAGTTGACATTGATCAATAACTAACTAGAAGAAATAAATTTACTGATAACAAGTAAATTTAGGCTAAGCATGTCATGATTAGGGAGCAGAGTAACAAAACTAGATGAACATCACAAAGCTAACAGTTAGGATCATTTATAAAGAATTTTAGTTTAATTAGTTATCTTACTTCATCAGTGTTTAAAAGGCATGAAATTTCTTCTTAGTAAGTATATAAGTAAAGTAATAGTATAGTTATTTAATTTTTTATAACAAAGTAATGCTAACATGTTTCCTACACAATTTATATTACTTTCTTAAAAGTAAGGAGACTTTTTGCAAGATGTTAGGTAATGAAAATTCTTGATTTTGGGCGTTAAGGAAGGATGCTTTATATTGTTTTGCAGAATGATTATTTTATGTTTCTGTGTTTATTATATATTAAGAACATCATGTGCTTTAAGATGGTGTAAAATTTATTAAGATACCTTACTTTAATATTTTTTAATCATTTTTTGAAAAAGGGTGAAATTTCTATTTTTTATAAACTGACCTTGCAGAATCTGGTCTCGCTAATTACTTTCTTTATTAATTCTTTACCTGCTTATTTCATATTAACATGCTTTGAATTTCCTTTCTTAGAACATTTATATTATCAATGTGGCTTAATTAGTTGATTTTATATGATTTTTTAAAAATGACTGTAAATTGACTTTTTGTCTCCCTTTTCGTACTTTGGTAAAATTGTGCTTTGGCTCATTTTTAAGTGAATAAATTTTCCATTTATATCTGTCTGACAACCTTGAAAAAAATTGGGTTTGCTATTTGTATTACTGGCTGTGTGTGCAAGAAATTTGAGAGTTCTAACTTAGTAATTTTAGAAGTTAGTAGGGGTCTCAAATAGACCCTTTACTGCTCGAAAAGCGAACACATTTTTCGAGTTTTAAAAAATTCATAACTTTTTTAAAAATGGACATACATCAATAAATTTGGTGTTTCTGTTCTGATGAAAGCAATCCCTATCAGGTGGAAGTGTTAAATTTTATTTAATTTCATTATGAAAATTTCATTTAGAATACCTAGTTCATCTGTTTCTTTGTCCTAAGCATATGAAAGGATAGTGTGGTCAGAGACATGCTCGGCTGGAATCGTTTTTTAAACGATAAAAACATGTTGTCTGAGACTTGGCGGGACACTGGGCAGGTGAAGTAGAGTTGAGTAGGTCACATGTGACGTCAGTATATGAAGGGATAGTCCGAAATCGGTGTTTTCGGTGTTTTTAAAAGATAAGAAACATATTTTTGAATGTGGGGTCTGTTTTTGTGACGATAAGTGACACTGCAGTAGCGTAGCGAGGAGGGGGGGGGGGGCGGGAGGGGAGGCGGGGGGGGGGGGGAGGCGGGGGGGAGGTGGAGGGGGGGCGGGGGGGACATATGTTGGGGCGCCAAAATGGTTTGGAAAAATAAATTGAAAGGTTGAGGGGGGTTCAAATCGAAAGTTTGAGTGGGGGGGGGGGGGTTGAAAATCGAAATCTTGGGGGGGGGGGGGGTTAAAATCGAAAAGTTTGTCCCCGGGCGCCGGGAAGGCTCGCTATGCCTCTGAGTGACAGACGTGATGTTTTTTTATGGATGACCCCCGAAACCCACAGTTATCCAACGGATGACGGGTATTCTAGTATAACTTAAATATGCTGTGAATGAATGTTTTTAAAATTTTGACAGATAATAGATTCATTGAATAGTTTGTAGTGTGTGATGTAAAGATAATAGATTCCTTGAATGGTTTGTATTGTGTGATGTAAAGATGATAGATTCCTTGAATAGTTTGAAGTGTGTGATGTAAAGATGATAGATTCATTGAATAGTTTGTAGTGTGTGATGTAAAGATGATAGATTCATTGAATAGTTTGTAGTGTGTGATGTAAAGATAATAGATTCCTTGAATGGGTTGTATTGTGTGATGTAAAGATGATAGATTCCTTGAATAGTTTGTAGTGTGTGATGTAAAGATGATAGATTGAATAGTTTGTAGTGTGTGATGTAAAGATGATAGATTGAATAGTTTGTAGTGTGTGATGTAAAGATAATAGATTCCTTGAATGGGTTGTATTGTGTGATGTAAAGATGATAGATTCCTTGAATAGTTTGTAGTGTGTGATGTAAAGATGATAGATTGATTTAAATAGTTTGTAGTGTGATGTAAAGATGATAGATTCCTTGAATAGTTTGTAGTGTGTGATGTAAAGATGATAGATTGAATAGTTTGTAGTGTGTGATGTAAAGATGATAGATTCCTTGAATAGTTTGTAGTGTGTGATGTAAAGATGATAGATTCCTTGAATAGTTTGTAGTGTGTGATGTAAAGATGATAGATTGAATAGTTTGTAGTGTGTGATGTAAATATGATAGATTGAATAGTTTGTAGTGTGTGATGTAAAGATGATAGATTGATTTAAATAGTTTGTAGTGTGTGATGTAAAGATAATAGATTGAATAGTTTGTAGTGTGATGTAAAGATGATAGATTGAATAGTTTGTAGTGTGTGATGTAAAGATGATAGATTCCTTGAATAGTTTGTAGTGTGTGATGTAAAGATGATAGATTGATTTAAATAGTTTGTAGTGTGTGATGTAAAGATGATAGATTCCTTGAATAGTTTGTAGTGTGTGATGTAAAGATGATAGATTGATTTAAATAGTTTGTAGTGTGTGATGTAAAGATAACAGATTCCTTAAATAGTTTGTAGTGTGTGATGTGAAGATGATAGATTGAATAGTTTGTAGTGTGTGATGTGAAGATGATAGATTGAATAGTTTGTAGTGTGTGATGTGAAGATGATAGATTGAATAGTTTGTAGTGTGTGATGTGAAGATGATAGATTGAATAGTTTGTAGTGTGTGATGTAAAGATGATAGATTGAATAGTTTGTAGTGTGTGATGTAAAGATGATAGATTGAATAGTTTGTAGTGTGTGATGTGAAGATGATAGATTGAATAGTTTGTAGTGTGTGATGTAAAGATGATAGATTGAATAGTTTGTAGTGTGTGATGTAAAGATGATAGATTGAATAGTTTGTAGTGTGTGATGTGAAGATGATAGATTGAATAGTTTGTAGTGTGTGATGTAAAGATGATAGATTGAATAGTTTGTAGTGTGTGATGTAAAGATGATAGATTGAATAGTTTGTAGTGTGTGATGTGAAGATGATAGATTGAATAGTTTGTAGTGTGTGATGTAAAGATGATAGATTGAATAGTTTGTAGTGTGTGATGTGAAGATGATAGATTGAATAGTTTGTAGTGTGTGATGTAAAGATGATAGATTGAATAGTTTGTAGTGTGTGATGTAAAGATGATAGATTGAATAGTTTGTAGTGTGTGATGTGAAGATGATAGATTGAATAGTTTGTAGTGTGTGATGTAAAGATGATAGATTGAATAGTTTGTAGTGTGTGATGTAAAGATAATAGATTGAATAGTTTGTAGTGTGTGATGTGAAGATAATAGATTGAATAGTTTGTAGTGTGTGATGTGAAGATAATAGATTGAATAGTTTGTAGTGTGTGATGTGAAGATGATAGATTGAATAGTTTGTAGTGTGTGATGTAAAGATGATAGATTGAATAGTTTGTAGTGTGTGATGTGAAGATGATAGATTGAATAGTTTGTAGTGTGTGATGTGAAGATGATAGATTGAATAGTTTGTAGTGTGTGATGTGAAGATGATAGATTGAATAGTTTGTAGTGTGTGATGTGAAGATGATAGATTGAATAGTTTGTAGTGTGTGATGTAAAGATGATAGATTGAATAGTTTGTAGTGTGTGATGTAAAGATGATAGATTGAATAGTTTGTAGTGTGTGATGTAAAGATAATAGATTGAATAGTTTGTAGTGTGATGTAAAGATGATAGATTCCTTGAATAGTTTGTAGTGTGTGATGTGAAGTTAATAGATTGAATAGTTTGTAGTGTGTGATGTGAAGATGATTCCTTGCATGTACTAGGACCTGGAGGCCAGGATCCGTGTGTTGGAAGAAGCCAAGAGTCAGCTGGAGTCAGACCTTGACGCCAGGAGCAGTGAGCTGCACACAGTGAGTCAGGAGCTGCAGGAAACCAAGGAACAGGCCCAGGAGAAGGAGCAAGAACTCACAGAGAGCAACGACACACTCAAGATGCAGCTGGAGCAAGTCAGGACAGAGAAGGACAATATTGAGGCTAGACTTGGTGGGTGCTCCTTTAATGTTCTTGTCACAAACTTTCTCCCTAATGGAGACTGTTTAACCCTTAAATAAAGGTTTTTTCATGCTACTGCCCAGTAACATCCAGATAATGTATAGTACATTTATTCAAATGTAGATCTAGTAACAGAAGTCTAGCTGGTAATGGGATTAAGAAGATGCACATATAAATTATTATCTTAACATGCTTTTGCTGTTGTTCATTCACAAACTATTAATTTTCTAAGATGGTTTTTTATTTAAGTTAAAAAAAAGTGTTTTAATTCTGGGCAATATAATTTTTAATTAACAAATTTTAAAATGACTGTAAATGCCTGTTGTTTAATTAGACTATAATTTAACTAATATAGTGATGCAAATATAAATCTAGCTTTACTGCCTATGCTGAATCTTGTCTCTAGCATTGTAAAGTATTTTTAATATCAAGTATATAATTAAGGTGCGGATTTTTAAAAAAAAGGTTTTCTAGGTTAGATATTATTATTACTTGTAAATTATTATGGTATTAGGTATAATAAGCTAAGAATATTTTTAGTTTAATGCTTTTTGTTTGAAATTTTTAAAGTTGCTGAAAATATTTTTCTCAACATATTGTTGAACAATGTGTCATTGTGTCATTCATTTTGTTTCACCTTATGGGAAATGAAAGCCATTTTTTTTGCCCGGACAGTAAATAGTTAAAAAAAGAAATCTTTCATTTCTGAATAAAGGTGAAAGATTAACAGAAGCTCAGAGCAAACTGGCAGAGACAGAGGCAGACAGAGACAGGCTGCAAGCAGAGCTGGACAAGCAGGTAACCACACTGACCAGTAGGTGTGAGCAGCTGGAGACACAGAAGAAAGAGTTGGAGGAAAGTTCTAAGGCAGCTATGGACAGACTGAGGAGACAGATTATAAGTGAGTGGCCAGTTGGGCAATGGTCAGGTTGCTGGTTATGGGTTTTTGTCAGTGTTCTATCTGTGAATGACAAGTAGCTGTCTGTCTAGTTAGACAGTGGCCTGGTATTTACTTTTTTCTTGTGAAGTATGGGCACCAGGGGTCATCACAGATAAATGATGTCACGTTTGTTTTATGATTTTTATCTTCCTCTCCCCCTTCCCACATAAAAGCCTGAATCCACATTTAAAAAGGTGTCACACCCCAGACATGTTTTTGTCTTTTAAAAACCAATATTGGTTGAGCATTGGTCTGACCACACTACCTGCTCATATGCTGAGGTCATAGAAACAGGTGAAAGTCTGAACGGCAACTTTTTCATTCACATCTTAAAAGTAGTCACACCTCAGCTGACATGTTTTTGTCTTTTAAAAACATCAGTTTTATTCTATGTTTTCTGAGCTCGAACCTCATTTGAATAATAAATAAAAAAATTATTAAGGCTAATGTCAAACTAATAATAATGAATTAGAACCAATCGCGTGTGTTGTGATTTCCCTCTTTGCATTTTCTTTGAGGGAAAATTAAAACATTTAACATTGACATGATGTGTTTTGAACCTATACCACCTACATGGTGACTATTACACTATCATCTAATTTGTTTTTATTCCTGTTTTTCTTTTTAACTAATTAATTTTGGTTTAGCCTTAATTCTAGTTTATCAGTATAAGTTTTGCTTCATTTTGATAGACTCATATTAATTTCAAGTGACGTCACTGTGAAAGTTTTAAATTTTTGTGAAAATAAAGTATTTGCCCTGAACTTTATAATTAAAGTTGCGTTTCTACAAATGAAAATGTCAATAAATTCATTATTGTCTTTAAATAAACTTGTGAATAAAATTTGGGGAACATTCTCTACATAGATATGCATTTTGCAGTTTTACTCATGGTGGAGGTGCTCTCATATAATGGAACAGACAAACAAACAAATAAATATACAAACTTGTAAACAATTTGAATTTTAGTGAATTAGGAACAAAGACTATAGAACTTTTTTGGTTCTTTGTTTAGATGAATACCATATGTGACAGGCTTAGAATGGGCGCAGCTACTAATTTATCGTACCATTTTATAACTACCAAACATGTCTCTACCCACTAGTTCCTATGCTACTATTGTATCAGTGTACATTTCATACAAAATAAAACATGTAAACAAATGGGACGCTGCTCTGATCTTACTCATGTTTACAAGCAATACCCCAAACAGATACATCAAACCTAACCATATAACATTTTCTTACCTGCACAGGTCGTAGTGTCCAAGAAGCAAGTGTGATGATCCAAGATGCCCTGGAGCAGGGAGATAACCCAACTCATGCCTCAAGTACTTGTACAGCAGGTTGGTTTTTAAATTAATATTTCAGCTGCATAAATTACCCCTAACCTGGTCTAGTTAAGATTTAGACCAACCCTTTACATTGGTGTATGTCTCCTTGTTGCCACAAAATTTTTAGACACCTTATTGATATTCTGCAGGCACAGCCCCAGATTAAAATAAAAACCATTGTGTACCATTTATTTGTGACCATATGGTCTTTTATGTTGATATAACATGTCTGGTTGATGTGCCATGTCTGTGGTTGATGTGCCATGTCTGTAGAAGATGTGCCATGTCTGTGGTGGATGTGCTATGTCTGTGGTTGATGTGCCATGTATGTAGTTGATGTGCCATGTCTGTGGTTGATGTGCCATGTCTGTGGTTGATGTGCCATGTCTGTGGTTGATGTGCCATGTCTGTGGTTGATGTGCCATGTCTGTGGTTGATGTGCCATGTCTGTGGTTGATGTGCCATGTCTGTGGTTGATGTGCCATGTCTGTGGTTGATGTGCCATGTCTGTGGTTGATATGCCATGTCTGTGGTTGATGTGTCGTGTCAGTGGTTGATGTGCCATGTCTGTGGTTGATATGCCATGTCTGTGGTTGATGTGTCGTGTCAGTGGTTGATGTGCCATGTCTGGTTGATGTGCCATGTCTGTGGTTGATGTGCCATGTCTGTGGTTGATGTGCCATGTCTGTGGTTGATGTGCCATGTCTGTGGTTGATGTGCCATGTCTGTGATTGATGTGCCATGTCTGGTTGATGTGCCATGTCTGTGGTTGATGTGCCATGTCTGTGGTTGATGTGCCATGTCTGTGGTTGATGTGCCATGTCTGTGGTTGGTGCAGTGTCAGTAGTAGATGTGCCATGTCTGTGGTTGATGTGCCATGTCTGTGGTTGATGTGCCATGTCTGTGGTTGATGTGCCATGTCTGTGGTTGATTTGCAGTGTCAGTAGTAGATGTGCCATGTCTGTGGTTGATGTGCCATGTCTGTGGTTGATGTGCCATGTCTGTGGTTGATGTGCCATGTCTGTGGTTGATGTGCCAAGTCTGTGGTTGATGTGCCATGTCTCTGGTTGATGTGCCATGTCTGTGGTTGATGTGCCATGTCTGTGGTTGATGTGCCATGTCTGTGATTGATGTGCCATGTCTGGTTGATGTGCCATGTCTGTGGTTGATGTGCCATGTCTGTGGTTGATGTGCAGTGTCAGTAGTAGATGTGCCATGTCTGTGGTTGATGTGCCATGTCTGTAGTTGATGTGCCATGTCTGTGATTGATGTGCCATGTCTGGTTGATGTGCCATGTCTGTGGTTGATGTGCCATGTCTGTGGTTGATGTGCAGTGTCAGTAGTAGATGTGCCATGTCTGTGGTTGATGTGCCATGTCTGTGGTTGATGTGCAGTGTCAGTAGTAGATGTGCCATGTCTGTGGTTGATGTGCCATGTCTGTGGTTGATGTGCAGTGTCAGTAGTAGATGTGCCATGTCTGTGGTTGATGTGCCATGTCTGTAGTTGATGTGCCATGTCTGTGATTGATGTGCCATGTCTGGTTGATGTGCCATGTCTGTGGTTGATGTGCCATGTCTGTGGTTGATGTGCAGTGTCAGTAGTAGATGTGCCATGTCTGTGGTTGATGTGCCATGTCTGTGGTTGATGTGCAGTGTCAGTAGTAGATGTGCCATGTCTGTGGTTGATGTGCCATGTCTGTGGTTGATGTGCCATGTCTGTGATTGATGTGCCATGTCTGGTTGATGTGCCATGTCTGGTTGATGTGCCATGTCTGTGGTTGATGTGCCATGTCTGTGGTTGATGTGCAGTGTCAGTAGTAGATGTGCCATGTCTGTGGTTGATGTGCCATGTCTGTGGTTGATGTGCCATGCCTGTGGTTGATGTGCCATGTCTGTGGTTGATGTGCAGTGTCAGTAGTAGATGTGCCATGTCTGTGGTTGATGTGCCTTGTCTGTAGTTGATGTGCCATGTCTGTGGTTGATGTGCCATGTCTGTGGTTGATGTGCAGTGTCAGTAGTAGATGTGCCATGTCTGTGGTTGATGTGCCATGTCTGTGGTTGATGTGCCTTGTCTGTAGTTGATGTGCCATGTCTGTGGTTGATGTGCCATGTCTGTGGTTGATGTGCCATGTCTGTGGTTGATGTGCCATGTCTGTGGTTGATGTGCCAAGTCTGTGGTTGATGTGCCATGCCTGTGGTTGATGTGCCATGCCTGTGGTTGATGTGCCATGCCTGTGGTTGATGTGCCATGTCTGTGGTTGATGTGCCAAGTCTGTAGTTATGTTTCTCTCAACAGAGTACCTCATCTCTAGAGCAGCTCCTGTCTTGTCTCGTCTGTCTTGCCTGGAATCTTCAGCAGCTGCCTACAGGCTGGACACAGCAGGTAACATCTGTCCCCCCCCCCCTCCCACACAGTTTTCATGTGATGGGAGTGTAATCACTTATGTCTCCTTGGTCAAATCATCCCCCCTACAGTTTTCATGTGATAGGAGAGAGACAGTGAAATCACAAACCTTGTAGATGTAAACTTGTTCCTCTGCTCTGGTACAGCTATAAACAAATCTCGTTGTACAGATCTGGATGCACTAGTAAGTTCCATCACAGAATTTGCTCACCATCTGTCTGACTGTGTCGTCCATGGGTTTGCAACCTCCCATGCTGCCCAGATAGAACCAGGAGAGGAGCTGTCCAATGCCTGCAGGCACTCAGGTCAACTGGGTATAGCACTACTGCAAGCTGTGGACTCAGGTCAGATTAAAGTCTTTGTAAAATTTGGTTTTAACATTTCTTTTCTAAACTGTGATACATCATCTTTTATATCTTATTCCATTCTAAATTGCTATTTACTTTATAAAATGTTAAAAAAATAATTTCTCTTTTAAACGGATAGAATAGACATGGTAAAAAAAGGATGGATAAAACTTACCATCCTACATGTAAATAAACTTAGCATCCTTTATGTATGCACTCAATAGAAGGTCATGTGGAAGGTGCTGCCAAAGTGGCCAGGGATAGTCTGGAGCATCTGATCAAACTGGCAGAGGAGCTTGTGCCTAAGATGGAGGATGTGAAGGCTGAAGAGATAGGAGATATGCTGGAGAATGAGATGCAAGGGATGACTGCGGCTATTGAGGCAGCAGCTGCTAAGATTCAAGTAACTGGTTACACTTGTTTAATGACAGCACTAGCACATAACTAACTTAACTGGTTACAGTTGTTTAATGACAGCACTAGCACATAACTAACTTAACAGTTTACAGTTGTTAAATGACAGCACTAGCACACAACTAACTGGTTACAGTTGTTTAATGACAGCACTAGCACACAACTAACAGGTTACAGTTGTTTAATGACAGCACTAGCACACAACTAACTTAACTGGTTACAGTTGTTTAATGACAGCACTAGCACACAACTAACAGGTTACAGTTGTTTAATGACAGCACTAGCACACAACTAACAGGTTACAGTTGTTTAATGACAGCACTAGCACACAACTAACTTAACTGGTTACAGTTGTTAAATGACAGCACTAGCACACAACTAACTGGTTACAGTTGTTTAATGACAGCACTAGCACACAACTAACAGGTTACAGTTGTTTAATGACAGCACTAGCACACAACTAACAGGTTACAGTTGTTAAATGACAGCACTAGCACACAACTAACTGGTTACAGTTGTTTAATGACAGCACTAGCACACAACTAACTGGTTACAGTTGTTTAATGACAGCACTAGCACACAACTAACAAGTTACAGTTGTTTAATGACAGCACTAGCACACAACTAACTGGTTACAGTTGTTTAATGACAGCACTAGCACATAACTAACTTAACAGGTTACAGTTGTTTAATGACAGCACTAGCACACAACTAACTGGTTACAGTTGTTTAATGACAGCACTAGCACATAACTAACAGGTTACAGTTGTTTAATGACAGCACTAGCACACAACTAACTGGTTACAGTTGTTTAATGACAGCACTAGCACACAACTAACTGGTTACAGTTGTTTAATGACAGCACTAGCACACAACTAACAGGTTACAGTTGTTTAATAACAACACTAGCACACAACTAACAAGTTACAGTTGTTTAATGACAACACTAGCACACAACTAACTGGTTACAGTTGTTTAATGACAGCACTAGCACATAAGTAACTGGTTACAGTTGTTTAATGACAACACTAGCACACAACTAACTGGTTACAGTTGTTTAATGACAGCACTAGCACATAACTAACTGGTTACAGTTGTTTAATGACAGCACTAGCACACAACTAACAGGTTACAGTTGTTTAATGACAGCACTAGCACACAACTAACAGGTTACAGTTGTTTAATGACAGCACTAGCACACAACTAACTGGTTACAGTTGTTTAATGACAGCACTAGCACATAACTAACTTAACAGGTTACAGTTGTTTAATGACAGCACTAGCACACAACTAACTGGTTACAGTTGTTTAATGACAGCACTAGCACATAACTAACAGGTTACAGTTGTTTAATGACAGCACTAGCACACAACTAACTGGTTACAGTTGTTTAATGACAGCACTAGCACACAACTAACTGGTTACAGTTGTTTAATGACAGCACTAGCACACAACTAACAGGTTACAGTTGTTTAATAACAACACTAGCACACAACTAACAAGTTACAGTTGTTTAATGACAACACTAGCACACAACTAACTGGTTACAGTTGTTTAATGACAGAACTAGCACATAAGTAACTGGTTACAGTTGTTTAATGACAACACTAGCACACAACTAACTGGTTACAGTTGTTTAATGACAGCACTAGCACATAACTAACTGGTTACAGTTGTTTAATGACAGCACTAGCACACAACTAACAGGTTACAGTTGTTTAATGACAGCACTAGCACACAACTAACTTAACTGGTTACAGTTGTTTAATGACAGCACTAGCACACAACTAACTGGTTACAGTTGTTTAATGACAGCACTAGCACATAACTAACTTAACAGGTTACAGTTGTTTAATGACAGCACTAGCACACAACTAACTGGTTACAGTTGTTTAATGACAGCACTAGCACATAACTAACTGGTTACAGTTGTTTAATGACAGCACTAGCACACAACTAACTGGTTACAGTTGTCTAATGACAGCACTAGCACACAACTAACTGGTTACAGTTGTTTAATGACAGCACTAGCACACAACTAACTTAACTGGTTACAGTTGTTTAATGACAGCACTAGCACATAACTAACTGGTTACAGTTGTTTAATGACAGCACTAGCACACAACTAACTGGTTAAAATTAGTTTTGATCTACACTTAAAACTATGTTGTAGGATATGCTCCACAAAACAAGGGAAGACAAGACAGGTGTCAACCTGGAGGTGAATGAGAATATTCTGGGGTCTTGTACAGAACTCATGAAGGTAACATAAACCCAGCACTTTTCATAGACTGATGTGATTCAAGTATATCATCTACCAGAGATGAGTGTAAAAAATTTTTATCCACTGTAAAATATTTTGTTTGTCTCCAGGCTATCAAGGTTCTAGTAGAAAAGTCCAGAGATCTACAAAAGGAAATAGTTTCTTGTGGTAGGGTGAGTAGAACAGTCATTGTTTCTATTCTAACAGCTCATAATGATGGATGGTCAAATTGATCGAAACTAACATCATAAACCTTACTTTACCCAAAGTCAGAAGACAAAAACAGAAATTATTGAAAACCATATGATTTTAAAGATATTCTTTTGAGTTTGATGTTGCTTTGACATGAAAGAAAAATAAAATTATTAAAAAAATTGTTACCATGTTACTAATTGAAAGATATTTGTTCCCCACAGACTGCTGTAAGTTTGTATTTCCTTACCTCTCATTCCTTTCTTCCTAAGCCACCCAATAGCCACATTATTTAGAAGCAAATTGTTCTGTTTTATTTTATACTTCGCTAATAAAAATTTAATTAAATATATTTAGGGTAAATTGTTGAGAATGAGTGGTAGGGATGGAGGCATTTCATTTTAAAAAATAGAATAATGTGACTTCATAAATTTAGTATGCCGTCTATTGGGATTTAGAAAGAGTAACATTAAGAATTACATGGCTTGAATAATCTTATGTCACTTTTAATTATTGCATTGTAGTAAAGCTAATCCTATTTCACATACAATATTTTTTAGCCTTGGTAGACTCATTTTAATTCCAGCTTCTGTAGCTGTACACATTTTCATTGAAATATTTCAAATTTCGCCTGACCAGTTTAATTTCCAGCATTTTTAGTTGCTAAAAAAGTTGAACTAATTTAGCTCAGTCAAACCACTGGTCAACTGAAATATTTTTATCCTAGTCACTGTTACTAGTCTACAGCAGGAATTATTTTACCAGATAACGCCAAAGAATGTTGTAAATTGTGTTAACCAATATTGATTTTAGAGAATATTAATTTTTAATACAACTTTCATTTATTTTATTTTTTAACATATTTTTTAATATCTTAAATATCTTTTAGAAAATAGATTTGCATTCATTTTCTTTATCCTTTGCATAAAGAAATAGTATAGAAAATGAGCTAACAGATATTAATAATTTATATCTATAAAAAAGATATGTAGCACGGAGAAATTATTCAATATATCAAACCATTTGTGTGTCAAGTAAATTATTTCATAATTATTTTTATATAATTTAACAATATTAGGTCTCAAGAATTATTTGTACTCATTTCTAGTTAATCAAGTGAATGACATGAATCATTTGTACTTATGAGTTATCTTCTCCCCAGGGGACAGCATCAGCCACAGATTTCTACAAGAAAAATCACAGGTGGACAGAAGGCTTGCTGTCTGCTGCTAAAGCTGTTGGTTGGGGAGCTACCACTTTACTGTAAGTCATCCTAACTTGGCTCATGTCCCCTTTGTATGATTGTACCATCAAGTCATCTGCAAGTTTTTTTTTAAATTTCTTTTCTACCAGGGACACAGCAGATAGAGTGGTGAGTGGCAAGGGCAAGTTTGAGGAGATCATGGCTTGTGCCCACGAAATAGCTGCCAGTACGGCACAGCTTGTTGTGTCTTCTAAGGTCAAGGCTGACAGGGACAGCAAGCTGTTGGCCCAGTTGTCTTCTGCCTCTAAGGGAGTTAACCAGGCCACTGGAAATGTTGTGGCATCAGCCAAGGCTGCTGCTGAGATTGTAGAAGACCAAAGTAGGTCATTTTAGCTCTCATCTATTTAAATAGATCATTTTAACTTTTTCTTTGATAACTTTGAGGAAGCACCATTTTAAGAAAACATTTTACACTGAAAGAATGAGCTTATCTGGCTGTAGTTCTGTGCTGGTACACTAGGCACTTAACACAACTTTCTCTGTTTCTTATCTTGTGTTTAGGTAGGACATTTTTCAATATATTTTTGCATAACTATGATAGTTTCGCTATTCTGTCTGTCCATCCATCAGGAACGCTCTAGAGAAAACGCAAGCAAAATAAAAACTTCCCTAGTCAATCAGAAAATGAAGCAAAATATTTTCAGTTCTAAAGCCAGAAAATGTACACACAAAAAAATGACGTCATTGATTCTAGAGTAAACATTGGATTAAAAAGCCAATGCCGACAAAATGAATAATAATGATGTCATCAATACTTGAACGAAATACAATTTATATAGAAAATATATACATTTACCAGTGTCAGGCCTCCCTGGTAATAGAAGTAGTGTCTACCTTTAGTGTGTATGATCTACAAATGCGACCAGGGTTTCTTTCACACATTTTTCTCCCCGGGGGGTCATCATCATTCCTTTGTGGCCCCTGGGGAGCAAGGGGCTGCAACCACACATCTCCATCGGACTCAGTTTTGGGCTGCCCCCTTTATCTGTGCCCATGTGAGCCCAGCTGTTTTCGCCTGTTCTTCAACCGTTCTTCCCCATGTCTTCCTTGGCTGGCCCACCCTTCTTTTTCCCTGGGGATTCCATTCCAAAGCATGTTTTGCGATGTTTTCTTTTTCCTTTCTTAATGTGTGTCCGATACATCCCCATTTTCGGGCCTTGATATCTGTCTCTATTTGCTGTTGCTTTAAAGTTTGCCATAGGTCTCTCCCGGGGGGTAGGGGTGGTTAAAGTATTTCTATATTAATTATGTGACGTTATTGGGGTGGTAGACATTCTGCGGGGGGCAAGGCTCCCTTATGACTTGCCTGATAGAAACTCTGAATGTAACATTTGGTCAAGTTTTAAAAAAATATAACCAGGTGAAAATGATGGTTTAGTGGTAGAGAAAGTGACCATAGGTTAACAGGGAACGTCTAGCTAGCACCTTGTATGTAATCACCCTGTGTTTGTGTCTCTTTCAGATCTAGCTAGCACCTTGTATGTAATCTCCCTGTGTTTGTGTCTCTTTCAGATCTGATGGACTTCTCCTCAATGTCCCTTCACCAGATCAAGAAGACAGAGATGCAGTGCCAGGTTAGATCAGATCACTCATCCATACAGGCTAAATTACATGTGTAGGATGTCTGGGGGTGCTGTAGGATGTCTGGGGGTGCTGTAGGATGTCTGTCTGGGGGTGCTGTGGGATGTCTGTCTGGGGGTGCTGTAGGATGTCTGTCTGGGGGTGCTGTGGGATGTCTGTCTGGGGGTGCTGTAGGATGTCTGTCTGGGGGTGCTGTGGGATGTCTGTCTGGGGGTGCTGTAGGATGTCTGTCTGGGGGTGCTGTAGGATGTCTGTCTGGGGGTGCTGTAGGATGTCTGTCTGGGGGTGCTGTAGGATGTCTGTCTGGGGGTGCTGTAGGATGTCTGTCTGGGGGTGCTGTAGGATGTCTGTCTGGGGGTGCTGTAGGATGTCTGTCTGGGGGTGCTGTAGGATGTCTGTCTGGGGGTGCTGTAGGATGTCTGTCTGGGGGTGCTGTAGGATGTCTGTCTGGGGGTGCTGTAGGATGTCTGTCTGGGGGTGCTGTAGGATGTCTGTCTGGGGGTGCTGTAGGATGTCTGTCTGGGGGTGCTGTAGGATGTCTGTCTGGGGGTGCTGTAGGATGTCTGTCTGGGGGTGCTGTAGGATGTCTGTCTGGGGGTGCTGTAGGATGTCTGTCTGGGGGTGCTGTAGGATGTCTGTCTGGGGGTGCTGTAGGATGTCTGTCTGGGGGTGCTGTAGGATGTCTGTCTGGGGGTGCTGTAGGATGTCTGGGGGTGCTGTAGGATGTCTGTCTGGGGGTGCTGTAGGATGTCTGTCTGGGGGTGCTGTAGGATGTCTGTCTGGGGGTGCTGTAGGATGTCTGTCTGGGGGTGCTGTAGGATGTCTGTCTGAGGGTGCTGTAGGATGTCTGTCTGGGGGTGCTGTGGGATGTCTGTCTGGGGGTGCTGTAGGATGTCTGTCTGGGGTTGCTGTAGGATGTCTGTCTGGGGTGCTGTAGGATGTCTGTCTGGGGTTGCTGTAGGATGTCTGTCTGGGGGTGCTGTAGGATGTCTGTCTGGGGGTGCTGTAGGATGTCTGTCTGGGGTGCTGTGGGATGTCTGTCTGGGGTTGCTGTGGGATGTCTGTCTGGGGATGCTGTAGGATGTCTGTCTGGGATGCTGTGGGATGTCTGTCTGGGGGTGCTGTGGGATGTCTGTCTGGGGGTGCTGTGGGATGTCTGTCTGGGGGAGCTGTAGGATGTCTGTCTGGGGTCGCTGTAGGATGTCTGTCTGGGGGTGCTGTAGGATGTCTGTCTGGGGTTGCTGTGGGATGTCTGGGGGTGCTGTAGGATGTCTGTCTGGGGATGCTGTAGGATGTCTGTCTGGGATGCTGTAGGATGTCTGTCTGGGGTGCTGTAGGATGTCTGTCTGGGGGTGCTGTAGGATGTCTGTCTGGGGATGCTGTAGGATGTCTGTCTGGGATGCTGTAGGATGTCTGTCTGGGGGTGCTGTAGGATGTCTGTCTGGGGGTGCTGTGGGATGTCTGTCTGGGGGTGCTGTAGGATGTCTGTCTGGGGGTGCTGTAGGATGTCTGTCTGGGGGTGCTGTAGGATGTCTGGGGGTGCTGTAGGATGTCTGTCTGGGGGTGCTGTAGGATGTCTGTCTGGGGGTGCTGTGGGATGTCTGTCTGGGGGTGCTGTGGGATGTCTGTCTGAGGGTGCTGTAGGATGTCTGTCTGGGGATGCTGTAGGATGTCTGTCTGGGGGTGCTGTAGGATGTCTGTCTGGGGGTGCTGTGGGATGTCTGTCTGAGGGTGCTGTAGGATGTAGGAGTTGATACATTTCCAGCTATTGTAAACATAATGCATTGCTACCAGCTATTAGTTTAGTGTTATTCCCATTTGGGATAAAAGTTTATTAGCTACCCATGTAGAGTGGAGAAATCAAACTTTTTTTTCTAGATCAGAGTGATGGAGCTTGAATCTAATCTAGAAAAAGAAAGAAAGAAGTTGGGAGAGTTAAGGAAACAACATTACAGTTTAGCTGGTGAGGCTGAGGGCTGGGAGGTTGATCAGGTACGTTGGTATAACAACTTTACAGGTAGCTTGTTTGTATCAGGTACGTTGGTATAGTATGTGGTGGTCACACAACTTTACAGGTAGCTTGTTTGTATCAGGTACGTTGGTATAGTATGTGGTGGTCACACAACTTTACAGGTAGGTTGGTAGAGCATCAACTTTACAGGTAGGTTGTTTGTATCAGGTACGTTGGTATAGTATGTGGTGGTCACACAACTTTACAGGTAGGTTGGTAGAGCATCAACTTTACAGGTAGCTTGTTTGTATCAGGTACGTTGGTATAGTATGTGGTGGTCACACAACTTTACAGGTAGGTTGGTAGAGCATCAACTTTACAGGTAGCTTGTTTGTATCAGGTACGTTGGTATAGTATGTGGTGGTCACACAACTTTACAGGTAGGTTGGTAGAGCATCAACTTTACAGGTAGCTTGTTTGTATCAGGTACGTTGGTATAGTATGTGGTGGTCACACAACTTTACAGGTAGGTTGGTAGAGCATCAACTTTACAGGTAGGTTGTTTGTATCAGGTACGTTGGTAGAACATCAACTTTACAGGTAGGTTGGTATAGCATCAACTTTACAAGTAGGTTGTTTGTATAAGGTACGTTGGTAGAACATCACTTTACAGGTAGGTTGGTATAGCATCAACTTTACAAGTAGGTTGTTTGTATAAGGTACGTTGGTAGAACATCAACTTTACAGGTAGGTTGTTTGTATCAGGTAGGTTGGTATAGCATCCACTTTACAGGTAGGTTGGTATAGCATCAACTTTACAAGTAGGTTGGTATAGCATCCACTTTACAGGTAGGTTGGTAGAGCATCAACTTAACAGGTAGGTTGTTTGTATCAGGTAGGTTGGTATAGCATCCACTTTACAGGTAGGTTGGTATAGCATCAACTTTACAGGTAGGTTGGTATAGCATCCACTTTACAGGTAGGTTGGTAGAGCATCAACTTAACAGGTAGGTTGTTTGTATCAGGTAGGTTGGTATAGTATGTGATGGTCACACAACTTTACACGTAGGTTGTTTGTATCAGGTAGGTTGGTATAGCATCAACTTTACAAGTAGGTTGGTATAGCATCCACTTTACAGGTAGGTTGGTAGAGCATCAACTTAACAGGTAGGTTGTTTGTATCAGGTAGGTTGGTATAGCATCCACTTTACAGGTAGGTTGGTATAGCATCAACTTTACAGGTAGGTTGGTATAGCATCCACTTTACAGGTAGGTTGGTAGAGCATCAACTTAACAGGTAGGTTGTTTGTATCAGGTAGGTTGGTATAGTATGTGATGGTCACACAACTTTACACGTAGGTTGTTTGTATCAGGTAGGTTGGTATAGCATCCACTTTACAGGTAGGTTGGTAGAGCATCAACTTTACAGGTATGTTGTTTGTATCAGGTAGGTTGGTATAGTATGTGATGGTCACACAACTTTACAAGTAGGTTGGATCTAAGATGTAAACACAGCGTATGCACAAGATTTCAATCAACTTTCAGCCAAATATTGTGATGACCACTTAACATTTTTAATATATTTTATTGTTGTAACAAAAACATCTAGATTAGAATGAGTAAATGATTGGCTGATCAAAGTATCTAGAATAGAATGAGTAAAAGATTAGCTGATGAAGTGTGTAAGGCAGCTTCTAATCAAGTGTTGATCTTGTTAGTTTGGAGAGCTGATCACTGGCCTGGATGTATCAAGTGCTGGGGATGCCAGTTAGCTGACTCACACACATGTAACCACTTCTCTTGTTCATTTTTGTTATTGTAACTCCATTTTTTTTTACATCGTTTGTTACACTCTAGCTTTAGTTGATGGTGCATTCAAAGAATGGTTTCATAGCCTTGCTAAAGAAAGTTTTTTTTTCTTTCTGATGGTATCTTATTTTTTAAATGAAATGTTGAAACCTTGATACTTGTTTGCCTGCTAGATAATATCAGTTGAAGACACATTATGTGTTAATTGTACCATTAGATACACAAACTTTGGTTTCTAACTGTTAAATCCCCTAATACAGTCTGGCTTATTTTTGAGTAGTACTAGAAGTTGTGTTAAAAATGTGTTTGGTTACTAAACACCCGAGTTGGTTTTTTTTTCAGTTTATGACTAACATGTTTTAGAAAATGCCATTTTTAGTGCAAAATGTTTAATGTTAAATTAAGTGCAAACATTTTTTCTATGGCTGTTTGTACTGATTACAAGATCATAAGATTTCAGTTGTCTGAGCCTAGTTTAATAGATGAATTTTAGATTTTTCTCAGCAACCATTTGCATTGTTTATATCACAAGGAATTGTCATGTGTGCAACATCAAGCTTAGTTATTTTCTTGCTGTATAGACTTAATGACCTTGGGTATGAATTACTGGCCTTATTTAGAACTTTTGGCCTAGCTAATCCACTGTAGATTCACCAGCACTGTCACACCACATTGTGTCCCCTGAGACCTTAGAATATAATTTTTTCAGCTTTAGTTTCTTGTGTTCTCGTTAATTATTTAGTGTCAAATGATATGGTTCTGAAGAAATTAACACAATAGTTTCACTAACTGTTCAAATATTTAACATTTTTTTCTTTAAAAAATGTTTCTTGATTGGTTCTTTAATAAACAGCAGTAGCTGGGGAGGTCATGAGTTGGCATGTGATGCACTTAGTATTTTGTTTGATACAGTGGCTGTCATCTATGTCTTTCTCTGCTCACATGTTTGGTAACCTTTGACCTGGTCCTGTGTTCTCCAGTTTATGTTTGTCTACTCTATGTTTACATGTTTGGTAACCTTTGACCTGGTCCTGTGTTCTCCAGTTTATGTTTGTCTACTCTATGTTTACATGTTTGGTAACCTTTGACCTGGTCCTGTGTTCTCCAGTTTATGTTTGTCTACTCTATGTTTACATGTTTGGTAACCTTTGACCTGGTCCTGTGTTCTCCAGTTTATGTTTGTCTACTCTATGTTTACATGTTTGGTAACCTTTGACCTGGTCCTGTGTTCTCCAGTTTATGTTTGTCTACTCTATGTTTACATGTTTGGTAACCTTTGACCTGGTCCTGTGTTCTCCAGTTTATGTTTGTCTACTCTATGTTTACATGTTTGGTAACCTTTGACCTGGTCCTGTGTTCTCTAGTTTATGTTTGTCTCCTCTATGTTTACATGTTTGGTAACCTTTGACCTGGTCCTGTGTTCTCCAGTTTATGTTTGTCTACTCTATGTTTACATGTTTGGTAACCTTTGACCTGGTCCTGTGTTCTCCAGTTTATGTTTGTCTACTCTCTGTTTACATGTTTGGTAACCTTTGACCTGCATCTTTTTGACCACATGTTTGTGGTCTCCGTCTTGTGTGGTCCCATTGATCAGCCAAACATGTATAGTTGGCTGATGTATTTATTATGATCTCAGCCAAACATGTATAGTTGGCTGATGTATTTATTATGGTCTCAGCCAAACATGTATAGTTGGCTGATGTATTTATAATGGTCTCAGCCAAACATGTATAGTTGGCTGATGTATTTATAATGGTCTCAGCCAAACATGTATAGTTGGCTGATGTATTTATTATGGTCTCAGCCAAACATGTACAGTTGGCTGATGTATTTATAATGGTCTCAGCCGAACATGTATAGTTGGCTGATGTATTTATTATGGTCTCAGCCAAACATGTATAGTTGGCTGATGTATTTATTATGGTCTCAGCCAAACATGTATAGTTGGCTGATGTATTTATTATGGTCTCAGCCAAACATGTATAGTTGGCTGATGTATTTATTATGGTCTCAGCCAAACATGTATAGTTGGCTGATGTATTTATTGTGGTGTGTGTTGGCTAACCTATTGCTTCTGTTTGACTGGTTAAGTGTGTGGGCTACACAGCTGTCTGTGTTGAATAGCTTTGTGGGTGTGCTGTGTGTACATTGTGTTCAGCTATGCAAGCTAGATGTTGAGCATGTAACTAGTGGTCCACACAAGTATTTGATCATTGTATTCTAAGTTGTGCTTGAGGACTGCCTTGATGCATGTTGTGGTTTCATTCCTAGAACTTGTCTACACTGGAGTATTACGTACACAGTCAGCTGTAAAGAAAAGATAACTCTCTCATATAAATTGATGTCATTTATCAGTGATAGGAAACACCTAATTAAAATTGCTATAATGTGTAATAATTAGTTAATTGTAACTTGGTTTTCTACAATCCCCATGTAACTGTGAAAATCTCTTATATTAAAAAATGAGATGAATGTATTTATCATAATGAGAAAAAAATGTTTGATGTAATGAAACCAATCTGTGCTTTTTATTTGACAGAAAAGATGATGGGCCACTAGAAGCAGCAAGTTTGTATTGAACTCACGAGCATGTGTCCCATTTGATACATCACAGACTGGACATTCTGATAAGTCCACCTTGTTTACTGATAGACACAAATGTGCTACACTATGGGGGGTGTGGGTCAAAGGTGCACCACATGAAATGTATAGGATAGCCTTAGGCCAGTTTTTGTAGCACCTTGTATAAAGAATGTATGGAGTTGTTGAACTGTTATTTTAGGTTAAACCGTGTATCGTGTAGTTTGTATGGCAGTTTGTGTTAAACCAGTATTTATTCATCAACATACGGTGGTTGTTTTCATGTATTTGGTTGTAGGGAACATTGTATCATTGACATCTTCTGTTAGATGTCTTCATCATGTAAACAAATGGTAAGTTGCTGGGTCTAACACTTTGTCTTGGGACACAGTTGCTGGGTCTAACACTTTGTCTTGGGACACAGTTGCTGGGTCTAACACTTTGTCTTGGGACACAGTTGCTGGGTCTAACACTTTGTGTTGGGACACAGTTGCTGGGTCTAACACTTTTGTTGGGACACAGCTGCTGGGTCTAATACAAACATTCATTTATTGGCCAATCAGGTACAAAAGTCAGATTGGTAATAGTCATGAGTTAGAAGAAAGGTTTTAAGTCAGATAGAAAAATTGTCATGAGTTAGAAGAAAGGTTTTAAGTCAGATAGAAAAATTGTCATGATTTAGAGGAAAGGTTTCAAGTCAGATAGAAAAATTGTCATGAGTTAGAAGAAAGGTTTGGTCCATTCCAAATTCTGCACATTTTAGCAAGTCATTTGAATGAAGTGCCAAGATATCAATAAATGAGTTGACAACATAAAGAACATTATAAAATGTAGGGCCATAATATTTTAGAACAGGGGTCTCCAAACTTTTCAGTCCGAGGGCCGATTTAACTATCAAATTTCAGTTCGGGGGCCAGTTTCTTCCTCGTATGTCTTTGATTTTTCTGGGGAAAGTTCCTCAGCAATCGCCAACAAACGATTTTTCCTTGGACAAAAAGATCTCCGCGGGCCGGATGAGAGGACTTCGCGGGCCGCATCCGGCCCGCGGGCCATAGTTTGGAGACCCCTGTTTTAGAAGAACATCTGATTCATGGCTAAGGTTTAGATAAGGACTGCCGTTGGTCTCACCTTGTGCTACGTGTACACACGGCATGAAATCTGACTAGCTAGGTATATTTATTTGTCACTGCCCTGTTATATGTAACTACATGGAAAAAATTCTAGTCCACAATTAGTACTCAGTGATGTGGGAGGGGGGGGGAGGAGAATAGCATCCATTGAGATTAGCCCCATCTGCCCATGATCACATCTTGTCAGCTTTAACCACTTGTACATCACCCATTGAAACCAGATTTTTATAACCAAGTGTTTTTATTCTTACCAAATACCGTCTATATGGCCAGATTTCTCTAGCATACATAACCAAATAGATTTAACAAGTAGCTAAGATTTATGCCTATGAATAGTTGGCTTTACTCACATACCTAATCTGGGAAAAGAATGCTTTAGCTCCAAAAAAAAAAAAAAATTGTTGTTGTAGCCTGCTGTAAGTGATCACACTCAGATCTACAGCAAGTCTTATTGTTTGGCAGGTACTCTAGATAAATATCTCAGCTTTAAAAATTGTGCTTTATTTTTTTTTTATGAGCATATAGTGCTATTTGCCTGGTTTTGTTTAAATTATTTTATGTACCACATATTTATGAAGGAATTACAGTCATTGATTTCCTAGCAATAATTGTGTTTATAGTGGAGTGAATGTGCCCATTTTGCGTCTGTTAAAATTACTTTATTTGTGAAGTGTTGTACTAGGACGAAAGATAAAGACAATATGTCATAACTAAATATGACATTGCTGAATATGTCTTGCTAAATGTTACATTGCTGAATATGACATTACATTTATACTAAATATTGAGTACAGAATTCTTGTTCAATATTTCTCTATATACCATCTAGATAGGTGTAACATCTACAGGGTTAGGGTTTGTTTGTTTCTGCCATATCAACACTTTGCAATAGTATTGTGATTGGTGGTTAGCAGGTTGTCATAAGTAAATCATTTTATTTCATTTATGTCTTTTTTTCTAGTGTAAACCTTCTCTTTCCTTATAAGAAGTGATGCATTATGTGTGGCCACATACAGCCTGTTGTGTTGTGGCCACATACAGTACAGCCTGTTGTGTTGTGGCCACATACAGTACAGCCTGTTGTGTTGTGGCCACATACAGTACAGCCTGTTGTGTTGTGGCCACATACAGTACAGCCTGTTTTGTTGTGGCCACATACAGTACAGCCTGTTTTGTTGTGGCCACATACAGTACAGCCTGTTTTGTTGTGGCCACATACAGTACAGCCTGTTTTGTTGTGGCCACATACAGTACAGCCTGTTGTGTTGTGGCCACATACAGTACAGCCTGTTGTGTTTTGGCCACATACAGTACAGCCTGTTGTGTTTTGGCCACATACAGTACAGCCTGTTGTGTTTTGGCCACATACAGTACAGCCTGTTGTGTTTTGGCCACATACAGTACAGCCTGTTGTGTTTTGGCCACATACAGTACAGCCTGTTCTCTGCGTCCTACAGTTTGCCATTTGGATCTTGTAATTAGCTTAAGATAGGTTGCTGTAATTGTTATAGGGCTGGTAGGTCACCAACCAGTTCTATGGCTCATGCAGTTTTTATTGAGCGGTAGAACTGGTTGGTGACCTACTTACCAGCCCTATAAAGATAAAGTGGCAGACCGATCTAAAAGTTGTTGCATAAGGTTTTTTCAGAATAATGAAATAGTGTGGAAATAAGTGGCAGACTGATCTATGTGTTAATGCAGTTTGGTAAACTACAACTATAGCAATGGATTTTTATTTTGTTGGTGTGGCTTACGTTCTGTGACATAACTTTATGGACATGTTGCAACAAATGTGTGCAGAACTTTATGAACATGTTGCATTAATGTCAATTTTAGACTTTTATTTGTCAATTAATGTAGTGTAACTATTTATAGATAGGTGAATGCAGGTGTGAGGGAGAGTTACGCATGTTTCAAGTTTTGTGTGTCTGAAACCGTTAATGTTAAATGTAATTTTGTAGCAGACTTGAAATGATTTTGTATTTATTATTGCGCTCTCTCTCTGATGTAAACATATTTTCCTCATGTAAGAACTACATTAAAGCACATCGATTAGGATGTGGTGCTTGCTTGGTTGCATCTCATATTTACTCAACAGAGGATTGTGTGTCATATCGAACCCTCTGGCAATATTATATGCGACCAGACTGCCATATCTGCCTTGGTTTGGCAATATCACCGATTGTTCTCAGAGGCGTATCCAGGTTTTCGTTGTAGGGGGAGCGAAAAGAGCAAAAATAAGGCGCCGAATTTTTAACACGTTCTATATACTATATACGTGTATTTTATATATATATATATATATATATATATATATATATATATATAATTACTAGCTGTATGTCATTACTTCGCTTTGATGTAAAATAAATTGAAAGTAGCACTCTGAAGAAATAAGAAAATAATAATCATTAAAAAAGTTTTAAAAACCCACGTTTTCTGATTGAACTAAAAAGTAGAAAATAAATACTATACATCACAATAATGCAAGCGATCACTCTACTATAAGCGATGAAAAACGTGGGGCGCCGAAGTAAAAGTTATATTACTATTGATTAGATAATACTATTGACTTTTATTAGGGAGCTTGTAGAGAGTCAACAGTATTAGAAACTGTAAGAAAATCACGGCGCCCCACGTTTTTCATCGCTTATAGTAGAGTGATCGCTTGCATTATTGTGATGTATAGTATTTATTTTCTACTTTTTAGTTCAATCAGAAAACGTGGGTTTTTTAAAAACTTTTTTAATGATTATTATTTTCTACTTTTTAGTCTTTGTTTGTTTGCATTGAAATCTTGCTATCGATTTTATCTTTTCACTTTTTTTGGGTAAATGAAGACAACTCGTAAAAAGACAACTCGTAAAAAACGAGAGACCCTTTCTTCTTCGGTCTCAATCGCAAGTGAATGATTGTCAGAGGTTAGTTGATAGCGGTTAGGACGAGGGCTGGTTACTGACTAGAACACATAGATTTGAACCCGTGTCGAGTGGGATAGCAATCGTGTGCCCAACCACTCGACCATATCGTCTCCCCCAAACTGGCCACCAGTGGTAATAGTTACCTCCTGTAAGTTTAAAGTCGGTTCAAACTAAATTATCTGCCCCTAAGCCTGTCGCGACGTGGGATCGTTCGCTTCACTGCGCGCGGCAAGAGAGAGGCGAGCTACGCGTCGCTCGCTTTTTTTCTAATGGCTCGCAGAGGAGAATTATATATATAGATTATATAGCGGTCTAAAATGTTTCCATTGATCAATTTAGTAATAATAACAATTGAATATTCTATGGTCATCCAAAAGAAAGCTTCCCTGAAAATTTCAGCGCGCTAGCTAACTGGGAAGTGCCAGAAATTTCGATCGCAAGATTTGATTGGAAAGACAAACAGAGAAAGCAAGTTAAAGAAAACGTGGGGAAAAAACACACAATGTAGGCCGACAAAACAAACATTGTATCAATCTAAACAAAAAAGCAAACAAAATATACACACACTACAATTAAAAACAATGAACGTAACACAATCTGTTTTGTAATTCTTGTAAAAAAAATTCTTACATAATAATTCCTGGGAAATTATTTAAGACAAGTGAAATAGCGGAAATAATTACTCTCTAAATATAAATATAATATCTACACATTTAATTATAAATGTCAAAACAAATAAATAATTACTTTAGAATGTAATGAAATTATTTAACGCTATTCGTATAAACAAAATGTTTTTGTCTATAATCAGAATTTAATATATCGTCATCATAAATGCTAAAGTATTACAGCATAATGAAAGTTTTTGAAATCAGAGTTGGTATAAAACCACGCTTTTCGATAAAAAAGATAAACATTTGGAATAACAGCCTACATTTAACTAAATATCGGTCTTTTAGTTCAGATAATATATTTTTTAATTTACTACTGCTTCTTTGTGTTCCTTAAAGATTATTTTTTAACATAGTGATAGGAATGGGTTAGATCACTGTATTAACCACACACCTTTTTACTGTCCGGTCACTTTAGGTCAATTATCCCACCCAATGTATACCTAGGTGTGACATTAATGTCGCTCTACACAACTGTGTTGGTGGGTTGTGGGGGGGGGGGGGGGGAGATAACCAACTCTGAGTGAACATAGCGTCAGTTTTTAGATGACTGTTCTAAACATACATATTTATTACACATGTATACTGATTCAGAAATAGATTTAAATAAGTAGCAGTGGTATTATGACAATATTTTGTTTTACAGAGGGGTCCATGGGGGAGAGGGGTTGTAACTGTTTCATATAATTTGTAATCGTAATCACTATCGCCCAAACTGTAAGAATACTACTACTTCATCGTGATGACGTTGACCGTGTCAAAATATCTCCACCGCTACGCAGTTCGTCCATAAGTAAATTTAAATAGAGGTGCCACATCAGTTGTTTTTTTCTGTATTGTAATTTTCAAAAAATTAATCACACGATTCAAACTGTATATATAAAGTAATTATGTGTGAAGTTTTATGTATAACATTTTCTAATGCATTTATTCGTAAGCAAATAAATTATACAGTTGCCTTAAACTTAACACCCCTCTTGCCAATTGGTACTACCGGTAGAGGATATTTAAAAATTTCAATGCATCGTAATGGTTATTTTTAGAATGGCAAACTGATGCAGCTGTTAATACGTGTTGTAAACGTAGACACTACTAGACTAGTACAATAATGCTTAATTGCTGCATGAAAAGAAATCTTGTGATTTACATAGATGTGCCGACCAAAAATATTTTTTAACAATTTTTGTTTAAAACTTTGAGTTTAAAAAGTTTCCAAAAAGGCGCCACTTTGCTGAAAATTGCCAGAGGGGGAGCGGCCGCTCCCCCTGCGTACGCTACTGATTGTTCTGTTCTTCATATATTTGTATGGGAGGGTGTCACTTCTCTAAAGATTTGGTGCAACTACGATTGTTTTTTTTCCACAGCCTATCATTGAGATCAACTTGTGTGTTCTGATTGATCTGTGTGGTTGATGCCATACATTACCCCTGTCCCCCAGGTTTCATTAGTTTGATGGGGATGCACTCTGTGTAGCAGGTGTTAAACTTTGTTCTCTCCCTTAAGTCTCCCCTCTCACATGCTGAGACAGGCTCCCACCCCTGGCTTATAGTAGACTATAACTTTAGTACCCTTTCTGATAGACGAAATTTCACGTAAAAGTAAAAGATCTAATTATGTTTCCTTTAAAATTTTGAGTAATTTTCGGTGACCGTAAGGAGTACTTCCCGCTATTTCCGATTTCTCAAAAAACGTATATGAATATATAAAATACTAATGTTCCGCACAATTAAACTATATAGTACTAACTATATACACATAGTTTGCTGTTCACTTGGTGCGCAATTCTTTTTTTTTTTTTACGAGACTCTGTTTTAAAAAGTTGTAGGCCTATATATTAATTTTTATGTAAAAATTGCCACCCCCGTAAAAGAATATTCGAGAAAGTTATGTTTTAATTAAGCTTGTTGTACACACTAAAGCTGCAAGTAGTGCAAGCCTGTGTTGTAGTTCAAATGGCACCAACACAGCTGAACTTACTTCATTCATTTTTTATAGTCAACTTGAGGGACATGGTATCACGCCATTACATACAGTGGACACTTGTAAATCATATTGTAATTGTAAGCATAGCCGAGAAACATGTACTTTCTTAAAAATTTATTTTAAAAGAGTTAGTCTTAATTCATTCAATTGCTTGCAGATTTTGATGAAAGCGCCCATGTCTTTTAGGTTCTAGACTAGTGCACATCGAATGTTAATGCCATTGGGCTGTTTGCTGTAATCGTCTTCACACATCTAAGACCTTAAGTCTCGTAACCTTGAGCACTTCATGTCTGTCCGACTAACTATCGTACTTCCGGTCAAGGTCACGAAGTAGGGGCTCCAGCTTCTGGTCCTCAGCAGCAGCGCCCCCCGCTAATATGGCGACAATCGGGGCGAGGTCAGCGGGACGCACATCTGGCCGGAACCTGTAGAGGGGCGCTCCCTGGCGGGAGATGATGAACTTTTCAAAATTCCACGACACGTCGTTTAACTTGATGGGGTCCCAGGAGCTTTCTGTCTTGTTGTACGCTGTCTTGCTGGGGGCTGGGCACGATGCCTAGATGGAGTGGTCACAGTAATAATATAGCCATGATTGCATATGTGTGTATGTAGATATTTAACCGGTTTTCAAAATCAATTGCACAAGAACTTTGCATAGTAGAGTACTAGTCTTGGTAAGAATGTGGAGGTTACCTGCTTAGTTTAGGGGGAGGGGGAGGTAGAGAATACATCAGTTATAACTTATACCAGTTAGGGGGGGGGGACATATGTCCCTGGGCGCCGAAATGGGTTGGAAAAATAAATTGAAAGGTTGAGGAGGGGTGCAAATCGAAAAGTTTGTCCCCGGGAAGGGTTGCCACGCCTCTGACTTATACATGTACATTGTTTTATAAAACGGCCATCATTCCTGTGTGGAGCATAGGGACGCAACCACGCCTTGCCATCGAACTGGGTTCTGGGCAATTCCTCAAATTTTTAGCATGGTAGAGTACTCTTCTGATCTAAAAATACCTGGAAACTTATCCAGTACTTAGTATTATGCTTTCTCTTCAATATGGCGGAAGTACTGATGTGTCTATGCCAGGGGTCGGCAACCTCTTGAAGCGGAAGAGCCAAAAGTTACAATTTTCAAAATTTCCCTGGTTTTAAAGAGCCACTAACATTTTTTTATTTCAAATATTTTATTTTTTTATTAAGATTATTAGTATTTGTTCAAGGAGCTGGAGAGCCGCATCTTGATATCAAAAGAGCCGCATGCCGCTCGCGAGCCGCAGGTTGCCGACCCCTGGTCTATGCCACAAGTCGCTAGCTAATTGAAGTACTCACCTTCAGGAACCTGAACAGCGGAAGCTCGTGTCGCCCGTTGACGTCCACCCTGTTGGCGATGAACAGACTCGGGTGGGGGACGAACCCGTGTCCGGGTCGGACATGGGTCAGCGTGTTCATGACCTCCGTGCCGTTGACCCCGGGCTCCTGGTGACCGAATTGGTTGCAGGGAAAGGCCAGGACGGCCAGGTCCTGACTCAAGGCTTCTAACATCTGGTTCAACTCCCAGTACTGCCTGGTCAAACCTGCGGGACAAAACGGTCAAACATGCAGGACTAAAGGTCAAACATGCAGGACTAAAGGTCAAACCTGCAGGACATAAAGGTCAAACATGCAGGACTAAACGGTCAAACATGCAGGGCATAAAGTTCAAACCTGCAGGACATTAAGGTCAAACCTGCAGGACTAAAGGTCAAACCTGCAGGACTAAACGGTCAAACATGCAGGACAAAAATGTCAAACCTGCAGGACAAAGTCAAACCTGCAGGACTAAAGGTCAAACATGCAGGACTAAAGGTCAAACATGCAGGACAAAAAGGTCAAACCTGCAGGACAAAAAGGTCAAACCTGCAGGACTAAAGGCCAAACCTGCAGGACAAAAAGGTCAAACATGCAGGACTAAAGGTCAAACCTGCAGGACTAAAGGTCAAACCTGCAGGACAAAAAGGTCAAACCTGCAGGACTAAAGGCCAAACCTGCAGGACAAAAAGGTCAAACATGCAGGACTAAAGGTCAAACCTGCAGGACTAAAAGGTCAAACCTGCAGGACAAAAAGGTCAAACATGCAGGACTAAAGGTCAAACCTGTAGGACTAAAGGTCAAACATGCAGGACTAAAGGTCAAACCTGCAGGACTAAACGGTCAAACCTGCGAACAAAAATCTAAACTGCAAGAAGGATATCAAACTTACGACAGAATGAGGCCACATTGACCACTAGACCAAGCTTCGCTCCGATGACGTCATCCACACGTCTCAACGTCCTGCCGTGCGTGTCTAAAAAGGTGAAGTTGTGAGCAGTGGAACCTGCAGCCGATGTACATTCTGTGTAGTGGTTCCCTGCAACATGACAATGTTATTGTTAGTGGTTCCCTGCAACATGACAATGTTAGTGTTAGTGGTTCCCTGCAACATGACAATGTTACTGTTAGTGGTTCCCTGCAACATGACAATGTTACTGTTAGTGGTTCCCTGCAACATGACAATGTTACTGTTAGTGGTTCCCTGCAACATGACAATGTTAGTGGTTCCCTGCAACATGACAATGTTAGTGGTTCCCTGCAACATGACAATGTTAGTGGTTCCCTGCAACATGACAATGTTAGTGGTTCCCTGCAACATGACAGTGTTAATGTTAGTGGTTCCCTGCAACATGACAATGTTAGTGGTTCCCTGCAACATGACAATGTTAGTGGTTCCCTGCAACATGACAATGTTAGTGGTTCCCTGCAACATGACAATGTTAGTGGTTCCCTGCAACATGACAATGTTAGTGGTTCCCTGCAACATGACAATGTTAGTGGTTCCCTGCAACATGACAATGTTAGTGGTTCCCTGCAACATGACAATGTTAGTGTTAGTGGTTCCCTGCAACATGACAATGTTAGTGGTTCCCGGCAACATGCCAATGGCTAAAGTACTATGTTGGCCTACAGCACATGGCCAAAGTACTGTGTTGACCTAGAGCACATGGCCAAAGTACTATGTTGGCCTACAGCACATGGCCAAAGTACTGTGTTGACCTAGAGCACATGGCCAAAGTACTATGTTGGCCTACAGCACATGGCCAAAGTACTGTGTTGGCCTAGAGCACATGGCCAAAGTACTGTGTTGGCCTAGAGCACATGGCCAAAGTACTGTGTTAGCCTAGAGCACATGGCCAAAGTACTATGTTGGCCTACAGCACATGGCCAAAGTACTGTGTTGGCCTAGAGCACATGGCCAAAGTACTGTGTTGGCCTAGAGCACATGGCCAAAGTACTGTGTTGGCCTAGAGCACATGGCCAAAGTACTGTGTTGGCCTAGAGCACATGGCCAAAGTACTGTGTTGGCCTAGAGCACATGGCCAAAGTACTGTGTTGGCCTAGAGCACATGGCCAAAGTACTGTGTTGACCTAGAGCACATGGTGAAAGTACTGTGTTGGCCTACAGCACATGGCCAAAGTACTGTGTTGGCCTAGAGCACATGGCCAAAGTACTGTGTTGGCCTACAGCACATGGCCAAAGTACTGTGTTGGCCTACAGCACATGGCCAAAGTACTGTGTTGGCCTAGAGCACATGGCCAAAGTACTGTGTTGACCTAGACCACATGGCCAAAGTACTGTGTTGACCTAGAGCACATGGCCAAAGTACTGTGTTGGCCTACAGCACATGGCCAAAGTACTGTGTTGGCCTACAGCACATGGCCAAAGTACTGTGTTGGCCTACAGCACATGGCCAAAGTACTGTGTTGACCTAGAGGACATGGCCAAAGTACTGTGTTGGCCTAGAGCACATGGCCAAAGTACTGTGTTGACCTAGAGCACATGGCCAAAGTACTGTGTTGGCCTACAGCACATGGCCAAAGTACTGTGTTGGCCTACAGCACATGGCCAAAGTACTGTGTTGGCCTAGAGTACATGGCCAAAGTACTGTGTTGACCTAGACAATGAACGTTGTTTACCTGCACGTGAAGTGACCAACGAGACTGCGAGCAGGAATGCCGACAAGATAGAACATCTGTCACTTGTCATGGTGTGACCGCTGGTCAGTCCCTCATCCGACACAGCGTACAGCACAGATCATCTGTCAAACACCGAATTACAAATTGGACTTGTGGTTTTTTTTATAACATCTGACTTTTCGTTTCAGAGGCGGAGATCCGGCCGTCTGGAGTTATATGTGTACTTCATGCTGGGGCGAGCATACATACATACATACATACATACATACATGCATACATACATACATACATATATACAGACAGACAGACAGAGATCGAATGATGTCAAGATAGCAAGTAGCACTGGTAGGTTTTAGACAATTTCAGCCAAGACTTACTAGTGACGCCCTCGACAAATGCCCAGCTGACATCATCAGTGTCATCACAGCTAATTAACGTCTAGCCAGTAATTAACTCTACCGTGATTGGATTGTGTGGTGTGGTGCCATGCAGAATCAGCAAATCAATTAATCGCGCGGGGGGGGGGGCGATATTCATCTTTCTTAACACATGTAAGTGCTGCACAAAACTATCAACTACATTTTTGGTGACGCGAACTCCAAATTATTTATGTTTACAACCTGAGGCGGCTTCAGACAAGACATTGGTGTGTATATATATATATATATATATATATATACACACAAACTTTTCTTCCTTTAGTGATCATGAGCGTGTTGTTTTTCTGCTAATGAGAGACTGGTTTATTATTATCGACCGACTGTCTGTGGTGGCACGTTTTGTACCACAGACATTGATTTGTTTTTTATTAGCTCTGGTACGGTCTCCAAATGGCCTTGACCTCTCGGCTGATACTATAAATAGCATATATTGTTTCGTTATTTGGGATTAAACAGCATTGTTGAGGTCACTTTTGTTGTTATCATACACGGCCTTGACCTTAGGCGAGCAATGTATTGTGGGTGACAATCCAGCGGGACTAAGTGTGACGTCGTTTATTAGAGGACTCACTCGTCGCCTGGTGCGCGCGCATGCTGTGTATGTGTGTTTGCGTGTGTGAGAGAGTGTGAGGGTATATAAGCAGGCGACTGAAGCCAGCCATACATTCGTCGTGTGATATCAAACGATGGGTTGGAGCAGCGTAGGTCAGCTTGACCTGCTGGGCATCCTGTGGTTGGCCGCAACCCTTGTAGCAGACGTACACGGAGGTAAAGGTTGGCTGTGTGCTTGTTGTGTGTCTGTCGTGTGCCGCTTGTCTGTTTATGGACCAGTTAGTTCACCATATGTTAGTCTCCCTTGGGGTTGGGTGTGTGTTTGCTTCACCATTTTATTTTATGAACATATGCTTAATCTTCTTCTTAGTTTCTACACAATTAAGTATTACATGTCAACTTGTTATGCGCCATATAGGCCCTTGACTCCGAAATTCTTAATAAATACTAGCAGAGCGCCCCGCGCTGCGCGCGAGTGTCGGTTGCACGTCCCTTGTCTATGTGTGCGAACCACACAGTATTTTTTTAGATTGGGAAACAAACTTTCAAAATAATAGTGTATTGTTATATATATTAAAGAAAATCATTTATTTTATCTTCTTTAGTGCATGATCACATAAAAGCTTGTTATTAAACGTTTTAATGCATTTTAAAAAATTATCTTTGTCACTATTTTCGTTTCCGAAGGATAGATACTAAATAAACCGGGAGTGATCTCCCCTAAACTTTCTCGAATACTCTTTTATAACACTACAGGGGATGGACCTCGGGATATTGACATGATTTTTAATTCATTTTTTATTATTTAAACTTTTTAAAATAGAATAGAATCTCTTAGAAAAAAGAATTGCGCATTAAGTGAACGCCAAAAAAAATCTGCATATAATAGTGCGTAATATTATTAGTACTTTGTAAATTCACATGCGTTTTATTAGAAATCGGAAATAGCGTAAATTACTATTTCCGGTCAACGGAATTTTTTCAAATTTCAAAAAAGGCAGAGAATTAGATCTTTTACTTACAAGTGAAATTTCATTTATCTATCCGAAACAGTACTCAAGTACTATTGAAAAATTGAAAGTAAAATAAGTTCATAAGTGCGGAAATTGCTGAAAAGTTGATACAGAACTAGAAATTTGATATAATACTTGCATATGAAATGTCATCAACGTAGCTGCGTGCTCACAGACACACATACACACAGACATATGGACAAGATAGCAAAATTATATTTTTCCGACTCAGGGAGGTGTAAAACGTAGCGATTTGCAAAAATATTTTCTTTGCACGATTACACTACTTTCTCTATACTTCGTATACGAGAAGGTAAAAAGTGACTGTAAACATTTGTGAATGCAAAATATAAGTTCAAAGTTCACTTCGGCTTCACTCTTACACCATGTCCTTACATAAGTAGATGTACTTAGTTAATGTGTACTTAATTCGTGTGTACTTAGTTAATGTATACGTAATTCGTGTGTACTTAGTTAAAGTATACGTAATTCGTGTGTACTTAGTTAATGTGTATGTAACTCATGTGTACTTAATTAACTGAATACGAATCACCTTTTATCCCCTTGTCTATGACGTGACACCACGTGATCCCCGTATGATCCAGGCCACTACTACTCCACCTGCTCAACGGCAGACGACACGACTGCACGTGACTTTGTCGTCCAAGACATCAACAAAGGTCAGGAGATGTATTTGGGGGATGTGACGTCACAAAGGTTGACCATGGTCATCAATGTGGCAACTTACTGAAGTAGGTCGTTCGTGTGTTCATGTGTGTGTTCATGTGTGTTTTCAGATGTGTGTTCATGTGTGTCTTCTGATGCGTGTTCATGTGTCTTCAGATGTGTGTTCATGTGTGTCTTCAGATGTGTTCATGTGTGTCTTGAGTGGTGTGTTTTGGTGTTCAAGTGTTTTTTGGTGTGTGTTCAGGTGTGTGTTCAGGTGTGTGTTCAGGTGTGTGTTCAGTAGTGGTTGGGGCTTCAATAGCTACACAGTCGTGTCAACATGACGTAACAAAATGCGAAAAGGTAATTAACTGCAATTAACTGCTACCAGATTTCAATTATGGTGTGTGCCAGGCTAATTAATTAGAAGACCGGGGAAAGAGCTAATGGAAAATTGAGCACAAATTAGTTTACACGCCGGCTGTGTATAGCTCAATGTCTGTAGTAGATCCACTACACACTAAGTACTAGTATAGCTGACACAGGAGCCTACACAACACGAGGATGGCTAAGATATAAGCAAAACACGTCTTAAAAACTGACCCCTTTGTTCCACGCGAAACAATGATCTCACCCCCCCCCCCCCCCCACCCCACCAACCTCTGTTCTAGAACACACCCACCAGTACCACCAGATGAACGCACTACTCGGCCACCACGCCACCAAACTGACCGTCCTGGCCATCCCATGTGACCAGTTCGGCCACCAGGAGCCTGGGGCCAACGCCACGGAGATTCTCAACGGCCTTCACTTTGTGCGGCCCGGGGGTGGCTTCACCCCACACCGTGACCTTCAGCTCATGGCTAAAGCAGACGTCAACGGGGCCAATCAAATGCCGTTATACACGTTTCTAAAGGTCAGTTGCTCAGTCTAGGCTGGGGGTCGTCCTTAAAGGCTGGGGTCGTCCTTAAAGGCTGGGGGTCGTCCTTAAAGGCTGGGGGTCGTCCTTAAAGGCTGGGGTCGTCCTTAAAGGCTGGGGGTCGTCCTTAATTAAAGGCTGGGGTCGTCCTTAATTAAAGGCTGGGGGTCGTCTTAATTAAAGGCTGGCTGGGGGTCGTCTTAATTAAAGGCTGGGGGTCGTCCTTAATTAAAGGCTGGGGGTCGTCTTAATTAAAGGCTGGGGTCGTCCTTAATTAAAGGCTGGGGGTCGTCTTAATTAAAGGCTGGCTGGGGGTCGTCTTAATTAAAGGCTGGGGTCGTCCTTAATTAAAGGCTGGGGTCGTCCTTAATTAAAGGCTGGGGTCGTCCTTAATTAAAGGCTGGGGTCGTCCTTAATTAAAGGCTGGGGTCGTCCTTAATTAAAGGCTGGCTGGGGGTCGTCTTAATTAAAGGCTGGGGTCGTCCTTAATTAAAGGCTGGGGGTCGTCCTTAAAGGCTGGGGGTCGTCCTTAAAGGCTGGGGTCGTCCTTAAAGGCTGGGGGTCGTCCTTAAAGGCTGGGGGTCGTCCTTAAAGGCTGGGGTCGTCCTTAATTAAAGGCTGGGGGTCGTCCTTAATTAAAGGCTGGGGTCGTCCTTAATTAAAGGCTGGGGGTCGTCCTTAATTAAAGGCTGGGGGTCGTCCTTAATTAAAGGCTGGGGGTCGTCCTTAAAGGCTGGGGGTCGTCCTTAAAGGCTGGGGGTCGTCCTTAATTAAAAGCTGGGTGGGGGTTGTCCTTAATTAAAGGCTGGGGTCGTCCTTAATTAAAGGCTGGCTGGGGGTCGTCTTAATTAAAGGCTGGGGTCGTCCTTAATTAAAGGCTGGGGTCGTCCTTAATTAAAGGCTGAGGGTCGACCTGATCACCACACACCACACCAGATCACCACACCAGATCACCACCAGAGTTTCCGCCCCCCCCCCCCCGAACGAAATGAAATTTATATAATGTATATAGAAAATATATACTTTTTACAGTGTCCGCCCCCCCCCCCCCCCCGAAGAAAGTCTACCGCCCCTCCCCCCCCGAAAATTTCAAGTGCCGCCCCCCCCCCCCGGAGAAAAAAGTCTGGAAGAAACCCTGATCACCACACACCACACCAGATCACCACAACCACACCAGATCACCACACCCTACACCAGATCACCACACCCTACACCAGATCACCACACCACACCAGATCACCACACCCTACACCAGATCACCACACCCCACACCAGATCACCACACCCTACACCAGATCACCACACCCTACACCAGATCACCACACACCACTCACCACACCCTACACCAGATCACCACACCCCACACCAGATCACCACACACCACACCAGATCACCACACCCCACACCAGATCACCACACACCACTCACCACACCCTACACCAGATCACCACACCCCACACCAGATCACCACACCCCACACCAGATCACACCCTACACCAGATCACCACACACCACACCAGATCACCACACACCACACCAGATCACCACACCCCACACCAGATCACCACACACCACTCACCACACCCTACACCAGATCACCAAACCCTACACCAGATCACCACACCCTACACCAGATCACCACACCCTACACCAGATCACCACACCCTACACCAGATCACCACACCCTACACCAGATCACCAAACCCCACACCAGATCACCACACACCACTCACCACACCCTACACCAGATCACCAAACCCCACACCAGATCACCAAACACCACTCACCACACCCTACACCAGATCACCACACCCTACACCAGATCACCACACCCTACACCAGATCACCACACCCTACACCAGATCACCACACCCTACACCAGATCACCACACCCCACACCAGATCACACCCTACACCAGATCACCACACACCACACCAGATCACCACACACCACACCAGATCACCACACCCCACACCAGATCACCACACACCACTCACCACACCCTACACCAGATCACCACACCCTACACCAGATCACCACACCCCACACCAGATCACACCCTACACCAGATCACCACACACCACACCAGATCACCACACACCACACCAGATCACCACACCCCACACCAGATCACCACACACCACTCACCACACCCTACACCAGATCACCAAACCCTACACCAGATCACCACACCCTACACCAGATCACCACACCCTACACCAGATCACCACACCCTACACCAGATCACCACACCCTACACCAGATCACCAAACCCCACACCAGATCACCACACACCACTCACCACACCCTACACCAGATCACCAAACCCCACACCAGATCACCACACACCACTCACCACACCCTACACCAGATCACCACACCCTACACCAGATCACCACACCCCACACCAGATCACCACACCCTACACCAGATCACCACACCCTACACCAGATCACCACACCCTACACCAGATCACCACACCCTACACCAGATCACCACACCCTACACCAGATCACCACACCCTACACCAGATCACCACACCCTACACCAGATCACCACACCCTACACCAGATCACCACACCCTACACCAGATCACCACACCCCACACCAGATCACCACACCCCACACCAGATCACCAAACCCCACACCAGATCACCACACACCACTCACCACACCCTACACCAGATCACCACACCCTACACCAGATCACCACACCCTACACCAGATCACCACACCCTACACCAGATCACCACACCCTACACCAGATCACCACACCCTACACCAGATCACCACACCCTACACCAGATCACCACACCCTACACCAGATCACCACACCCTACACCAGATCACCACACCCTACACCAGATCACCAAACCCCACACCAGATCACCACACACCACTCACCACACCCTACACCAGATCACCACACCCTACACCAGATCACCACACCCTACACCAGATCACCACACACTACACCAGATCACCACACCCTACACCAGATCACCACACCCTACACCAGATCACCACACCCTACACCAGATCACCACACCCTACACCAGATCACCAAACCCCACACCAGATCACCACACACCACTCACCACACCCTACACCAGATCACCACACCCTACACCAGATCACCACACCCTACACCAGATCACCACACACCACTCACCACACCCTACACCAGATCACCACACCCTACACCAGATCACCACACCAGATCACCACACCCTACACCAGATCACCACACCCTACACCAGATCACCACACCCCACACCAGATCACCACACCCTACACCAGATCACCACACCCTACACCAGATCACCACACCCTACACCAGATCACCACACCCCACACCAGATCACCACACCCTACACCAGATCACACCCTACACCAGATCACCACACCCCACACCAGATCACCACACCCTACACCAGATCACCACACACCACTCACCACACCCTACACTAGATCACCACACCCTACACCAGATCACCACACACCACACCAGATCACCACACCCCACACCAGATCACCACACCCTACACCAGATCACCACACCCTACACCAGATCACCACACACCACTCACCACACCCTACACTAGATCACCACACACCACACCAGATCACCACACACCACTCACCACACCCTACACTAGATCACCACACAGCACACCAGATCACCACACACCCAGACCATATTACAACACATCACACCCCACACCAGATCACCACACACCACACCAGATCACCACATACCACACCACCCCACACCAGATCACCACACACCACACCAGATCACCACACACCACACCAGATCACACCCCACACCAGATCTCCAATCACCACACCCTACACTAGATCACCACACACCACACCAGATCACCACACACCCAGACCAGATCACAACACATCACACCCCACACCAGATCACCACACACCACACCAGATCACCACATACCACACCACCCCACACCAGATCGCCACACACCACACCAGATCACCATACACCACACCAGATCACCACACACCACACCAGATCACCACATACAACACCAGATCACCATACACCACACCACACCAGATCACCACACACCACACCACACCAGATCACCACATACCACACCACCCCACACCAGATCACCACACCCCACACCAGATCACCACACACCACTCACCACACACCACACCAGATCACCACACACCACACCAGATCACCACACCCTACACCAGATCACCACACACCACTCACCACACCCTACACTAGATCACCACACACCACACCAGATCACCACACACCACTCACCACACCCTACACTAGATCACCACACCCCACACCAGATCACCACACACCCAGACCAGATCATAACACATCACACCCCACACCAGATCACCACACACCACACCAGATCACCACATACCACACCACCCCACACCAGATCACCACACACCACACCAGATCACCACACACCACACCAGATCACAGCCCACACCAGATCACCACACACCACTCACCACACCCTACACTAGATCACCACACACCACACCAGATCACCACACACCCAGACCAGATCACAACACATCACACCCCACACCAGATCACCACACCAGATCACCACATACCACACCACCCCACACCAGATCACCACACACCACACCAGATCACCACACACCCAGACCAGATCACAACACATCACACCTCACACCAGATCACCACACCAGATCACCACATACCACACCACCCCACACCAGATCACCACACACCACACCAGATCACCATACACCACACCACACCAGATCACCACACACCACACCACACCAGATCACCACATACCACACCAGATCACCATACACCACACCACACCACACCACCACATACCACACCACCCCACACCAGATCACCACACACCACACCAGATCACCATACACCACACCACACCAGATCACCACACACCACACCACACCAGATCACCACATACCACACCACCCCACACCAGATCACCACACACCACACCAGATCACCACACACCACACCAGATCACCACACACCACACCAGATCACCCCACACCAGATCACCACACACCACACCAGATCACCATACACCACACCACACCAGATCACCACACACCACACCACATCACCACATACCACACCACCCCACACCAGATCACCACACACCACACCAGATCACCACACACCACACCAGATCACCACACACTACATCACCACACACCAGATCACCATACACCACACCAGATCACCACACACCACACCAGATCACCACACACCAGATCACCACACACCACACCAGATCACCACACACCACACTACATCACCACACACCACACCAGATCACCACACACCACACCAGATCACCACACACCAGATCACCACACACCACACTAGATCACCACACCCCACACCAGATCACCACACCCTACACCAGATCACCACACCCTACACCAGATCACCACACACCACTCACCACACCCTACACTAGATCACCACACACCACACCAGATCACCACACACCACTCACCACACCCTACACTAGATCACCACACAGCACACCAGATCACCACACACCCAGACCATATTACAACACATCACACCCCACACCAGATCACCACACACCACACCAGATCACCACATACCACACCACCCCACACCAGATCACCACACACCACACCAGATCACCACACACCACACCAGATCACACCCCACACCAGATCTCCAATCACCACACCCTACACTAGATCACCACACACCACACCAGATCACCACACACCCAGACCAGATCACAACACATCACACCCCACACCAGATCACCACACACCACACCAGATCACCACATACCACACCACCCCACACCAGATCGCCACACACCACACCAGATCACCATACACCACACCAGATCACCACACACCACACCAGATCACCACATACAACACCAGATCACCATACACCACACCACACCAGATCACCACACACCACACCACACCAGATCACCACATACCACACCACCCCACACCAGATCACCACACCCCACACCAGATCACCACACACCACTCACCACACACCACACCAGATCACCACACACCACACCAGATCACCACACCCTACACCAGATCACCACACACCACTCACCACACCCTACACTAGATCACCACACACCACACCAGATCACCACACACCACTCACCACACCCTACACTAGATCACCACACCCCACACCAGATCACCACACACCCAGACCAGATCACAACACATCACACCCCACACCAGATCACCACACACCACACCAGATCACCACATACCACACCACCCCACACCAGATCACCACACACCACACCAGATCACCACACACCACACCAGATCACAGCCCACACCAGATCACCACACACCACTCACCACACCCTACACTAGATCACCACACACCACACCAGATCACCACACACCCAGACCAGATCACAACACATCACACCCCACACCAGATCACCACACCAGATCACCACATACCACACCACCCCACACCAGATCACCACACACCACACCAGATCACCACACACCCAGACCAGATCACAACACATCACACCTCACACCAGATCACCACACCAGATCACCACATACCACACCACCCCACACCAGATCACCACACACCACACCAGATCACCATACACCACACCACACCAGATCACCACACACCACACCACACCAGATCACCACATACCACACCAGATCACCATACACCACACCACACCACACCACCACATACCACACCACCCCACACCAGATCACCACACACCACACCAGATCACCATACACCACACCACACCAGATCACCACACCACACCAGATCACCACATACCACACCACCCCACACCAGATCACCACACACCACACCAGATCACCACACACCACACCAGATCACCACACACCACACCAGATCACCCCACACCAGATCACCACACACCACACCAGATCACCATACACCACACCACACCAGATCACCACACACCACACCACATCACCACATACCACACCACCCCACACCAGATCACCACACACCACACCAGATCACCACACACCACACCAGATCACCACACACTACATCACCACACACCAGATCACCATACACCACACCAGATCACCACACACCACACCAGATCACCACACACCAGATCACCACACACCACACCAGATCACCACACACCACACTACATCACCACACACCACACCAGATCACCACACACCACACCAGATCACCACACACCAGATCACCACACACCACACTAGATCCCACACACCAGATCACCACACACCACACCAGATCACCACACACCACACCAGATCACCACACACCAGATCACCACACACCCAGACCAGATCACCACATACCACACCAGATCACCACACACCACACCAGATCACCACACACCCAGACCAGATCACCACACACCACACTACATCACCACACACCACACCAGATCACCACACACCACACCAGATCACCACACACCACACCAGATCACCACACACCAGATCACCACACACCAGATCACCACACACCACACCAGATCATACCCCACACTACATTACCACACACCACACCAGATCACCACACACCACACCAGATCACCACACACCACACCAGATCACCACACACCAGATCACCACACACCACACCAGATCACCACACACCACACCAGATCACCACACACCAGATCACCACACACCACACTACATCACCACACACCACACCAGATCACCACACACCACACCATACCCCACACTACATCACCACACAGACTACAGCAATGTGTCCTCCATCCCCAGGATGCCTGCCCGCCCCCCTCCGCTGGAGTCTTCAACCCACGAGAGAGCTTCTGGCAGCCAATCAAAATAAGTGACCTCGTTTGGAACTTTGAGAAATTTATTCTATCACCAACCGGCGTGCCTCTCTTTCGATTCAGACCGGAAGTCGAGCCATTAGACATTGAGGAAGTTCTGACAGCTCTGTTTGAGCCAGTCGTTGACTTGACGGCTCAGCGTCGGCGGCTCTCCCGGCTCCTGCAGGATGTTGACCAGCGCGTGATGGCTAGTGCAGGATGTTGACCAGCGCGTGATGGCTCGTGCAGGCTCCTCACGGTAACCCCCACCCCTCCCCCCTCCCTACACCGAATACCAGTACTTAAGACAACACGAAAAATGAATTTTATCAGACAGGTCAGAACAAAACATTCTGTTGTTTAGAGCAAAGCTACAGTCACGTGACATCTATTCATAGTATCTGAAATCTTGATGACGACATGGCGTGTAAACTCTCCACAGAAACCGCCATGTCTGAACTGTACTCGAGATACATTTGACCTTTAGTGCGTTTGGTCTTTTGTGTTGCAAGTTTTGATTGGCGGATACTATAAATAGAGCTACGCTAGATTAAACGAATTGTATTTTGTGTGAATTTTTGTTTTAACTGTGAATTTTATTATGTTTGGCTTAAATAAAAAATGATATAAAATATACATAACAAGCTTATACTTATATTATAAGCTCGGTTTTTACAAGTCACAGTTTAATAAATTTTGACCCATTCCAACTGGAGTTGGTTCCTTTCAAATGTCCATATCAATTCAGCACCTACGTCAAGGTTATGCTAGAACTCTCGATGGAGGTCAAGGTTATGCTAGAACTCTCGATGGAGGTCAAGTTTATGCTAGAACTCTCGATGGAGGTCAAGGTTATGCTAACTTTCTATGGAGGCCAAGGTCATGCTAGAAATCGTGATGGATGTCAAGGTTATGCTAGAACTCTTGATGGAGGTCAGGGTTATGCTAGAACTCTCGATGGAGAAATGATTCTTGTAGAGAGAGAGAAGCGTCAACTTAATTCTAGAATTAATAGCGATCGGAAATGAAATAAGAGATGGTACTTATTGTTTTATAAACTTAAGTCGACCTCCTTTTATTTTTCTCTTACAATTCTAAGAAACTAAAAAGTTGTAAATAAAACACGTAGAAAGAATCTGTGTAATGTCTCAAGCTTTTCAGTGCACTTAAAGACAAAGCTAAATGTGCTATTCTGTCCTAGGTCGCATATAGGCTACATGTGACATAGCGGTCAAAGCATCTGCTGTTGAAGAAATATTTTCAATTCATTGGCTATTTACAACATCTCATATAATACCGGTCTGTCTTTTTTGGTGGATTCAATGGCTTCTTGTTAGAAATGTTTAACATAATTTTTACAAAATGTAAACTCAAACACCAAAATAACATCAACAGCCCTACATCTCGATACAAAGGGACAGCACTCCAAACGTACAGGACAGTCACTCGATGTATGAAGAATCAACTTTTAATAACTGTCATCAATAAACACTGGCTGGTGCGGGCGTCACTTGAGTGTAAAGTCGATACAGCCAGTACAGCGGTGTAGGTGTCTGGGGGGGGGGGGGGGAAGACATTGTTTTGTTTATTCTGTGATGTACTAAAATAACATACAACGTGTGCTGTGATCTACTAAAATAACATACAACGTGTGCTGTGATCTACTAAAACAACATATAACGTTTACTGTGATGTACTAAAACAACATACAACGTTTACTGTCATGTACTAAAACAACATACAACGTTTACTGTCATGTACTAAAACAACATATATACTAAAACAACATATAACGTTTACTGTGATGTACTAAAACAACATACAACGTTTACTGTCATGTACTAAAACAACATACAACGTTTACTGTCATGTACTAAAACAACATATATACTAAAACAACATATAACGTTTACTGTCATGTACTAAAACAACATACAACGTTTACTGTGATGTACTAAAACAACATACGACGTTTACTGTGATGTACTAAAACAACATACAACTGTGATCTACTAAAACAACATACAACGTGTACTGTGATGTACTAAAACAACATACAACGTGTGCTGTGATCTACTAAAATAACATACAACGTGTACTGTGATCTACTAAAACAACATATAACGTTTACTGTGATGTACTAAAACAACATACAACGTTTACTGTCATGTACTAAAACAACATATATACTAAAACAACATATAACGTTTACTGTGATGTACTAAAATAACATACAACGTTTACTGTGATGTACTAAAATAACATACAACGTTTACTGTGATCTACTAAAACAACATATAACGTTTACTGTGATGTACTAAAACAACATACAACGTTTACTGTCATGTACTAAAACAACATATATACTAAAACAACATATAACGTTTACTGTGATGTACTAAAACAACATACAACGTTTACTGTGATGTACTAAAATAACATACAACGTTTACTGTGATCTACTAAAACAACATATAACGTTTACTGTGATGTACTAAAACAACATACAACGTGTACTGTGATCTACTAAAACAACATATAACGTTTACTGTGATGTACTAAAACAACATACAACGTTTACTGTCATGTACTAAAACAACATATATACTAAAACAACATATAACGTTTACTGTGATGTACTAAAACAACATACAACGTTTACTGTCATGTACTAAAACAACATATATACTAAAACAACATATAACGTTTACTGTGATGTACTAAAACAACATACAACGTTTACTGTCATGTACTAAAACAACATACAACGTTTACTGTGATGTACTAAAGCAACACACAACGTTTACTGTGATGTACTAAAACAAAATACAACGTTTACTGTGATGTACTAAAACAAAATACAACGTTTACTGTGATGTACTAAAACAACATACAACGTTTACTGTGATGTACTAAAACACCATACAACGTTTACTGTGATGTACTAAAACAACACACAACGTTTACTGTGATGTACTAAAACAACATACAACGTGTACTGTGATGTACTAAAACAACATACAACGTGTACTGTGTACAAATACCGGGTGAAGGGGTGGGGGGGGGGGGGGGGGAAGGAGGGACCATCCCATGAAGCACACTCTATGGAGTCAACCATAAACGACGTCACGCATTTTTTGGACACATTTTGACCCCCTACCCCAACACTAGCGTCACACAAAGCCAGTCCCCCCCCCACCTTATAATTGCATTAATTGTTTGTATTTAAATATGGATTTCTTTCTAAAATAATTACAGCTCAACACATCAGCGAGAATACATTTTGTAACATGACGTTTTATAATTTGAAAAACTGTGTCGTCACACTCCCCCCGCCCCATTTTTCCCCCTCGTTACGCCACAAAATTCCGAAGCGCCCCCCCCCCCTTTAGGGGTGTGACGTCAACAGGCTACACGGAAACAATCACTTAAAACATACAACAGGGGAGATCAGATACTACATGTAGCCACTATAGGCCTCATGTAGCCCCTAGGACACAGGTAGCCACTACAGGTAGCCACTGAAGGCTACATGCTGAGCTCACTTGGTATCATCCTCGCTGGTCGAGGCGTGGGCTGTCTTCTGCTTGACGTCACCATCAGCGCCGTCGACGGAGTGGTTGGGGTTCGAAACCTGGGCTCGTGAGATGGAGGTCTGGGGCAGCTCTGGGTCGCTGGCCGGCTGGCGCTTGTCCTCGCTCGGCTGTGGTGACGTCACGTTGGAACTGGAGGCCATGCTGAGGGGCTTAGGTCATACCTGTGACGTCACACGTAAGCAGATGGTCATGTCTTCAACACAAACATTGTCATCGTTAACAATTAGCCAGCCCTAACAATTAGCCAGCTCTAACAATTAGCCAGCCCTAACAATTAGCCAGCCCTAACAATTAGCCAGCCTAACAATTAGCCAGCTTTAACAATTAGCCAGCCTAACAATTAGCCAGCTTTAACAATTAGCCAGCTTTAACAATTAGCCAGCCTAACAATTAGCCAGCCCTAACAATTAGCCAGCCCTAACAATTAGCCAGCCCTAACAATTAGCCAGCCCTAACAATTAGCCAGCCCTAACAATTAGCCAGCTGTAACAATTAGCCAGCCTAACAATTAGCCAGCTTTAACAATTAGCCAGCCTAACAATTAGCCAGCTGTAACAATTAGCCAGCTTTAACAATTAGCCAGCCCTAACAATTAGCCAGCTTTAACAATTAGCCAGCCCTAACAATTAGCCAGCTTTAACAATTAGCCAGCCCTAACAATTAGCCAGCTTTAACAATTAGCCAGCCTAACAATTAGCCAGCTTTAACAATTAGCCAGCTTTAACAATTAGCCAGCTTTAACAATTAGCCAGCCTAACAATTAGCCAGCCTAACAATTAGCCAGCCCTAACAATTAGCCAGCTTTAACAATTAGCCAGCCCTAACAATTAGCCAGCCCGAACAATTAGCCAGCCCTAACAATTAGCCAGCCCTAACAATTAGCCAGCTGTAACAATTAGCCAGCCTAACAATTAGCCAGCTGTAACAATTAGCCAGCTGTAACAATTAGCCAGCTGTAACAATTAGCCAGCTTTAACAATTAGCCAGCTTTAACAATTAGCCAGCTTTAACAATTAGCCAGCTCGAACAATTAGCCAGCTCTATTTTAGGATAAAACCAGAGTTGATTTTTAAATATCTCAGCGGTTCTATGTCTGAATGTCTGACCACACCCATCCTATACCATCTGAATGTCTGACCACGCTTAACATCAAGACTCAAACTTGAAACTGAACGATCAATTGAACCTGGGCTGGGAATAACCTAATACTTATAAATAACTAGATAGATTTATTTAGAGATGTCAAGCAACTAGACCTAGACCTACCTGTTCTCGTAATGTGATCAGAATTGATCTCAGTGACTCCACAGATTCAAGTACTCGAACTAGACTTTAGTGAAGGCACTGATCCAATATTTGAACTAGACTTTAGTGAAGGCACTGATCCAATATTTGAACTAGACTTTAGTGAAGGCACTGATCCAATATTTGAACTAGACTTTAGTGAAGGCACTGATCCAATATTTGAACTAGACTTTAGTGAAGGCACTGATCCAATATTTGAACTAGACTTTAGTGCTGGGTATCATTAGTAACAAACACAATCTGCATCATGACGGCTAACTGTTGACACAAAATATTTGCTTGCATCAGTGCGCACCGCACTGCGCAATGTCATTGGTTAATTAAATAAATCAAAGCACTTCTTAGCTAATAAAATACTTTGTCCTTAAAACAAATACAAAGAGAAAAGGTGTAAAAAAAGGGGGGGGGGGGGGGCGGGCAGTATTTCTTCCAGGAATCTCTTTGGGAGATCTCCCCCCCCCCAAGAAAGTCTACAGCCATTCCCAAGGCCACGGTAAAACAAAACGAAGGTCAAGCGTTCTAGTTCTTCAAAGTGGGATATGTGAGACCAGGTCCTACCTTGGTGACCTACACATTAGATATGTGAGACCAGGTTGGTGACCTACACATTAGATATGTGAGACCAGGTCCTATCTTGGTGACCTACACATTAGATATGTGAGACCAGGTCCTACCTTGGTGACCTACACATTAGATATGTGAGACCTATCTTGGTGACCTACACATTAGATATGTGAGACCAGGTTGGTGACCTACACATTAGATATGTGAGACCAGGTCCTACCTTGGTGACCTACACATTAGATATGTGAGACCAGGTCCTATCTTGGTGACCTACACATTAGATATGTGAGACCAGGTCCTATCTTGGTGACCTACACATTAGATATGTGAGACCAGGTCCTACATTGGTGACCTACACATTAGATATGTGAGACCAGGTCCTATCTTGGTGACCTACACATTAGATATGTGAGACCAGGTCCTATCTTGGTGACCTACACATTAGATATGTGAGACCAGGTCCTATCTTGGTGACCTACACATTAGATATGTGAGACCAGGTCCTATCTTGGTGACCTACACATTAGATATGTGAGACCAGGTCCTACCTTGGTGACCTACACATTAGATATGTGAGACCAGGTTGGTGACCTACACATTAGATATGTGAGACCAGGTCCTGTCTTGGTGACCTACACATTAGATATGTGAGACCAGGTCCTATCTTGGTGACCTACACATTAGATATGTGAGACCAGGTCCTACCTTGGTGACCTACACATTAGATATGTGAGACCAGGTCCTATCTTGGTGACCTACACATTAGATATGTGAGACCAGGTCCTATCTTGGTGACCTACACATTAGATATGTGAGACCAGGTCCTACCTTGGTGACCTACACATTAGATATGTGAGACCAGGTCCTACCTTGGTGACCTACACATTAGATATGTGAGACCAGGTTGGTGACCTACACATTAGATATGTGAGACCAGGTCCTACCTTGGTGACCTACACATTAGATATGTGAGACCAGGTCCTACCTTGGTGACCTGCACATTAGATATGTGAGACCAGGTCCTATCTTGGTGACCTACACATTAGATATGTGAGACCAGGTCCTATCTTGGTGACCTACACATTAGATATGTGAGACCAGGTCCTATCTTGGTGACCTACACATTAGATATGTGAGACCAGGTCCTACCTTGGTAACCTACACATTAGATATGTGAGACCAGGTCCTATCTTGGTGACCTACACATTAGATATGTGAGACCAGGTCCTACCTTGGTGACCTACACATTAGATATGTGAGACCAGGTCCTACCTTGGTGACCTGCACATTAGATATGTGAGACCAGGTCCTATCTTGGTGACCTACACATTAGATATGTGAGACCAGGTCCTATCTTGGTAACCTACACATTAGATATGTGAGACCAGGTCCTACCTTGGTGACCTACACATTAGATATGTGAGACCAGGTCCTACCTTGGTGACCTGCACATTAGATATGTGAGACCAGGTCCTATCTTGGTGACCTACACATTAGATATGTGAGACCAGGTCCTATCTTGGTGACCTACACATTAGATATGTGAGACCAGGTCCTATTTTGGTGACCTACACATTAGATATGTGAGACCAGGTCCTATCTTGGTGACCTACACATTAGATATGTGAGACCAGGTCCTATCTTGGTGACCTACACATTAGATATGTGAGACCAGATTGGTGACCTACACATTAGATATGTGAGACCAGGTCCTATTTTGGTGACCTACACATTAGATATGTGAGACCAGGTCCTATTTTGGTGACCTACACATTAGATATGGGTCTGGACACGATTTGAAACAAACAAAAAAAAAACGTCCCTGGGTGGGCTCAAACCACCAACCTTTCGGTTAACAGCTGAACTGCTAACCGAATGCACCACAGAGATTGATGTGGTAGACATATCTGCAAAGTACGAGTATTGATATGGTGAAGATGTTTTAATACTTTTAAGCAGTGTGACGTCATGTTTTTTAAGGTGGGGGTGGTTAAAATAATTGAATGATAGATGAACCCCACAGTGAGCCATGGACACAAGTGATCAGATCATTAGCAGTTTGTAGTGGCCAATCTGAATTCAAGTTGTTAATGTAGATTTGAAAGGAGTGACAATATTACCATCAATGATGTAGGTCTTAATGTCAGTTCTAGAAAAACGTCCACATCCAACCAACTTCAGCTGAATTGTTTACCCCTCCTTAAATAAAATGTATTGGGCAAAATATACATGACCTACCCCCCCCCCCCCCCCCCCCCCCCAAAACATAGGATCCTCTTAGTCTTAAATGACCTGCAACTCATTTTTATTGACATTTTTCAAATTTCAGACAGTAAACACAATGAAGAACACATTTATTGATGGAATATATTTTTAAAAATTTCAGACAGGTCTGGAAAAGAACAAATTTATTGATGGAATATATTTTTAAAAATTTCAGACAGGTCTGGAAAAGAAGAAATTTATTGGAAATAAAATATTGATGGAAATAATTTTTAATTTTAGACAGGTCTGGAACTGAAATATTTATTGATGTTACTAAACAACAAACCAGTGTTAGTGAAATCAAGGAAGACAATCAATGTTTCAATATGATAACAAATTGAAATGACAACTTGATTCTAATCTGATCAGAACTAAATCACATGGCATTTAAATGACTCGACAAATCACATCAACTGTTTGATTTATTCATAAACATTGAGTTTAAATGAACAAAGGCACAGACAGACAAATTTGTTTGTCATCAATAAGAAAAAAATCAACAGGATCACAGTGTCAACCCTTGACACATGAGCATCTTACACCTGTTTATAAAATGTTTTGTAATGAGACACCCTCCCCCCATTATTAAAAAAAAAAACATTTTGAACAAAAACTATACCAATAACAGGTAGTCTCATTAAACTTAATTGTGTCAGCATGTCTGAAAACATTTAATGTGCCTTATAGAATAGAACAGCACAGCTACCAGTGTTTTGATGATATCAAAACTATTTCACACAAATTTTGTGCTCATGTCCTTCTGTTCATGACAAGAAAATGAATGACAGTTTGACACTAACAAAAGGAACCCAAGACAAACATACATTAACAACACCACAACAAACAGGGGAAGGCACTCATACCAAATTGGCTTTCTGCTGGAGAGGTGAATGGTTTGACCTGCAGAGTCAGAGAAATCTGGCACATTTCAAGGAAATTTAACATGCACCCACCTGTACGCCAACCAGAACCCTGCGCTAATCTGTATGTTACGTTGACAGAAAACATTAGCTACAAACTGTGCCTACATCGACATTCCAACCATTTTACATCATTTTTAAAAATCTGTGTTAGATTAAATCAGCATTGCTGGCTTAAAATAGACAAATCAAAGTTCTTTAAAGTGGCGTCACAGATTTGTGAAACACTTTTGTCATTTTCTGGGACTACCTTGATGTGAACCCAGCGGGCTCCCCCGTTGGTGCCCCTCCCACAAATAGTCGCACTGGTGTTGAAATCTGAACACTCTTTTTTATGGGAGGATAATTTCAGCTTTTTGACAGGTTCCTCAATCACTGGAGACAGTCTTTTAATGGTCAAAACATCTGTGGCACGAGTTGGTATGACTTGAATTCTAACTTCCTTTTTTGGCAAGCTTTTAGCGCAAGTAACTGGCAGACTTGCATTGTTTTGATAATCTGAGTTTGGGTTTTTAATGCTCACATTAGCCATATTTTGAGGTGACAATTTCTTTTTTGGTTCAAATTTGAAAGACTGAGTAGACTGAGAAGATTTGTTGTGAGAATGATCCTCCAGTTTGTCCTGGGAGTTGACCTGTCCAGTGCTGCCACCTGCCAGAGACTGGTTGACCTCTATGTGGTCTGCTCTAGGTGATCCTGGCCAGAGAGATTTATAAAAATGTGAACAGGGTATAGCAGCCATTGGATGACCAGCACGTGAACTATTGACCTCAGCACATTTGTAGACTGAAGAGTTCTTGTAAGCAGGGGAGTGAAACAAAGTTCTGCAGCAACTTCTCTTATTGAATGGACCACTGGGCCCGCTCCAGTTTGCTGAGGTAGCCACTTCTGTCGTAGAAATATCAACCCTTTCTGGTTTACCCATGGCAGCATCTGGTGTGGCCAATATTGAAATGTTTTCAAAGATATCTTGGAAGTGTCTGCTTTTGTTACTAGATTTATTCTGACAGGTCTTAGCACCTGCGTTGTTCTTGTGAGTACAACAGTCTGACACATCAGATTCATCAGTTTGATTGGCTGACTCCTCTAACATGCCTGGATTGGCTGACTCCTCTAACATGCCTGGATTGGCTGACTCCTCTTTAAGGTCAAAGGTTAAGTTCTTTTTATGCAGCTGTTCAGCTTGGCCACAAGGCACATTATTTTTAACCTTCATTAAGTAATCTGGAGGTGTTTGTACATGACTAGAGGACTTTTGGCTGCCATCATTAGAGGACTTTTGGCTGCCATCATTAGAGGACTTGTGGCTGCCACCCCTATATTCCTGAGAAAAAACAACAAACATATTTATACATACTGCTGGTAATGTGCTGGATATTGTAACAGATTATACTTGAGGATATTTTTGTCTGGAGTGAACTTCACATGTCAGCAGAATGCCTGACTGATGCTGGTCAATGATGAGCGACTAATCCCATTTTTTTTCATGATGTCATTCACTGACTGTGGTGAGGAACTGTTGGGTACATGGGGTGTGGCAAGATGTGCCACTCTAGTCAGTTGCTAAATGAATATGTCAGTGTGCACCAGATGCTAGACATGTACTGATATACTAAGTTCACTCCCAACATAAAACATGATTAAGTTTACTCCCAACATAAAACATGATTAAGTACTTTCTGTTTCAGACATTTTAATGAACAACTTTACTTATGAGAAGAATGTTGATTGTTTAAGATGTGATGCTGATACCTTGGTGTCTTGGTTTAAGATGTGATACCTTGGTGTAAGTCTTTGTTTAAGATGTGATACCTTGGTGTCTTTGTTTAAGATGTGATACCTTGGTGTAAGTCTTTAAGATGTGATACCTTGGTGTCTTTGTTTAAGATGTGATACCTTGGTGTAAGTCTTTAAGATGTGATACCTTGGTGTAAGTCTTTAAGATGTGATACCTTGGTGTAAGTCTTTAAGATGTGATACCTTGGTGTAAGTCTTTAAGATGTGATACCTTGGTGTAAGTCTTTAAGATGTGATACCTTGGTGTAAGTCTTTAAGATGTGATACCTTGGTGTAAGTCTTTAAGATGTGATACCTTGGTGTCTTTGTTTAAGATGTGATACCTTGGTGTAAGTCTTTAAGATGTGATACCTTGGTGTCTTTGTTTAAGATGTGATACCTTGGTGTAAGTCTTTGTTTAAGATGTGATACCTTGGTGTAAGTCTTTAAGATGTGATACCTTGGTGTAAGTCTTTAAGATGTGATACCTTGGTGTAAGTCTTTAAGATGTGATACCTTGGTGTCTTGGTTTAAGATGTGATACCTTGGTGTAAGTCTTTAAGATGTGATACCTTGGTGTAAGTCTTTAAGATGTGATACCTTGGTGTCTTTGTTTAAGATGTGATACCTTGGTGTAAGTCTTTAAGATGTGATACCTTGGTGTCTTTGTTTAAGATGTGATACCTTGGTGTAAGTCTTTAAGATGTGATACCTTGGTGTAAGTCTTTAAGATGTGATACCTTGGTGTAAGTCTTTGTTTAAGATGTGATACCTTGGTGTCTTGGTTTAAGATGTGATACCTTGGTGTAAGTCTTTGTTTAAGATGTGATACCTTGGTGTAAGTCTTTAAGATGTGATACCTTGGTGTAAGTCTTTAAGATGTGATACCTTGGTGTCTTTGTTTAAGATGTGATACCTTGGTGTAAGTCTTTAAGATGTGATACCTTGGTGTCTTTGTTTAAGATGTGATACCTTGGTGTCTTTGTTTAAGATGTGATACCTTGGTGTCTTTGTTTAAGATGTGATACCTTGGTGTAAGTCTTTAAGATGTGATACCTTGGTGTCTTTGTTTAAGATGTGATACCTTGGTGTAAGTCTTTAAGATGTGATACCTTGGTGTAAGTCTTTAAGATGTGATACCTTGGTGTAAGTCTTTAAGATGTGATACCTTGGTGTCTTTGTTTAAGATGTGATACCTTGGTGTAAGTCTTTGTTTAAGATGTGATACCTTGGTGTAAGTCTTTAAGATGTGATACCTTGGTGTAAGTCTTTAAGATGTGATACCTTGGTGTAAGTCTTTAAGATGTGATACCTTGGTGTAAGTCTTTAAGATGTGATACCTTGGTGTCTTTGTTTAAGATGTGATACCTTGGTGTAAGTCTTTGTTTAAGATGTGATACCTTGGTGTAAGTCTTTAAGATGTGATACCTTGGTGTAAGTCTTTAAGATGTGATACCTTGGTGTAAGTCTTTAAGATGTGATACCTTGGTGTAAGTCTCCAACAGACTGCTGTGAGTGGGGTCAATGCCCTGGGAGTGGGCCAGAGTTATGACAATGTTGTTCAAAACTTTGTTGATCACGTCAGACTCGTGCTGGGTCAGGGACTCTGCGCCGCTGTGCCACATGTAAATGCTCCTCACCATCCTTTTGGTGATGACACTGGAACAATGGGAAGAGAAAAAGTTGCTTGAATATAAAAACAGACATCTCCCTGAAACAGGTCGCAGCATCTACCAAGTAGACGAGGATATATTAACAAGAAAGTTTATTCAATCATTGCCATGAACAATTTTAACTTTCATTGTTATATCATTTTTTCGCAAGCATGTTATGTACACATGAATACAGTGTGGGACATTAACATGTTGTTGGCAGTTCTAGTGTGGGACATTAACATGTTGTTGGCAGTTCTAGTGTGGGACATTAACATGTTGGCAGTTCTAGTGTGGGACATTAACATGTTGGCAGTTCTAGTGTGGGACATTAACATGTTGTTGGCAGTTCTAGTGTGGGACATTAACATGTTGGCAGTTCTAGTGTGGGACATTAACATGTTGGCAGTTCTAGTGTGGGACATTAACATGTTGGCAGTTCTAGTGTGGGACATTAACATGTTGTTGGCAGTTCTAGTGTGGGACATTAACATGTTGGCAGTTCTAGTGTGGGACATTAACATGTTGTTGGCAGTTCTAGTGTGGGACATTAACATGTTGTTGGCAGTTCTAGTGTGGGACATTAACATGTTGTTGGCAGTTCTAGTGTGGGACATTAACATGTTGGCAGTTCTAGTGTGGGACATTAACATGTTGTTGGCAGTTCTAGTGTGGGACATTAACATGTTGTTGGCAGTGTGTGGTCAGGTTCACTAGTCACTTGACAGTTATTATAATCATGTCACCAAATTGAAAAGTTAGTCAGGAAGGCCAAGCAGTAATCTTATTATTTTAATTTAGACTGTGTATTTTTAACTTGGACTGTGTATTTTTAACTTGGACTGTGTATTTTTAACTTGGACTGTGTATTTTTAACTTGGACTGTGTATTTTTAACTTGGACTGTGTATTTTTAACTTGGACTGTGTATTATTCAGGAATGCTGCTCAGAATGAGCTTTTTAATTACATTTTTTACCCCGTTTGGCGCCCCTGAGGGTCAGCCGCCCCACTTGCCCTCCCCTAGCTACAACTACACCTATGGTAAGTAGGATAATAAATTAAGGCCTACTATTTAGTAGCCATTTAGTAGTAGACTATGTAGACTACAAATAGTAACAATAAAATTATTATAAGAACTAGGCCTATTATTATTACTATAATTTAGTATAATGGGAAGGTGTAGCCTAGCAGTAGAGAGCTAGACTACTAAACCAAAAGTCTCAAGTTCGAATCTGGGTACCTAACTCACATTATGGATACATAGGCAGCTGACCATAGTGCTGACCATAATAATGATAATAAAATTAATCCCTTCAAATGCCGAGGTCTCTGAAACAGATGAACTCTACTTCATCTGCCCCATGTGTCTTGTGTATGAAATGAATGGGAAAAGAAAAGATGATTATTGCTTTAACTTAGGCCCTACAAAAGTTGAGATTAAGAAATTGTGACTACGATGTTCGATGTAGATTTAGTCTACCCTAAAAATAAAAAATAAGGGGGGGGGGGGATGGGAAGAGAAACTTACTTTATGTCATGTTGAGAAATAATGCGTCGAATGGATTCTTCTATTGCTGATTCAACGTCCATTCTTAGAATGATTCTAGATCTAGAATCTGGATGTCTAGATCTAAGATCTAGATCTAGACTCGATTTCTACTTTCTAGGTCTAGAACTAGATCTAGACTAGAATCTTTTGAGTATAGATCTAGCTTAGTTTTTCTTACTATATGTGAAATCTACTCAATTCTCAATTTAAACATGACAACTGAATAAAAAACGTCCATACTTTATCCCCTAGGCACTAATTTGGGGGTTGTAGCGAGTTTAGGCTAAATTATTGAATTTTAAAATGTTTTGTCACTCACAGCTATGATATGACGGATCATCCATGACAACCTGGTTAAAAGTTGAAAGGTTTAACTTTTTAAGTGACCGTGAAATAGATCTAATTTTTTTTCACAAGAGAGTTCCTAAAAGTAGAATTGGCCCGTCTATCGTCGGGATATATTTATAGAGGAAAAAAATTTAAGAGAATGTCATCAGAAAAGAATTTTAAAAAAGACAAGACAGAAGTGATGTTTGAATTCTTTTATTTCTTTAATTTTATAACATTTTTTATTGTACAAAAGAGCAAAATAAAAAACCATGCCAGGTAAACGTATCCATTCAAATAGCGGTCACGTGGTCAAAAAAAATAAAAAAATTAGGTTGTCATTTTATGGACACATCATATAAAAAAAAGTGTTGAAGATATTTGATTTATTTTTTCATAGAATGATAAAACTAATAATGCTTTACTTTGGAAATCAATTTTGTGAGAGGGAGATCTATATTTAAAAAGTTATATTATTTTGAATGACACCGACTTTAAATTTAGCCTACATTCCCCAAAGCAATTTCTGAAAATGCTTTTCTGGCATATTTAACCTTGCCACCTATAGCATGTTTTTATAACGTGAAAACCCGCCATTTTACTCGTGATAAACATTTTTAAAAGTAATTCTAAGAAGGTCTCTGGAACTAAGTCGAAAAACTCGCCGGAAGTCATGGTCCGATCCTTACGCCATGTTCTGGTTAGCAACCAAGGACGCTTTTAAGTTAGTGAGCCTCCCTAAATTCTAGCTAGACTCTGCTAGGCCCTAGAATCTAGATCTCTCAGTCAAGAGTCTCAGTAGTACTACTAGATCTAGATTAGTAGATCTAGATCTAGTAGTATTCTCTAGTAGCTAGAATTCTAGACTCTAGATTACAGTAGATTGTCTCTGTGACGTGCTCTGAATCTGTAAACAAATTGCAATAACAGTTATTTAATAATTTATAGAGTAGACTTATAGATTCTAGATCTAATTTTAAATTTATAGATCTAATATTATAAATATATTGATGTTGTCCCTTGGCGCCATAAACTAAGGGAAGCTACTACAACATTTAAATTAATAGCAGACTACTTTTATTTTTATTGACTCAAAAGCTTTAACTTTAAATCGTGTAAACAACTTTTATACTAGATCTAGATCTAGATCTAATAATTATTGTGTAAAGGCAGATCCTCCAGATTAAGTAGATTTCTAGACCTTTTAGTTTTATCCTTATATCTAGATCTAGATATTTTAACATAGGGCCTAGGCCTATAGATCTAAATTTAAATTAAAATTAACACGTCTTTCGAGGGACTGATGTTTTGGTAATCTATCGTTTTCATTTTCGTTTTGGGTACGTAAAATCGCCCGCGACTTGTAATGTGAAAAACAGGTGACTCCTTAAATTTCATATGGAACTTACTGAGGCGAAAAAGTTAAACAAAAATTGAAATGGTTAGTCGGCGTTTATCGTTAAAACAAAAACCAATAAAAACGTATGACGCTCCTTTGGTTTTTTTTATCGCATTATTTATATTAGATCTAGAAATAATATTTTTTATTTAGATCTAGATCTAGATCTAGATCTAGAGGTCATCCATGATTCACTCACTAGATATTATCATATTTACATTGTTTAGGACCTAGATCTACAACAATGGCCTTAAATTAAAGTGTGATGTCCGCCTTTAGAGGGCTTAGGCCTTTATGAATGACACCCCTTCCCAAAAAAATAAAATAAAACAATTCAAAATTAAATGAATGTAGGCTATCGAATTTTAGTTCATACAGTATCACTATATCTAGATCTAAATTGTCTTATTTAAAATAAATGATTAGGCCTACATTAAAATATTTTATTTAAGTTTAATTTTAGTATTTTTCCAAAGAGGAATTTATAGTGACAAAATATTTCTGTTCTAGATCTAGATCTATATCATTCTATATCAACAATAAGGTGGACAAAGTTGCAAATAGCCTGCTGGTTTAATGCAGGCTTAAAATTGCTACTTATGACCAGTTTATTGAAACTGAAATTTAGTTTTGTTCATCTTTTTAAAAATTATTTTTACATATGCCTAGCGAATTCAGGTAATTTTTTTTATTTTTTACCCTTTCTATATTTAACCAAAAGATCTAGATTCTACCTGAGAAAATAACTATAACTGCAAATCCCTTTGTTAAAATGTGTGTTTATTGGGAGTCCTTTTGTCAGTAGTTGTGTTGACAGACCCCTTTAGTGGACATTTAGTGGGTCATGTGGGTGCTCTTGATTTGAGTGACAGGAAACATTTCTCGGGCTGTCTCTTTTGTTGTGGCAGATGAAAATATAAGGTTAATTAAAATGTTACACTTAATGTTGTGACAGAACTCCAGATGAAAATGTTAAATAAAATGTTACACTTAATGTTGTGACAGAACTCCAGATGAAAATGTTAAATAAAATGTTACACTTAATGTTGTGACAGAACTCCAGATGAAAATGTTAAATAAAATGTTACACTTAATGTTGTGACAGAACTCCAGATGAAAATGTTAAATAAAATGTTACACTTAATGTTGTGATGGGCTGGGTCACAAGTTTCCTGTGTGTCTCAATACATCTGGCCCTGGCTGTTGTGGATTTGAACGTTCAGGAAATCCAGTATGTTGCTGACCATCTGACAGACAAGAAATGTGATCAACTCATGGAAGCGCTGGGTGAAAAAACATTTATGGTAAAAATATTTTTTCTCAATTAATTAGACATCATCAACATAGCTGTTATGTTCATATTCTCTATATAGTATATAAGTGAATTAAATCTTGACATGGTCTGTATGTACGTGAACTAAATCTGGACAGATTCACCCAGAAAGGTTCACCACCCCAAAACCAGTTCAAGGTCACCCTGAGGCGCCCTGTGTGAGAAGGATTCGAGCCTGGAGCAAAGATCAAGGCAAGAACATGACTTTTGAGTTTTTAGCGCTCAGGCTCAGAGAGATTGGTTTAGAGAAGGTCAGTTTTAGTTTGGTTTATAAAAACATAATAATAAGATAAATCATATTGGTCATAATACAACCCCCATTTCCAACGTTAACAACAATTCTCACTGTCTTCTTATAGCCACATATCATGTCCCTGTCATCCCCCCCCCCCCCACAGGAAGTTAACAAAATTGTCTCTCCCCCCCCCCCCCTCCACAGGAAGTTAACAAAAGTGTCTCTCCCCCCTCCACAGGAAGTTAACAAAATTGTCTCTCCCCCCCCCCCCCCCCTCCACAGGAAGTTAACAAACATGTCTCTCCCCCCCTCCACAGGAAGCTGACAAGTTGTCCCGCACTGTCCTTGGTGAGACCGTCCAAGAGCTCCACCGCTACTTCCTGGATGACCCCTTCAAGGAGATGATCCCCACCAAATCTTTCATGGTAGACAAGGATGACCTCACCACAAAGGTCAGTACTTGTTTCAAGACTTTCAAATCTTTCATGGTAGACAAGGATGACCTCACCACAAAGGTCAGTACTTGTTTCAAGACTTTCAAATCTTTCATGGTAGACAAGGATGACCTCACCACAAAGGTCAGTACTTGTTTCAAGACTTTCAAATCTTTCATGGTAGACAAGGATAACCTAACTACAAAGGTCAGTACTTGTTTCAAGACTTTTAGTCTAGTATCTGTGTAGTGCTGTTGTTTCAAGAGATCTAGCCTACATAGCTTGACCTGAATTCCAGTTACTTCCAGTGCTGGACGAGGAGGACAAATACGACCGTCTGTTTGTGGCGGTCATCTGCATGACAGTCTTGTGTGCAACACTCTGCATGTCCATCAGCGTGTGTCTGGTCTGTCCAAGACTCGGACACTACATCTGTGTACGTGCATGCCCGTCCCTCTGCTCATCACTCTATGATGTCATGATTGACAGCTGTCACAGAGTTTGGTATGGAGGCAGGAGGAGCATGGATAAATACTTGTTCGTCACGCCCCCTGGTGGGAGTGGCTTAATGGTCTAATATTTGTTTTCACATTTTACACAAACTTGAGCTTAATTCATTTGTTGTATACAATTTGTTTCATCACAAAAGTTTGAAAAAAATAGTTTGTTGTTGGTTTCTTAGTTTTCTATGCTTTCTTGAGTTTGAGAGTTTCTCACAAATCTTGTCTTTCTGATTTTTCATAATAAAATTTTTAAAAATAATTATTTTTTTTACTTTGGTTTATGTTTAAGTTAGAAGGCAAAGGCACAGTCATTGACTGAGTAGGGTGGATGAGATTTTTCAGATAATGGCAACTTGTTCAACAAGTGAAACTAAACACCTTGAGTGAGTCCTATATGGACTTTAACAAAGCTGTTGATCCAAGTTGTTCATATGGACTTAAACAAAGCTGTTGGAGGTAATCCAGATATTGGTCAGCAAGTTTCAACACTAGCTGTACCTGAGGAATAAAAAAATACATTGTGAATTTTATTAGGACACACCACCCAAATCTGTAGAAATAAAAAGATACATTGTGAATTTATTAGGACACACCATCTAAATCTGTAGAAATAAAAAGATACATTGTGAATTTATTAGGACACACCATCCAAATCTGTAGAAATAAAAAGATACATTGTGAATTTATTAGGACACACCATCTAAATCTGTAGAAATAAAAAGATACATTGTGAATTTATTAGGACACACCATCTAAATCTGTAGAAATAAAAAGATACATTGTGAATTTATTACAACACCATCCAAATCTGTAGAAATAAAAAGATACATTGTGAATTTATTACGACACCATCCAAATCTGTAGGAATAAAAAGATACATTGTTAATTTATTAGGACACCATCCAAATCTGTAGAAATAAAAAGATACGTTGTTAATTTATTACAACACCATCCAAATCTGTAGAAATAAAAAGATACATTGTTAATTTATTAGGACACCATCCAAATCTGTAGAAATAAAAAGATACATTGTGAATTTATTACAACACCATCCAAATCTGTAGAAATAAAAAGATACATTGTGAATTTATTAGGACACCATCCAAATCTGTAAATGTAAAATGTCACTATTAATTCAAATTAAACAATCACCCATATAGTGGGACAGTGGTGGCTGGATTTTAATGAGGTAGGATGTGACAAAGGGGGGGGGGGGGTTGGTGAGAAAGTGAGACTAATAATATTTTTGACTTTAAAAAGTTTTTTTTAAAACGAAATTTTACAAATTTTTCATTTTATAATTACGATTTTTTTTAAATTACAAAAATTAATCAATTAGGCCTATTATTTTTTTAAATTACAAAAATCAAACAATCTATATACAATACATAATTCTCTTCTTGGAGACCATAGAAAACACCAAGCTGTAAGCGCGCCTAGCAGCCCCCTCTCTTCCTCTCTAGGCATATCCCTACCACCCCCACTCCCACATGGTCTAGTGAGCTGTGGTTCACGCTAATTGTTTACAATGGTAGAGCCGGGTTTAGTGACTACTATTAGGGGCAGATAATTTAGTTTGAAACTATTTTAAACTTAGGGGAGGTAACTAAGAGGAGGCTGCTTTCACGGGGGTAGGGGGAAAGGAGGGGGGGGGGTTATCGTCCTTAACGGCCTACTGATAGTGTTTTAAAGCAAATATTTTCAGTGGCTGCGTTGGTACTGTTGAATTCACAAATTATGAATTACTGAAAAGTAGAAAATAAAACAACTAAATAGCGGCGTATGATACGCCGCGGGTCGGCTCGTAATTTTAAATAGTCTTAATTAAACTTTAGCAATGCAAGGGAAATTACTCAATTAATATTTTCGTCAAAATTATGTTAGTATGGTTGTTTCACTTTACAATATAACCAAATAAATATAGATCTAGTATTATATATATAAGTATATAGATTATATATATGGGTATATTAAATTAGCGTCTTTTTATATATTTGTGTTAAGGCAGATCTAAAATTCGCAAATTGCATGGTATCACATAACTAGATTTAACAAAACAGATCTAAATCCTATAATAATTAAAATTAAATGCTTTTAAAATGCGATGTTATTTTTCAAAGTTATCAAGAGTTGCCCCTCGTCCAAAATGGCAGCACCCGACGATAGCAAGAGTGTAAAAGTGAAAGAAACAAAAGAAAAAGACAATGTTAAAGTTATCAAAACCCCTGTCGACTTGCAAAGGTTAAAACTTGAAAAACTTATGAAAAATCCCGTAAGTTGTTCAAGATTCTCTATTTCTAAATTAGATTAGTAGATTTAGATTTAGGTCAACCACTGCTCAAAGCTGCTGTTTTTTGCTCTCAAAATAATTGTTTGGATGTTCTAAACTACAAAACGAAACAAGATGTCTAGATCTAGATCTACCAATATCTGTTGTATGCATGTCCATTTTTAGGTAATCCCTTAGTTTAGCGTCGGTTATTATTCCGGAATCGTATAGCAGTAAAAAACAGTAAAACAATGCCAAAGTCTGTCACACACTTCCGGAATTCACCGGAAGTACTGTAAACCATACTTTATTTGGTGTCATCTTTTATTTTTATACAGAATGTTTAAAATTTAGATAGATTTATTTTCGTAATCATTTTTACATTTAGTAATCATTTTTACAATTTTCGTAATCTAGATTTTTTTTACTTGGCCTAGCAGCTAGACATCTAGCTAGATCTAGATTAGTAGCTAGGCCAATGCCGCTGCCGAGAAAATCGGACAAATCGGCTTTTCCCTACCCCCTGCATGTTTAACTTTGTTTTTTGCATGCTTTTATTGTGTTTATATTAACATGTTATACATCATTCTGTTCGTAATTGAATTACCTTTTTAACTGTATAAGTTTGATTTCTCTGTTATTTCAGACGTTGAAGAAATCGCCGATTAAATCGCATTTTTTACCCCCCGCGGCGACGTGCCGATTAGGGGGGAGGCTTTTTCACCTTTTTAAAAGAGGGGTGTTACTTTGAGTCTATAGACTCTGTGAGTTTTCGTACTACAATTGTGAAACTTGGTAGAAGAATAGATTAAATGTACACGTATAACGCTCAGGGTTCTTGGTTAAAATATGTTAAATACTTTCGGAGATATCAGACCGCAAAGTTAAACTATGTTATTTGAGCTATTTATGGACCGATTTTTTATTTGAACCCTGAGCTGTATTCCTGAAATCTCGACGTTTATTAATATGTATGATATGTCCTATAAGGCCCCATAATAAGGACGTCTATAGACTTTGAAGTGGACCGAAAATATAAACACGACGTGCCGACCGCTGTCTGACTGAACCGCCCTGCTGTGCTTCAAATCGCCGTCTTTAACTTGATGACGCGTTACAAAATTTGTATACACGTATCGAGTTTACGTACTACAACAGTTAAATTTGGCAGACGAATACATTAAATGTAGACGTATAACGCTCAGGGTTCGTGGTCAAAATAAGTTAAATACTTTTGGAGATATCGGACCGCAAAGCTGAACCAAGTTTCCCGGTCTATTATTGGACATATTTTACAGTTGAACCCTGAGCTGTGTTCCCGAAATCCCGCCGTTTATTTTAATGTATGACATGTATTATAGCACCTCGTAATAAAGCCGTCCATACATTTTAAAACCGAACGAAAATAAAAATTAACGCGTCTGCCGCCGTCCGACTGATTGGTGATCTACACATCGTGTGGCACAGCCGAGTGTGTGGTCACGTGACGCTAGGCGCTTGATCCGATTGGATGATACTATAAACAATGTCTAAAGATAGATACATGTGTTCCCGTGTTTGACTCGACGGCTATTGCTACTTTATATTTATAAGCACACAGACATGTTGCATAACTTTGTCTTAACCCATTGAAACGTCAGACAAAAGTTTTGTTAGTATTTACGGCTGAAGACTAATCGTCAAAATTAATCTTCTTTAGAAATTAATCCGAATAGCTTCTGCCCGATCAAACAATGCTGTGATGTGATTCAAGTAACGTTTCATTATTGTGTACATTACATTTTCGTAAAAATGGCTTTAAAAATAAATTAAATTATATCCGGGGCTCTTTTCTACAAATTTTAATACCACTAACAACGTGGGAGTTACTAGCTTGCCAAATCGACCAAAATGGGGTGGAGTGGATGGGGGTAGCCACTGACCATCCCACACCGTATGTATCACCCATAGCCTCACCCCGCCCCCACTAGTCCGTGACGCGACAAGCCGGCGAGCATCGCTTTTGATGTTGTATAACACCCGTACGGTACACGGTGGTTTCATACCCCACCTCCCTCCCCCCTTCACTTTGTGGAGTTGATGTTACTAACCCTCGGGCATAGATCAAGAAATCTTGCCAGACTTTTGTCTCTGAGATTACATAATATTCATCTGACACGTTCATCGGGTTGGCCAACTAGCCTATCCAGCGGTCGTGTTTACGTAATAGGGCAATAAAATTCGTTGGTCAGAAGACCTGGTTACCCACATGTCAGATTGAACTAAATCTAGGCAAAAGCTGGTGGTGGTACACGTGTCTGTGTATAGCCAAACACGGTAATCTTACACAATTTCTAGAATCTACTAGATCTACACAGTCAAGCACTCAAACACGTGCTTTTTTTCTTAAGAAAGTTTTTGATTGTAAAAGGCCTACTGGTAGGCTTACAAAATACATAAACCTACTTACTACTAGCATAAACATTGGGCATAAATATAAATTTATGTTATGTATCTATAACTTACACTAGATCTATACCTTGTGCAAGTTTTTAAAAAAAATATTTTCCTCCAAAGTTTATTTTATGGACATTGTAAAAATGATTAACTTTAATATGGGTAATAATATTACTAATTACCATAAAGCACACTCTGATTCTGATCAGACACATTTGTAACTAGACTAATTCTATAGCAAAAAGGATTAAGATATGTAAAATAACAAGAAATATAATTATAATGAGATAGGCCTTTATTTTTGGAACAGAGTAGGCCTATAGTATTGCACATAGATTACATAACATCTTTTAAGAAGTTACATAATCACAAATTTACTATAGCATTCTTCTCTTTGTATTGAAAAACTTGATTAGTTATATTTTCTTCTAGTAGGCTATTAACTTGAAGTTAACTGACAATGAGCAAAAGTGATTTTAAAACAAATTCATGGTATATTTTGAGCAAAGGGTGGGATTACATAACCTAATCATTTGATAGTTATGTAACAATGTTGGACCATTTTAAATCTACCATTAGCTTCAGCATATACAAATGTCATATTTTAGATTAAAACAGCGTTACATTTAAAGAATGACTTCTTATCACATTGATTATTAGATGTTTAAAAAAAATTGAAAGGGGGGTATTACATAATCTATGAGATTAGTAGGTTGAGTAATCGAAGGACACTTTTTAAAATAGCATTATTGGATTCAGCATACAAAAATCTATAAAATGTCTTAAAATTACCTCAATTGATAAAGTATTCTGGCTTTTATACCACTTTTAGTGAAAAACGCTTAAAAATTTGGTCCATACCCTCCCAGTATTTTTCCTCTTTCAGGGTCTACCCCGGTTGTCTGAAAAAACTGCTGTTTTTTAATGACTAAAAAATTCATAACTTTTTTGTTTATGGTCAGATTTTGAAAATTCAAACTGATCTGTAATCAGATTGACAGCCCCTATCCAAATATGTAACTATTATATTGTTTTACTGAAATTAAATTTTTGCATTGGCCTAGCTAAGATTAGGGACTTGGATGACGTAGATTTTGAGGCACTAAAAACGAGAGTTTTCTGCCCATACCGAGTTTCGTCGATTTAGCAGTGCGGTCGCGGGTGATGATCGAAAAAATTTTTTTTATTATAAATCGCCGATGCTACTAATAATTTGATGACTGATTCTGAAAAACAAATGGATTTCATATGTTACGGTATTTTTGTTTTGAGATTTTGTTGAAGGTGAAAACGGATTTTTGGAGCCAAACTTTGGCTACGTAAAACTCTTTGTACCATAAAAACTTACTAACAAGGAAGGCCAATAAAAAGCCCTCCGACCATAATCACCATTTTTCTTTATGTGTGTAAATTTTCATAATGTTAATCGATAGCAAGGTATTTTTTTATAAATAGTTTAGAAAGTATAGGCTTATTAAGACATTTTACGACTACCGGGAAAGACAGGTTAAAACCGGAAGTGTACTTGTGTTGTTAATGACGCCATATATATAAAATATTTTTAAAATCAAATTTGAACAAAGGAAATATCAAAGTATATAATAACCTTCATGTTTACAATATTTCTTGCATATAAGCAAAGTAATCTAAAATCAGCTCAACATTGTACTTCTTTCTTGCAAAAAAAGTAGTTGCGCAGAATAAAAATGACTTTTATTTTGTCCAACATTGTAATAAAACCACATAAGCTAAGTAAAATATTTTGACTTTCTGTTAATGTATACAGTGTTGGCACTATTCAGGCCAATTTTCAGTAAGATATTCCATATAATAAAAATTTGGCAACAGATTGTGTGTAGCCTATCAAAGACGCTTATTCAAAAATTTTAGGGGGGTGACCCTCTTTGTTAACATTATTTTTTATGATCATTCTCATCCAATTCAATTATTTTTATCTTACTCTTTTACTGATATCATAAGCTTGATCTTGGTGAATTTTCATTAAAAAATACCTGCTATTTAAAAAGTTACAGAGATTTTAGTTCGCATCCAAAAAAGTAGGGAAGCAAAAAATTGAGAAAACCCCATAGTAAAAAAACCCGAAAATTAAATACATTAAAAATTCATAACTTCGTAACCGTTTGAGCTAAAATCAAAATAAAAGTATCTTTGTTCTTGTCTAAATGAGCTCTATAAACTGGTGCTACTACATTTTTTATTTTTTTTAAAATGAAATTTCATCCAAGTCCCTAATCTAGATTCTAGATCTAATTAATTAATGGTACCAAATCCGCTGCAAGCAAAAAACATTAAATTATCAGCCTACATTTGACTTCATTATTTATATTTATATTAATATATGTTTTTTTTTTTAGATCTACTAATTTATATCTACTATTATATTTATTCTTGTTTCCTTTTGTCGATTAAACTTAAAAAATTAAAACATTAATTTACTACAATCGACTTTCAATTTATTTATATTTCAATGGTCAAATAAACCATGGTTTACCGTAACTCTAGTTACCGAGACTCAACAAACATTACCCGATAATTTCCGACGCTAAACTAAGGGATTACCCATTTTTAAACACATCTAGAAAATCTAGATCTACTAGGTCATTCTTTTGTTTTCTTCTTCTGGAAAACGAGTTTTAAATTTTCAAAGTTTTGAGGTATGACGCCGCGTCGGATTATCTCACAGTATAGCGTCGGAAATTATACCATAGTTTATTTGACAGTTGAAATATAAAATAAAGTCAAATGCATTAAATTAATGTTTTAACTTAAGGTAAAATCACGATATAGCGTCGGTTATTATTTTCCGGAACTGTACAGCAGTAAAAAACAGTAAAACCATGGCGTAGTCTGTCGAGCCGTTCCGGAAACCACCGGAAATACTGTAACCATCATTTATTTTTAATACATAATGTTTAAAAATGTGCAAGGATTGATTTTAGTTGCATTTTAAATACTGTTTTGCTAATTATTTTGTATTTCTAATTATTTTAAGTGTATGTGCTAATTATTGCTGCTACTAAACATTATTCTAGTTATTCTTACTACTTTTAACTACTTAACTTTAGTTAATTTAATCGTCTTATTTACTAACAGAACTAGAGCTGGTTGTCGCAAATCTTCTGCGGGTTTTTTTCTGTTTCTTAAAAAAAACATTAATTACTACACTCGACTTTATTAATAATATTTAGATTGGATGATATTTCGAGTCGACCCTTTGAATCCCGGTCAGAACGTCCCCCCGTCGTGGCCTCAACCAACCGGCGGGCTTGTTGCATTGAGTTAAATATAAACTCAAAACAATAATATAAACAATCTCCTTTTAGGTCGGTCAGGCCACATACCAGGCACGCACAGTGTTGTGTGTCGTGCCTTAGCCAAAATAAACTATCTCCCTTCATTATCATTAGATATATTTAATTAGTTAATTAATTAATTAATTAATTTGCTTATTTATAAAATTATGTATGATGCTATAGCAGTAGGTAAGTTACGGTAAGTATAATTTTTTAACTATGTATTTGTACTATAAAGAAACAGCTTCGTTGTTTCAATACCACCCTCTCCCCTTCTTGAACTCAAAGTTAAACTTTTAACCCCGTTCGTAGAGACATGCGGTATGTTGTAAGGCGGCGGGTGGGTAGGGTATATACTCATTTAAAAAAAAATCCACCGTGGTTCGTGTTATTGGCCTTGGGCCTTCGGTGACGTTGTTGGCGCTTGCTGTGAGGGGGAGAGGGGGGTGTGTTATACTCGTTAAAAAATTGCACAGTGGTATTGGCCTATGATGACGTTGTCGGCGCAAGCGGGGGGGGGGAGACACTTTTTTTTTTAAAACCAAGAACTAGGTGTTTAAAGGCTGTAATGAAAATCAAGGACTGGTATAGCTATGAGGTCGAATTTAACGAGTGATGCTTGCTGGGTCTATCATACGATTGCTTGGTGATGGGAATCTCGTCAAGCTCAGTCTACATTATTAACAGTGAACTATTGGGATGCTGTCATGCACAAAGTAACAGCTACCGAATGCAGCACTTAAAACATCGAGTGCATCCCGCTCATTATAAATCTTTGAAATACAAGTTATGGATTGTCCAAAAACTTGAAGGACTGCCAGAATATATGCATTGTATTATAACATTAATCATTGCGGTATAAATAAAATTTGTATCCAAATATTTTTAGGCTAACGGGATCTGCATTTAAATAAACAAGACCTATTAGGCTACTTTTGCATGGTAGCACAACTACATTTTAAAATTTCATAATGAGTAACCTAGTTGTGCATTAAAGGGCTGTACTCAATAACATTAACAATGAAAAAAAAATGAAATGCCGGCTTCAAACTTCAAGCTATGATTTCCCCGTATTCTTCTACTAGAAATATAGCTCCGTTGTTTAAATGACCTCAACCTCCCCCTCTCGCCTAGTTCAATTTAAAGTTACACTTTCAACCCCGTTGGGATGTGTGAACTACTGATGACCTAACTATTGAAAAAAAAAACTGTTCTGGTGTTAAATTGCCCTCCCCTACTCGCAGCACTTAACTTTGGGGTCATACACATCAGGAAGGTCTAGGTCGGTGTTGTATCTCGTGCAAATTTACTCACAACACGACTACACACTATGGTGGTATCCAGGACTAAAGCTGCGACACTCGCATAGAGTTGGATTTATTTGTTAGATCATTGTGCTTCAAATTCTGTTTCAATATTGGGATTAAATGGATATAATGTTGGAATTCAGTTAGTTTGTTATATTATATTGATCTAAATGTCGTGTACCTTCAGAAACTAAATTGGTTGACAAGACACATGTGTAGGCTAAAGAATGACCTCAAGATCGAGCCAAAGATGGCTGGTTAAGGTTGACAAACTGTGGTTTTCAAATTTCATGGCGATGCTTTTCTAAAGGATTTTATTTTGTGCTTTCTTTGGGATTATTTTGTGTGATGTGAATATTCAAAAGTAATTTGTAAGTAGTATGCTTTTCACATTCAACCATTTTAACACTTTGCGATTGATCTGCGGACGGGCTGATTAATTTACATTTAGCGAAACTACACACTACACGGCGCCCTCAGGCCGTTGTTTCAGCATGCCCTACTAGTCAATTATAGACAACTTTAGAATCAATACATGTGGCCAATACACCGATTTTTATTTAATAATCTTCAAAAGCCATTCCTCTAGGGTCGTTATTTTCACGAAATAGTCGTTTTCCATTTTGTTGTCAAGAAACTGGTATTTAGTTCACGAGAACGTATGAAAACCACTCATGCGTGACCGAAATCGTCGATTGTGTGCCTTCACGTGGTTTGACACGTGCTGACCTAGGCCGTTGTTTACATCCGAAAATCACCCAAAACGGCCTTTTTTCGAACAAATTGTTTGAAAAAAATGGCAAAGTCCAATTTAAAAAAGTGTCATTTTCGGGCCCATTTTAAAAAATGTAAATAAATCCGAACTACACGTAGAAAAAAATGGCTTTTTCTGCCCTTTTTAGCTCCAAAAACGCGTCGCGTGATGTCAGCCGCCAACCAAAACGCGGACAAAGCGCGCGTTTGATTGGTTGGCGGCTGACACTATGAAATCCTCTAAGGACGATTCGAATGGTATACCTTTAGATTTACTAATTGTTGCTAATTTTTTGTCAGTTTAACATTAAATTAAGTTAAAATATTAATTTAATGCACAGGAGAATGTTTACACCAGTGTCCGATAATGGAATCTTCTTTAAAAAAGGGGTGTTAGGTTACTGGTAGTTAACTAAATACACACATGGCTGGCTAATGTCAATGCTAACCCTGTCCCTAACCCTAACCTCAACCCTGGTCCACCCATACGCCTAACCCTAATTTCTAACCATAAACTAGTCAAGATTGCAATACTACTACTAACAACCTAACACCCCTTTTTTAAAGAAGATTCCATTTTCGGACACCGGTATCTATAATCATCCTAATGCACTTGACTTTATTTTTCTTTTACCGGTCAAATAAACTATGGTTTACAGTAATGAATGTTACCGAAACTCAACGAACATTACGCAATAATTTCCGACGATATATCATGATTTTACCTAACTTAATTTAAAGTTTAATTGACAAAAAATAAGCAACAATTAGTAGATCTAGCCTAAATATTAATTTATTAATAATAAAGTTGAGTGTAATAATTAATGTTTTTTTTAAGAAACACAGAAAAAAAACTTGCAGACAATTTGTGACAACTAGATTCTAGATCTAGATCTAGGCCAAGTATAATAAGACGATTAGATTTACTAAACTTTAAAGTTGTAAGAAGAACTAGAACAATGTTTAGTAGCAGCAATAATTAGAATATGCACTTAAAATAATTATATATAAAAATAATATGGCAGCAAATAAAATATTGTTTACAATATTTCCGGAGGTTTCTGGAACAGCGTGACAGACTACGCCATGGTTTTACTGTTTTTTTACTTTGGTACCACTTCGGAATAATAACCGACCCGATATCGTGAGATTACCCGACGTCGTATAGGCCTAGGCCTATAGAATAATAGTAATAACTATTTATTAACTTGTCACATCCCCCTTATGAAAAACATTAAAATTACACTATAATCATAATGCCTTGTACATTTTTAATTGCTCCTCTCCCCCTCATTGTGTAACCTATTTTTAAAAATAATACTTTGTCTTATTTTTCCAGACCAAGGAAGTCATCATTCCTGAGAGGTCAAAAGATAAGGCACCCAAAGCTCCTCTGGAATTTATCAGAAACATTTGGGGTAAAGATAAATCATTGATTTCTAAGAGCATGCAAGGGTATTCATGAAATAATAATCAAATATAAGTACCATAAAGTCTTTACAATCATAGTGTTGTAAGCTAGTATAGAACCATTGTAAGAAGAAGACATTTTTTGTAGCTCTTATTATATTTAATGAAACTAAAGTTATAGAGAAGAAAATCATAAAATGAAACTAGTAATGTCAGGGAAATGTTTTTGACAGGATCTAGTGCAGGGGCAGGCAGCGGGGATTTCCATGTGTACAGAGGTGTGCGGCGGAGAGAATATGCCAGACAAAAGTTCATTAAAGAAATGGCTGAGAAGGTTAAACATCATTTAATCTTGAATATTTGATTTTTTGTTCCTCATCTACAAGCAGATGAATTTGATCAAATCTTGTATTGTGTGTTAACTACGAGCAGATGACTTTGATCCAATCCTGTATTGTGTGTTGGCAGGAAGAACTGGACGAGGCCTACAAGAAACGTTTGGAGCAGCACAAGCTGGAGGCTGAGGAGAGGACAGCCAAGAAGAGAGCCAAGAGGTGAGTATTGTTGGTCATTCAATTGTTGGTCATTTAACTTTTGGTCATTCAGCTGTAGGTAATTCAACTGTTGAATGATCAATTATTTATCATTCAACTTGTAATCATCAAACTATTGATAATTCAGCTGTTGATCATTCAACTTTGAGCTCAGATATTTCTTTGTAAGTTAGAATCTACAATTATATTACATGGTTTGACTTATTTTAAAACTTCATCAGCTAAACTTTGTAAGTTAGAATCTACAATTATATTACATGGTTTGATTTATTTTAAAACTTCATCAGCTAAACTTTTTAAAATGATAGATAGTTTTGATTGTCTTTGGTCATATGACCCTTCAAATTAAAAATTAGGGGTGGGCAATTTTTGTATATTTGTTGTTTCAGTTGAGTAATCATAAAATATTGGCAAAAATGTTACCTAAAAAGATGTAATCTTGTGATTAAGATAATACATTTTTAAAAGTTAAAAGCATGTTAGTCTAAAATGAGAAAATTGAAAAAATAAATGCAGCTTTTTCAATCAGTAGGTTCTATCTAGATATTGAATTATAAATTGTTCTTAATTTCAGATCTTGTTTCATTTATTAAGTTTGCAGGTTTAAAAAAATAAAACTAAAGAAAAGTATAAGAAAAAATTCCATTTTTGATGAAAGCTTACGTAATGTTTGACTAGGTTCAACATAGATCATGAGGAATGAAAGATACAATTCTAAAACTGGAAGAAATATGTTTTGTTAGAACAATTTTAATTTGTTATCATTGGAATAAATATCAGTGTTGTATAATAAATATAGGGCCAGAAAAAATGTTTTTAAAACCTGTGTTTGTTAGAGAAATGGTTCTTGCTGTCACAAAATTAGGCTGAAAGTTTGTGGGAGAAAGTTTGTGGGAGAAAGTTTGTGGGAGAAAGTTTGTGGGAGAAAGTTTGTGGGAGAAAGTTTGTGGGAGAAAGTTTGTGGGAGAAAGTTTGACTAATGGCTCTGGTACTTTGTCTTCAGGTTAAAGAAAAAGCAGAAGAATAAAGCAAAGAAAATGAAGAAGACAGGTATTTATAGCATGGCAGTAGAACATATCAAATATCACATGATATTTATAGTGTGACTGTTGAAGACATCACATATCACATGGTATTGTTAGTATGAGCTATGTATACTAGCAGTTACTCACTATGATTGCAGTTACCCCTCTTTACTGTAGTTACCTCCTTGTGGTTGCAGTTACCTCCCTGTGGTTGCAGTTACCCTTCCCCCCCCTTTACTGTAGTTACCTCCTTGTGGTTGCAGTTACCTCCCTGTGGTTGCAGTTACCCTTCCCCCCCTTTACTGTAGTTACCTCCCTGTGGTTGCAGTTACCTCCCTGTGGTTGCATTTACCTCCCTGTGGTTGTTGTGAAATGGTTCATCCAGCCATGTTTTTTAAACAGATAACAAAAAGCCTGATGGTGATGATGGGAGTGATACCAGTGATGATGACAATGAAGACAGTAATAAAGATGATGATGAAAGTCATGCTGACCCAACATCAGATGATGGTAGCGCACCTGCATCAGACCAGCCAGGTTGTTGACTCTAGGAGTCAGTGACTCCAAGAACCAGTGACTTTAACAAACTGTGCATCCATCAGTCCATTATGTTTGACTCTAGGAGTCAGTGACTCCAAGAACCAGTGACTTTAACAAACTGTGCATCCATCAGTCCATTAGGTTTGACTCTAGGAGTCAGTGACTCTAAGAACCAGTGACTTTAACAAACTGTGCATCCATCAGTCCATTAGGTTTGACTCTAGGAGTCAGTGACTCTAAGAACCAGTGACTTTAACAAACTGTGCATCCATCAGTCCATTAGGTTTGACTCTAGGAGTCAGTGACTCTAAGAACCAGTGACTTTAACAAACTGTGCATCCATCAGTCCATTAGGTTTGACTCTAGGAGTCAGTGACTCTAAGAACCAGTGACTTTAACAAACTGTGCATCCATCAGTCCATTAGGTTTGACTCTAGGAGTCAGTGACTCTAAGAACCAGTGACTTTAACAAACTGTGCATCCATCAGTCCATTAGGTTTGACTCTAGGAGTCAGTGACTCTAAGAACCAGTGACTTTAACAAACTGTGCATCCATCAGTCCATTAGGTTTGACTCTAGGAGTCAGGGACTTTGACATGAGCAGCCAGATTGTTTCAGCAGTCATTAACTTATGACTCCAACAGTCAGTGACTTGCGACTAACAGTCAGTGACTTGCGACTAACAGTCAGTGACTTGCGACTCCTGCAGTCAGTGACTTGTGACTCCTGCAGTCAGTGACTTGTGACTAACAGTCAGTGACATGTGACTCCTTCAGTCAGTGACTTGTGACTCCTGCAGTCAGTGACTTGTGACTCCTGCAGTCAGTGACTTGTGACTCCTGCAGTCAGTGACTTGTGACTCCTGCAGTCAGTGACTTGTGACTCCTGCAGCCAGTAAAGTCAAAGACCAGGATTAGCCCACACAGGAACTCTCATCAACTGAAGGGCTACCAGTCACTCATCCACTGAAGGGCTACCAGTCACTCACTGAAGGGCTACCAGTCACTCACTGAAGGGCTACCAGTCACTCATCCACTGAAGGGCTACCAGTCACTGAAGGGCTACCAGTCACATCTACTGAAGGGCTACCAGTCACTCATCCACTGAAGGGCTACCAGTCACTTACTGAAGGGCTATCAGTCACTCACTGAAGGGCTACCAGTCACTCATCCACTGAAGGGCTACCAGTCACTCACCCACTGAAGGGCTACCAGTCACTGAAGGGCTACCAGTCACATCTACTGAAGGGCTACCAGTCACTCATCCACTGAAGGGCTACCAGTCACTCACTGAAGGGCTACCAGTCACTCACCCACTGAAGGGCTACCAGTCACTCACTGAAGGGCTACCAGTCACTCATCCACTGAAGGGCTACCAGTCACTTACTGAAGGGCTACCAGTCACTCACTGAAGGGCTACCAGTCACTCACTGAAGGGCTACCAGTCACTCACCCACTGAAGGGCTACCAGTCACTGAAGGGCTACCAGTCACATCTACTGAAGGGCTACCAGTCACTCATCCACTGAAGGGCTACCAGTCACTCACCCACTGAAGGGCTACCAGTCACTCACTGAAGGGCTACCAGTCACTCATCCACTGAAGGGCTACCAGTCACTTACTGAAGGGCAACCAGTCACTCACTGAAGGGCTACCAGTCACTCGTCCACTGAAGGGCTACCAGTCACTCACTGAAGGGCTACCAGTCACTCACCCACTGAAGGGCTACCAGTCACTCACTCACTGAAGGGCTACCAGTCACTCACTGAAGGGCTACCAGTCACCCACTGAAGGGCTACCAGTCACCCACTGAAGGGCTACCAGTCACTCACTCACTGAAGGGCTACCAGTCACTCACCCACTGAAGGGCTACCAGTCACTCACTGAAGGGCTACCAGTCACTCACCCACTGAAGGGCTACCAGTCACTCACTCACTGAAGGGCTACCAGTCACTCACCCACTGAAGGGCTACCAGTCACTGAAGGGCTACCAGTCACTCACCCACTGAAGGGCTACCAGTCACTCACTCACTGAAGGGCTACCAGTCACTGAAGGGCTACCAGTCACTCACCCACTGAAGGGCTACCAGTCACTCACTCACTGAAGGGCTACCAGTCACTCACCCACTGAAGGGCTACCAGTCACTCACCCACTGAAGGGCTACCAGTCACTCACCCACTGAAGGGCTACCACTCACTGAAGGGCTACCAGTCACTCATCCACTGAAGGGCTACCAGTCACTCACTGAAGGGCTACCAGTCACTCACTGAAGGGCTACCAGTCACTCACTCACTGAAGGGCTACCAGTCACTCACTGAAGGGCTACCAGTCACTCACTGAAGGGCTACCAGTCACTCACTGAAGGGCTACCAGTCACTCACCCACTGAAGGGCTGTTTAATTTTGTTTTAATTTGTTGTGTTAAAAATGGTTTCTTTTTTAACATGTCTGTAAATACATTCACTAATTTTGGAAATAAAATGCATATGTCATGTTTACACAAATATTGGTGGACATGTGTTAATACACATTGTTGTTGGTGTACATTTTTTATAAAACTAGAGGGCCCAGTTTCCTATCTGTTCTACTGCATCACCTCCAACACCACACTCACACACCTCCAACACCACACTCACACACCTCACCACTCACCTCCAACACCACACCCACACATCTCACCATCACAGACCTCCAACACCACACTCACACACCTCCAACACCACACCCACACACCTCACCACTCACAGACCTCCAACACCACACTCACACACCTCCAACACCACACCCACACACCTCACCACACACACACCTGAAACACCACTCACACACCTCCAACACCACACTCACACACACACCTCCAACACCACTCACTCACCTCCAACACCACACTCACACAAAACATTACTATGTCTAATTACATTTACTAAAACCAAGTCTGTTGCCACCACTAAAGCCACCACCCCCACAACCCCCACAACCCCCACAACCCCCATCATGGTCAAAAGAAAACAAACCCTAACCGGTCATAGAATTTTGTTTGTAGCAAATGTTTAATTTCAGTTTTAACCAAATACAAAATTTGAACAAAAAAATATTTACAAGAAAACATTACTGTAATCCCAGAAATCGAGTGGTCTAGGCATGGTGAAGATTGGTTATTTTAACACATAAAAATGGTTGAAAGAAAGCTTTAATTACAATGTTTTAACAAAGACAATAGTAAAAGATGTATTGTTTGAACACTAGTACACATCTGTTTCAACAGGAAGTGAAGCAGCTTGCTACACGCATGGGGACTCTAAACTAAATGCTTTTTTAGAAAACTTGTACAATCTTTTATCACAAATACATTCATACATTCAAACAATGCCTTCATGATTAATGCTGAGTCCAATATTAGGGAAATATAGAATTCTCATTTTAAAAACTTGTTCCAAAGTTTTTCAACCTGTTGTCATACCATACCTTAAAAAAAACTCAGTAAAAATACAAAGGTTTGATATTGTCCAACCCAATGAATTACATTTCATGAACACCATCTGAAACAAGCACTTAAAATATTAAATGATGTGAAGCCATCCGTCAGCACATCAAATCACATCTTTTTCTCTGCCCTCAAGATATCATCAAATCACATCTTTTTCTCTGCCCTCAAGATATCATCAAATCACATCTTTTTCTCTGCCCTCAAGATATAAATATATCATCAAATCACATCTTTTTCTCTGCCCTCAAGATATAAATATATCATCAAATCACATCTTTTTCTCTGCCCTCAAGATATCATCAAATCACATCTTTTTCTCTGCCCTCAAGATATAAATATATCATCAAATCACATCTTTTTCTCTGCCCTCAAGATATCATCAAATCACATCTTTTTCTCTGCCCTCAAGATATCATCAAATCACATCTTTTTCTCTGCCCTCAAGATATCATCAAATCACATCTTTTTCTCTGCCCTCAAGATATCATCAAATCACATCTTTTTCTCTGCCCTCAAGATATAAATATATCATCAAATCACATCTTTTTCTCTGCCCTCAAGATATCATCAAATCACATCTTTTTCTCTGCCCTCAAGATATCATCAAATCACATCTTTTTCTCTGCCCTCAAGATATCATCAAATCACATCTTTTTCTCTGCCCTCAAGATATAAATATATCTGTTAGAACCTATGGCCACTCGGGGGAACGAGCCCAGTCTGTCGTTGTCGATGCAGTAAACACCTTGTGGTAGGTCCACCAGCTGGCCAGTGGTCTGAGAGAAACAAATGGACAACCTCATGGCTTATTTACATCACATTTATCTTATTTACATCACATTTATCTTATTTACATCACATTTATCTTATTTACATCACATTTATCTTATTTACATTACATTTATCTTATGTCTTACAAACTGTGCCAATTTTCTTATTAATCTTTCCTCCCAAGTTCTAACCCATGAATTAATTACATCAAATTAACTTGCTGACTAACTGTACTTAATTTGATTGTGTTAATTAGGCTACAAAGATTGTGTTAATGAGGCTACTAATAAAGATTGTGTTAAGTAGCTGATTACACAAGCTTTATGCCCATGGCTGTTACAGTTGCTGCTTACATGGCTTCTTACACCACAGTTAAGACAAGTAATTGCTTACATTTAGGGTGCCCCTGTCAATTGTCCTGGCCATGTTTTGGTCTGTCCCACCACAAATGATGCTGTCTTTACCCAGCCACTGGGCGCAATACAACTGGTGGGAATACAGACAAATAATCTTCTATACAACTGGTGGGAATAGAGACAAATAATCTTCTATACAACTGGTGGGAATAGAGACAAATAATCTTCTATACAACTGGTGGGAATAGAGACAAATAATCTTCTATACAACTGGTGGAAATACAGACAAATAATCTTCTATATAACTGGTGGGAATACAGACAAATAATCTTCTATACAACTGGTGGGAATACAGACAAATAATCTTCTATACAACTGGTGGGAATACAGACAAATAATCTTCTATACAACTGGTGGGAATACAGACAAATAATCTTCTATACAACTGGTGGGAATAGAGACAAATAATCTTCTATACAACTGGTGGGAATAGAGACAAATAATCTTCTATACAACTGGTGGGAATAGAGACAAATAATCTTCTATACAACTGGTGGGAATAGAGACAAATAATCTTCTATACAACTGGTATGAATACAGACAAATAGCTTTCTATATATGAGCATATTTAGGTGACCATTTGTAATGGTGTCAACATTGATTTGTTTTGCTTGATACAAAGTCACAATTTTTGACTGACTGGTGTCATTGTTTACCAAAGGGTAATCATTGCTGCACTATGGTGTAAGGATTTACCTTACAAGTGTAAGGATTTATATGATTTAAAGGATTTACTTGACTGTTGTAAAGATTTACCTGACTGTGATGTAATGTATCTTGAGGCACATCTTTAATTTTAACTGCTGAAGCAAAGTCCCAAATCTGTTTTTACATTAAAAAAAGAAGAGAAAATGACAAAATTAATTTTGTTCTTATTGTCTAACAGTCATTACATTTCTTACCAATCTTAAGTTTAAACCTGTAGTGTGTGTTTACCTGTAATGTGTGTGTTTACCTGTAATGTGTGTTTTCACCTGTAATGTGTGTGTTTACCTGTAATGTGTGTGATTACCTGTAGTGTGTGTTTACCTGTAGTACATGTGTTTTGCGCCATGAGCCAGTCAGAATGTGGTTGTGTACGGGGTCAATGTCAAGGGCATCTCCACACAAGTGAGGTCCAGTGAACTTTCTGGAAATATCAGGACGTTAACCAATTCTTTTAAGTTTACAATATTTATCATTTTAAAAATACAAGGAATATGCAGTTGAGTTTTGATTAGGGTGGGGAATCTTAAAACTTTTCTTAAGTTAGCCTGGCTTATGTTCTATTTAATTTGATTAAAAATGCTGAGGTCTCTTGAATAAAATATAAACGGTTTGTTTCCTTACACAAATCCTCACATCAGTTACTTCTAAAACTGAATCCACTTTATGAAATCTGACTCCCATTCCTACAACTGACTCCCATTCCTAAAACAGACTCTCCATTCCTAAAACAGACTCTCCATTCCTAAAACAGACTCTCTATTCCTACAACTGACTCCTATTCCTACATCTGACTCTCCATTCCTACAACTGGCTCTCCATTCCTAAAACAGACTCTCCATTCCTACAACTGACTCTCCATTCCCACAACAGTTAGCATAAAAAATTAAAATTTAACAACTTACTTAACTGAATGAACTTTTCTGTCATCCCAATACTAAAAAAAAAATGAAAATTTCCGTCAGTTGAAAAGATGGAGGAACTCAATGAGAAGAATTGTAAAGAAAAAAACAAACTACACTCACAAAACACAACACCACAAACTAGCTACACTCACAAAACACAACACCACCACAAACAAACTACACTTACAAAACACAACACCACAAACTAACTACACTCACAAAACACAACACCACAAACTAACTACACTCACAAAACACAACACCACAAACTAACTACACTCACAAAACACAATACCACAAACTAACTACACTCATGAAACACAACACCACCACAAACTAACTACACTCACAAAACACAACACCACAAACTAACTACACTCACAAAACACAACACCACAAACTAACTACACTCACAAAACACAATACCACAAACTAACTACACTTACAAAACACAACACCACAAACTAACTACACCCACAAAATGGCCCTACCTGCACTGTATCATCCCAACCACCTGAAATGAAGATGTGGGGATGATTGGGGTTGTACTGCATAGCAAACACCCTAAAGCGGTGACCATCCATGATGTCGTATCCATCACTGTTAATAGAAGGAAATGTTAACCTTTAACCTCAGACATTGCTTGTTAATGACACTAAACAGACAATTGCCTCAAGGATAATGTTACACTTTTTTAAAAATAATACTTTTAAATACTTTGTAAAAAATCTTTTATTCACTCAGCTGAATGAGATACCCAGCAGGTTCAGCTACTAAGCTGTGGGTAAACCCTGCTGTATCCAACCTGCACTACACATCCACTCTACTGCAGCAGTTGTGTGCCAGGTTAAAATGTTGTATGGTAGGTTTAACAGATACATGTTGTATGGTAGGTTTAACAGATAAATGTTGTAAGGTAGGTTTAACAGATAAATGTTGTATGTTAGGTTTAACAGATAAATGTTGTATGGTAGGTTTAACAGGAAAATGTTGTAAGGTAGGTTTAACAGATAAATGTTGTATGGTAGGTTTAACAGGAAAATGTTGTAAGGTAGGTTTAACAGATAAATGTTGTAAGGTAGGTTTAACAGGAAAATGTTGTAAGGTAAGTATAACAGATAAATGTTGTATGGTAGGTTTAACAGATAAATGTTGTAAGGTAGGTTTAACAGATACATGTTGTAAGGTAGGTTTAACAGATAAATGTTGTAAGGTAGGTTTAACAGATAAATGTTGTGTGTTAGGTTTAACAGATAAATGTTATATGGTAGGTTTAACAGATAAATGTTGTAAGGTAGGGTTAACAGATAAATGTTGTATGTTAGGTTTAACAGATAAATGTTATATGGTAGGTTTAACAGATAAATGTTGTATGTTAGGTTTAACAGTTAAATGTTATATGGTAGGTTTAACAGATACATGTTGTAAGGTAGGTTTAACAGATAAATGTTGTATGTTAGGTTTAAAAGAATTTTTGAATGTTCAGATTTATAATGCAGCCAGTGGTGTATAACAGGTTTAACATAGAAGTATTGTATGCCAGGCTAAAGAGAAGTTTAACAGTTTAACTTTCTCCTCAAACCTGGGCTCCATGGTGGCCACTCTCTGTTTGGTGTCCAGGTCGTACATGTAGATCTGTGGGTTGGCCCCAGCGGTCAGAAAGTGGGTCCCCTCTGGGTTTATGGTCAAAGATAAAGTTTGACGTCCCTCGTCGATGGAGTGCAAGCATGTGCCTGAAGTGTAGTGCCAAAACTTGACATGACCAGACGCATCTGTAATGGAGGAAATGGTTTTTTGTTAGACTGCAGCTTAAGTTCAGTTGGAAAACATAACTTCAAAGAATATAATGAGTATTAGAAAATGATTTACATGTGGCTATAATAATGTGAATGTACTCTGTTTTTTCTCCAGGTGAAAAAGGCCTGAAACGAATCTGAGTGACAGGCAGTCTGTTTTTGTTTGAGTCCTCGTCGTGCAGGGAATACAACAGCTGACATGTGACTGGATTGAAGATCTGAAACAAATCTACCACGTGTTTACATTTAATTTATTTATTAAACGACATGTTCACATTTGATCTATTTAAAATAACCATTTTGTGTAAAAAAAAAATTAAAAAATATTAAGACCTTATATATAATTTGTAATGAATTTTTGTAGAACTACATCTACAAATATAAATCAATTTAGTATTCAATAGCAATATCAACAATACTGTTTTAAATTCTAATAAATATTTACAAGAAAAATAATTTTTGAATAACAAATAACCTTAATGGTTCCATCACACAATCCAACGGCCAAGTGTTGTCCATCATCATTAAATCTACAGCACATGACATCAGACGGCAGCTCTCTAGAAAAAAGGAAACGAGAAGTTTCAAACACCAGAATCTCTTGTGTTTAATTTTGCTCCTTTATTTCAACATGTTTTTTTTATTATAAAATAGTAATACAATTTCAGAAAATGTACAACATTGCTATGTTGATTGAATAATAACTGATTTTTAAAAAGTGCAAATAAATTTTATTTGAAGTTACACAACAAAAAATAGGCAAGCGCACTAATATAAACAAATTTCAGTGCAGATTTCAATAAATAGGACTAAAATAAAATTGGACATTTCTTACAACAAAAACAGAATGGTGAAAGTGCTGTTTTAATTATAAGAACATTTTTAAAAGAATTACTTAATAGCCTAATTTAAAAAAAAAAATGAGAATTTAAATTTATAAACTTATACATTTGAAATTGAAATATTTTATTTTACAAAATCTGACAAGAACTACCAACTACTATTGTGTAGATTACAGAATGAGTTCAGTGCAAACAACTAGATCAAACCAGAGCCATACTCATGTTTACACAACTTAAGTATCTAAATTATGACACAACAGCAAGAACAAAATGACAGCACTAAAATATGACTTGTTTCATTCTTAGAATCCTAGGTAAAGTTAACCTATTTATGATGAAAACTTAAGTCAAGATTTATTTAAGCTCATAATTTACATAAAATGTTAGGGAGTGTGCACGATTAACTTAAATTTGTGTCAAATAAATACATAGAGATAATTAATTCACCTTCCTGTGCATGTACTGTCTCTGAAAAAATGTTATTGAACAGTAATCGTAATGTTCAATTACAGAAATACGTAAAAAAACAAATTTTTTCCAAAGTGCTTGTATGAGTCTAAGTTAAAGATCATTTAATAATAACTAATAACACATTTGATAATCAGTAAAAATAGGTAGGCTTACTACCTTCACATAAACAATAATTTATCACTTTGCTTGCCTTATTATAAAATGTGAGTTTAAAATGGCAAAGGACTAGGGCAATTCAATATAGGTTGTAAGTGTTAGTTAAGGCATATATATATATATATATATATATATATATATATATATATATATATATATATATATATATATATATATATATATATTGGTATATATGCCTAGTATTTAGGCCTATATATTATATAATATTATATCTGTTATGAAGTGTTATGCCTATATTAAAGTTATAAGGGCCTGATAGTAAAATACATAATTAATTACTATATAGGATAGGCCTATATATCAAATATCGTTTTACTTTTAATTAATTTTAACCTACATTGTGTCATATAACCGAAGGTTGCCTTCTAGATAAGGCCCTGTTCGGTTTCTTCGAAAACCTAGGCCGAATAGGCTGTTGTTTACTGTGCTGCTTCTGCGGCTATATGAACTGAATTCACTGACATCGCCTTGACTATCAGATCTACGAATAATATTATGACTTTCAGGTAAAACATCTATTGAGTCCCCACTCATTATAAATCTTTTTTTTAGAATTCCGCTAAGAATATGATTGTGTGGTTGCCTTGGTAACTAGTAATCAAACTACAAACTATCAGAATATAATTTATTATTTTCTTTTTTAAAGAGCTAGTTTATTTTAGTTCCATTTACATAAGAGTGCTATTTCCTCTACAAACATGGGTTACTACTCACTAGTAGACTACTGTCTCTGTCATTGTGTAGTAGGAAAGGTCAGATTTAGATCTAGACCCAGTGGCGTAGGCAGGGGGGGGGTTAGGGGGGGTTTTAGGGAAAGTTTGTCCCCGGGTAAAAATTGGAAACCCCCCCCCCTTGAGACGATCCTGGCTACGCCACTGTCTAGACCCTAGGCTGCCATCGGGATTAGTGTAATAAAAACCACTTCATAATAATTATTTTGTTGTCCCCAATGGTGCGCCCACCCACCCCATCCATTAAAAAAACAACTACCCAATAAATCAACTGATTGCTTTGTAAAGTTAACCTTACAACTAAATTAATACACTCAAAAGCAGCAATCTCTTTGTTGAAGTCCGCTGGTAAAATCAGTTTTTACTTATTGTAACTAATTAATTTTTCAACGTTTACTTCGACGCCTAAGCGAATATTTTAGTTTTTACTTTCTCGTATATACGATGTATAGAGAAAGTCTTGTAATCGTGCAAAAAAAAAAAAATCGAGATTTTTACAAATCTCGACGTTTTACACCTCACTGATACGGAAAAACATAATTTTGCAATCTTGTCCGTATGTCTGTGTGTCTGTCTGTCTGTCCGTGTGTAAACACGATAACTTGAGTACCGTTACAGCTAGGTTGATGATATTTCATGTATAAGTATTTTATCAAAATCGTAGATCCGTATCAACTTTTGAGCGATTTCCGATAACCGGAAGTGGTACTTTTCCTACTTTGAATTTTTCAAAAGCCTATAACTTGAGTACTATTTCAGATAGATAAATGAAATTTCACATGTAAGTAAAATATCTAATTCTCTACCTTCTGTTCAATTTTGAGTAATTTCCGTTGACCGGAAGTAGTAATTTACGCTACTTCCGATTTCTCAAAAAACTAATGTAAATTTTAAAAGTACTAATAATATTGCGCACTATTATGCGCTTTTTTATTTGGCGTTCACTTGGTGTGCAATTGATTTGTCTACGAGATTTTATTCTATTTTTAAAACTTTAAGTATTTAAAATGGATTAAAAATCATGTCTATAGCCCGAGTTCCCATCCCCTGTTATTTTTTATAAGAATATTCGAGAAAGTTTAGGGGAGATCACTCCCGGTTTATTTACATTTATTACAAGGGGAGGGAGGAAGGACGCGTCCATAAATGGCAACAGACATGGTTTGGCCCGATTCTTAACCCCCTCCTCCATCGACACACGTGCGTCACCAAAAGTTAGAGCCCCAAAAATGACGTAACAAATCAGTACACTCAGCCCCCCCCCCCTCGTTGTTATTCCTTTCTATTAATTGAGCCGCTTTCCATGCACAAAGTTGAGATAGCAATAGGCCTATACGTAGCTTATAACCAGTTTAAAAGATCTGTCAAATACATCGCTAATTCCAGTTAGATAGGTTGGCTGAGGTTTGAGAATGTTAGGGCCAAGTTAGATAGGTTGGCTGAGAATGTAAGGGACAAGATTACGTACCGTTTCCAGATATATTTCTTGAATTAACATTAGACCAAAAACTGTCATATTGCCAAAATCCTCATTGGTGTAGTTTTCGGTGTGTGTTTTTCTGTGTGCGCACATTTCTCATTTTTCTGCTTGCGCATTTTTCTGTGTGATAACTTTTCTGTTTGCACATTTTCTCTATACGCATTTTGTTTTTGCGCCTTTCCCGATACGCATCTTTCTGGTCATCAAAACCAATGACAGAAGCAACAGCGTAATAAGGAACAACAACTATCCGTCACGACCACCCTTTTATCTCCCCTCGTCATTCACACACACACACACACATGAGTGGGACAAGGTACTTCCAAGCCAGCTGGTATTTTCCCGCACTTAATTTAGCTTATCTGCTAGCTTGCACCTAGTAACATATAGGACCTACCACTTTTCTGTATTGTTGAAAACACCTTGGAAAGTTGAGTAAAATGTTTACTAAGATTTTTTTTACACTTGTGGTCTTAGGAGTTGGTGAGTTTGATAGTTTTTTGTTTTACCTAAGCTATGTAATAATTCCGGTACTTTTGAATAATATTAATATAAAGTTATAAACGGTTACTAACAATGGCCCTACCACAGCTCATGATTTGTTTAAAGAAGTTATCCATGTCTTTAGCTTTACAATAATTATTTGTCTTACTAAGGGGTCATCCATAAATGACGTCACGCTTTTTTGGACGATTTTTACCCCCCCCCCCTTTCCCCTCCGTCACAAAAAGCCAGACCCCCTCCCCTAAAATGACTTCACACCTCAGCCTACAACCCCCCCCCCCCCTCAAAATTGCTGTTGAATTTTTCTTAAAACATCGATATTTTTCCAAAATCTTGTCAGAACTCTGTCAACATAGAGTATTTTGATCAATTCCTATTACAATTTATTAAAATTGTTTTCTAAAACGCGAAATATCGACTAAAACTAGTTTTCTAACATTGCTTTTTATAATGAAAAAAGTGACGTCACAGTCACAAAATTACGGACCCCTCCCCCCCTACGAGTGTGACGTCATTTATGGACGACCCCTTTTAAAAAACACAACTAAATTTTAAATGTTTTATAATTTAATTTAACGAACCAACATCTTCAGGATAGACTTTTTAGACCTATAGACAATCGTGTGATTCATGGGGTCTAATTTAATAAACTGTATTACTTCTTTAAATAAAATTAAAGCTGTTGATTTGCACTTTCTGAATATCTAATTCTATATAATAGTTTCGCTGTCTGTCTATCTATCTATCTATCTGACAAGAACGCTGTAGAGAAAACACAAGCAAAATAAAAACATGCACAGTCATTCGAAAAACGAAGTATGACGCGGTCACATTTAGCATAGAGTAGAAAATAATCTCCAGTCGGAGAGTGCACACAATAATATGACGTCATTGATTTTAGAGTAAACATTGAATAAAAATGAAATTTTGTCTAATCTAATTGGTTTGCGTGAAGAGTTTCTTACAAACAATTCTTCGGGTAGGGGCGAAGCCCCACCCCCCGCGTAAGAACGTCTGAGCCCCCCCCCCCCCCTCCCCAACTCAAAAGAAATTTCTTCATCGATACTCTATAATAAAATTACCGCCTAATTAATGTGTCTAATCTAAAAAGTGGTTTTCTCGCAATTTCTTTAATGCAATTCTTCGGGTAGTGGCTAAGCGCGACACCAGTGTTTCTTTCAGACTTTTTCCTCCCCGGAGAGGGGTGGGGGTACTTGAAATTTTCGGGGGCGGGGGTAGAATTTTCGGGGAGGGGGCGGACACTGGAAAAAGTATATAATTATATTTCGTTGAATGGGACGGTAGACATGTTTTTTTAGGGGGGTGGGGTCGGGGGTGGTGTGTGTGTGGGGGGGGGGGGGGGTGGGGGTGGTTTTAATTTAGACTTTTTCCTCCCCGGAGAGGGGTGGGGGTACTTGAAATTTTCGGGGGCGGGTGTAGAATTTTCGGGGAGGGGGCGGACACTGGAAAAAGTATATAATTATATTTCGTTGAATGGGACGGTAGACATGTTTTTAGGGGGGGGGGGGGTGGTGGTGGTGTGTGTGTGGGGGGGGGGTGAGTGGGGGGGGGGTGGTTTTAATTTAGACTTTTTCCTCCCCGGAGAGGGGTGGGGGTACTTGAAATTTTCGGGGGCGGGTGTAGAATTTTCGGGGAGGGGGCGGACACTGGAAAAAGTATATAATTATATTTCGTTGAATGGGACGGTAGACATGTTTTTTTTGGGGGGGGGGGGGGGGGTGGAGGTGGGGGGGTGGTGTGTGGGGGGGTGGAGGTGGGGGGTGGTGTGTGGGGGGTTGAGGTGGGGGGTGGTGTGTGTGGGGGGTGGGGTGGTTTTAGTTTAGAGAAAAGAGACAGCACTATCAGCCTAGCGCCCGTTGTATCCTTCCTCAACGGGCCATTTTTCTCGTATTGAAATAATTACACAAAAGTATTAGTAATTAATTTAGGCCTAATAAAGTATATATTTTCTATATAAATTCCATTTTGTTCGGGGGGGGGGGGACCCTCCCCAGACACAGCCGCGTAGCGAGGGGGGCGGGGGTGCGGACCGCACCGGGTAACACCATTTAGGGGGGTGACTCCAAGGCAAAAAATAGCAATATATATATAGAAAAATTTGAAGGGGGTGCAAATCGAAGTTTGATGGGAGGGGGGTGCAAATCGAAAATATGAAAGTTTGTCCCCGAGAAGGGTCGCTACGCCTGTGGGGGGGGGGGGGGGTGACACCATTAAGTGCCACTGCCCAAACGTATTGCCTAGAAGAAACTGATTAACACCACACCATCTACTATACTTAATTAAATTAGGCCTAGTTGTTTGTTAGTTTAAAAAAGTACAAGTCTAGAAATCGCTTGCGGATAGAACTCAGCGTGTTCTTGTAACTATTTCTCTTGAACTCAGTAGCCTTTTATTCCCCAGCCCCAAGTGTTCGGGCACAGGTAGCCAGTCAATGTAATGTAGCGTGTCCCTTCATCTATATGCCCGTGTGCGCTAGCAATGATCTAACTTACGCCAACAAGTGTGTCATGGAGTCCATGTCTTGTGTGTAAGTTCAAGGATTTGTTCTTCGTTTAAACTATTACATTGTTAATTCGCTGTTTGTGCTAGGAAATCTGAATGCCAGCCGTGAACTATACTGTTTGTATACTTTGTTTTTTTTTGTTAGGTCTACGCTACATTATTAAAGATCAAATAGATCTAAGAATCTATAATAAGTAATAAGAATATCTAAATTCGCCGAGATTTCGCACAATTGAACTGGCAGCAGCGCACCGCACATAACTTTAAAACTTAAGTCAGATCAACGTAATATTAAATAGATCTAATAGATTCTAGATCTATGTGATATAAAAATATAAAATAATTGATCTTTTATCTTTTTTAGCGATGGACTGGGTTTAACTTTGAAGCATGAAGGAGCTTGCGCAGCTAAATAAATAAAAACCACTGAGCCAACAACTTGAAGGATCATCATAAACCAAATCACAAGTGTTTTGAAATAATAAAAATTAGGCTAACATTTAGATTTAACAGGCATAACTCTTTTAAAAAAAAATGATTAGGTGATTAGTTTAGGCCTAGTGCCGCCTAGATCTATGTTGTCAATTTTTTTTTTTGGTTTATTGTTTGACTATAAATATCTAGTAGATCTAGATCTATAAAGATTTGTCATCGGCTTTGTGCTGAACCATTTGTTCCACATTAAAAATGTATTTGAATGTTGTAAAACCAAAATATTTTAAATTTACTGTACAGGCCTAGATTAGATCTAATACTAATATTAATAAACAACTTGCTCAACTCATGCTGCATGAGTCTCTGTTTTAAGCTGATCAAGTGTGTCAGGCATATGTACTGTAGGCCCTATAACATGATAATATATATGTAATTATGTTTATTATATGTATGTATTACTATACATACAAAGTATCTAAGTATATATTATATATAGATCTAGGCCTACGTACATGTTACACACATAATAAAAAAATAATGACACTGCTTTCACATGTTCAAAAAACAACACAATATTCTAAAATTGAATAGATTTTTTGTCTTATTGAATCAAGTTTACTGTTCATCATAATATGCAGCCACACAAATCAATAGCATCCATCCATTCATTTGGGCTGAGGGTAACATTTATTTATTGTTATTAATTCTATAAATAAACACATGGCAACACAGGTTTAGTTGTATCGTGCAGCCCTAGCAGTTAGAAAACAATCTTATAAAACTCTGCAACTAGTGCTACATTACTTTCTAAGTATTATTTCTATCATATTAAAAAATGTTTTTAGAAAAGTGTCAAAACGAGGTAAGCTATGTCAAGACTTGTGTGGTTTTAGTTAAAAGAAAATCACCTGATTCTGTCACTAATTTCTGTCCTAAATGACCGACACTGAAAGATGAGCTAGTAAACAAATCTAGATATGGGAGGAAGAGTTTTCTACAAAGGTCAGGTGACACACAATAACAGGACAGACAACTCTAAAGCTGCTCTTGGTTGAAATGACGACTGTTGTTATAAATATTCCACCTCAGGGTATTCTAGGCTCTTCCATGGAGTTTGTTGTCCAGCATTGTATCTAAGACTAGTTTTACTTTTACTATGGTACATACAATTGGTGCATACAATTGGTGCATACAATTGGTGCATACAATGATGTAACAATGGCAAATGGGATCTGTTCTGATGGATGATAACAAAAAAACTTCTCCCTATTAATAATTAATAGAATGTTTGACAACACAGGTACAACCAGATGGTAACCACACAAATTAGAGGGCATCACACAATCAGATGGTAACCACACAATCAGATGGTAACCACACAATCAGATGGGTACCTGTAAGAGTAAATAAACCAGGTTTTAATGGCAGGTGTTGATGAATTTAAAAATGACTTGTAAACATATGTATGTGTGTATTTTTATTTTGGTCTCATAAATTGGGAGCTTAAATTGTTAAGAGTTGCTTGACATTATTGACTTTCTACTGAATACAATTTTTAATTTCAATAAACTATAAACTTCCTATGGTGTAAGCACACACTAATGAAAAGAAAACAGACATTTCACCTTGGCTAATGGATGACCCCCTATGGCCTTCACCTTGACTCTAATAGATTCTGGGATGGCAGATGACTCCTCTAGCAGACGTAACATTTCTTGGGAGTCGGTCAACAATTTCAAAAGTTTGGATGAGGGTGACATCTGGGTTAGTTTATGTTCGGATGTCTGAAAATGTACATCACGCTTAAGGTAATGGGATGTCTGAAAATGTACATAAGGCTTAAGGTAATGGGGTGTCTGAAAATGTACATCAGGCTTAAGGTAATGGGGTGTCTGAAAATGTACATCAGGCTTAAGGTAATGGGGTGTCTGAAAATGTACATCAGGCTTAAGGTAATGGGGTGTCTGAAAATGTACATCAGGCTTAAGGTAATGGGGTGTCTGAAAATGTACATCAGGCTTAAGGTAATGGGGTGTCTGAAAATGTACATCAGGCTTAAGGTAATGGGGTGTCTGAAAATGTACATCAGGCTTAAGGTAATGGGGTGTCTGAAAATGTACATCAGGCTTAAGGTAATGGGGTGTCTGAAAATGTACATCAGGCTTAAGGTAATGGGGTGTCTGAAAATGTACATCAGGCTTAAGGTAATGGGGTGTCTGAAAATGTACATCAGGCTTAAGGTAATGGGGTGTCTGAAAATGTACATCAGGCTTAAGGTAATGGGGTGTCTGAAAATGTACATCAGGCTTAAGGTAATGGGGTGTCTGAAAATGTACATAAGGCTTAAGGTCATGGGGTGTCTGAAAATGTACATCAGGCTTAAGGTAATGGGGTGTCTGAAAATGTACATAAGGCTTAAGGTCATGGGGTGTCTGAAAATGTACATCAGGCTTAAGGTCATGGGGTGTCTGAAAATGTACATCAGGCTTAAGGTAATGGGGTGTCTGAAAATGTACATCAGGCTTAAGGTAATGGGATGTCTGAAAATGTACATCAGGCTTAAGGTAATGGGGTGTCTGAAAATGTACATCAGGCTTAAGGTAATGGGGTGTCTGAAAATGTACATCAGGCTTAAGGTAATGGGGTGTCTGAAAATGTACATAAGGCTTAAGGTCATGGGGTGTCTGAAAATGTACATCAGGCTTAAGGTCATGGGGTGTCTGAAAATGTACATCAGGCTTAAGGTAATGGGGTGTCTGAAAATGTACATCAGGCTTAAGGTAATGGGATGTCTGAAAATGTACATCAGGCTTAAGGTAATGGGGTGTCTGAAAATGTACATCAGGCTTAAGGTAATGGGGTGTCTGAAAATGTACATCAGGCTTAAGGTAATGGGGTGTCTGAAAATGTACATCAGGCTTAAGGTAATGGGGTGTCTGAAAATGTACATCAGGCTTAAGGTAATGGGGTGTCTGAAAATGTACATCAGGCTTAAGGTCATGGGGTGTCTGAAAATGTACATCAGGCTTAAGGTAATGGGGTGTCTGAAAATGTACATCAGGCTTAAGGTAATGGGGTGTCTGAAAATGTACATCAGGCTTAAGGTAATGGGGTGTCTGAAAATGTACATCAGGCTTAAGGTAATGGGGTGTCTGAAAATGTACATCAGGCTTAAGGTCATGGGGTGTCTGAAAATGTACATCAGGCTTAAGGTAATGGGGTGTCTGAAAATGTACATCAGGCTTAAGGTAATGGGATGTCTGAAAATGTACATCAGGCTTAAGGTAATGGGGTGTCTGAAAATGTACATCAGGCTTAAGGTAATGGGGTGTCTGAAAATGTACATCAGGCTTAAGGTAATGGGGTGTCTGAAAATGTACATCAGGCTTAAGGTAATGGGGTGTCTGAAAATGTACATCAGGCTTAAGGTAATGGGGTGTCTGAAAATGTACATCAGGCTTAAGGTAATGGGGTGTCTGAAAATGTACATAAGGCTTAAGGTAATGGGGTGTCTGAAAATGTACATCACGCTTAAGGTAATGGGGTGTCTGAAAATGTACATCAGGCTTAAGGTAATGGGGTGTCTGAAAATGTACATAAGGCTTAAGGTAATGGGGTGTCTGAAAATGTACATAAGGCTTAAGGTAATGGGGTGTCTGAAAATGTACATCACGCTTAAGGTAATGGGGTGTCTGAAAATGTACATAAGGCTTAAGGTAATGGGGTGTCTGAAAATGTACATCAGGCTTAAGGTAATGGGGTGTCTGAAAATGTACATCAGGCTTAAGGTAATGGGGTGTCTGAAAATGTACATCAGGCTTAAGGTAATGGGGTGTCTGAAAATGTACATCAGGCTTAAGGTAATGGGGTGTCTGAAAATGTACATCACGCTTAAGGTAATGGGGTGTCTGAAAATGTACATAAGGCTTAAGGTAATGGGGTGTCTGAAAATGTACATCAGGCTTAAGGTAATGGGGTGTCTGAAAATGTACATAAGGCTTAAGGTAATGGGGTGTCTGAAAATGTACATCACGCTTAAGGTAATGGGGTGTCTGAAAATGTACATCAGGCTTAAGGTAATGGGGTGTCTGAAAATGTACATAAGGCTTAAGGTAATGGGGTGTCTGAAAATGTACATCAGGCTTAAGGTAATGGGGTGTCTGAAAATGTACATCAGGCTTAAGGTAATGGGGTGTCTGAAAATGTACATCAGGCTTAAGGTAATGGGGTGTCTGAAAATGTACATCAGGCTTAAGGTAATGGGGTATCTGAAAATGTACATCAGGCTTAAGGTAATGGGGTGTCTGAAAATGTACATAAGGCTTAAGGTCATGGGGTGTCTGAAAATGTACATCAGGCTTAAGGTAATGGGGTGTCTGAAAATGTACATAAGGCTTAAGGTCATGGGGTGTCTGAAAATGTACATCAGGCTTAAGGTAATGGGGTGTCTGAAAATGTACATCAGGCTTAAGGTAATGGGGTGTCTGAAAATGTACATCAGGCTTAAGGTAATGGGGTGTCTGAAAATGTACATCAGGCTTAAGGTAATGGGGTGTCTGAAAATGTACATAAGGCTTAAGGTAATGGGGTGTCTGAAAATGTACATCAGGCTTAAGGTAATGGGGTGTCTGAAAATGTACATCAGGCTTAAGGTAATGGGGTGTCTGAAAATGTACATCAGGCTTAAGGTAATGGGAGGACTGAAAATGTACATCAGGCTTAAGGTAATGGGATGTCTGAAAATGTACATCAGGCTTAAGGTAATGGGGTGTCTGAAAATGTACATCAGGCTTAAGGTAATGGGGTGTCTGAAAATGTACATCAGGCTTAAGGTAATGGGAGGACTGAAAATGTACATCAGGCTTAAGGTAATGGGGTGTCTGAAAATGTACATCAGGCTTAAGGTAATGGGGTGTCTGAAAATGTACATCAGGCTTAAGGTAATGGGGTGTCTGAAAATGTACATCAGGCTTAAGGTAATGGGAGGACTGCTAGCCCAAAAGTCTTAAATCCTTGGGACTTCTGGGAGTTCTCTCAGCTCTGATGGGTACCTGACTCTACTCCACCTAGCTCTCATGGGTACCTGACTCTACTTCACCTAGCTCTGATGGGTACCTGACTGTACTCCACCTAGCTCTGATGGGTACCTGACTTGCATTAGGGAAGTTAAAGCTGGTTGGCTTAGAATTGATCAAACTATCCCGTTATAAGCAGAGGTAACAAAAACAGATGAACTCTACTTCATCTGCCCTTATAACTGCCAAGGTATGTTGACAGGTAAGAAATTATACTTCAGGTTATGTTGCAATAAATTCTGAAAAATATATTTTTTGGAGGCATGGCAGTTTAATTGAGATATTGAAATGAGGCGTGTGAAATAAAGATCAATGTATAGCAGTAGTCTGTGCATTTGACTCAAGAATGTAAATGTTGGATTGAGCCCTAGAATCAAGGGTGTCATCTTAAGAAATTAGGTTGAAATTTTCACTATAACAAAAGGAACTGATAACTTACCCATGATGCACTTTGGTTATTGCTATCTGCTGGATCAGCTAGAAAGGAGGATAATTTTTCAGAAAATTGGTCACTCCATTGGTCACTCCAGTCCTCTGGGTCCTGGTAGGACCAAGTTTCTGAATGTCCTACACTCTCACAGCTGTTACTCACACATTCACTGCGTTCTATAACTCTTTCACACACATGTAAACTGGGGGTTAAAACAGGCAAATTATTTGTACATTTATTGTTTGTTTCATTGATGGGAGGATATATCACAGATGAAGTTTGGTCCATAGTAGCTGCATGATGGTAATCAGGAATAAAGACAGAATCCTTTGTGTGGTGTTGATCAGGAATAAAGACAGAATCCTTTGTGTGGTGTTGATCAGGAATAAAGACAGAATCCTTTGTGTGGTGTTGATCAGGAATAAAGACAGAATCCTTTGTGTGGTGTTGATCAGGAATAAAGACAGAATCCTTTGTGTGGTGTTGATCAGGAATAAAGACAGAATCATTTGGCCTTCCTGGCAACTCAGTCACTTCACCTCTCAAGCTTCCTGTCAGCGTATCCAGATTTTTTCTCTCTAAGGGAAACTGATTTGTTGGTAAAAGATGTGTAGATTTGGCCTGACACTGTCCAGCTTTGGTCTTAGAAAGATAGTCATCCACAGCTCTAGACATGCTTGAAGGATGATGAGGCGGGCAGCAGTCCAAGGGTGCTGGACTAGAGTTTCTTGTGGCATCAGCCAGCAGGTCACCTGTCAAATGACCTACATCTCTGACAGGTATGTCTCGACCTGGTATCAACGTGCCGGACACAACACCGGCTGCCATGTTAACTGTCAGATGACAAGCTGCTACGTCACTTTCATCCAGCGTTAAGTTGTCAAATTCCAGTCTTCTAATGACAGGGTCTGCAGGTTGATGAGATTGACTGGAACCTGCGGCAGGTTGATGAGACTCACTGAAGCCTGCAGCAGGTTGATGAGATTCACTGAAGCCTATGTCCTTGGTGGATGGCGTAGTGCTGTCATATGATTGCTGACCCCACCTGTCACTGACTGTATCAGTGAATGCGCTGTGTAACTGGTGGTACTGCTGCATGTTGTTGGAGTTCTTGTTGCCATAGCTACAGGTGGATGCTGCCCTATCAGACTCCAGGTACCTGCTGACCAGCTGTTCCTCCAGACAGGCAGGCGGGGGCTTCTGACATGCTGGAGACAACTCTTTGCTGACCTCTGACCTATCGTTGTAGAGTTCAACTTGATCCTCATCCGACCTGATCCACTCATAGCGACGAGTTTTTTCAGAGAAGTGGATCTTTGACAAGTGCTTATAAAGTGACGGCTTTTTGGTGTTTGAAAAAGGCTTTAATGGCCCCGTGTTTTTTCTAACGGTTGAGTCATGTGACTTTCTAATATTTAAGTCTTCTTCAGTTGAAGAGCTTGTGCTCCTAGTTTCTGTGTAATAATAGTTGCGCTCAGTAGAGGAGGGTCCACCAGCTGACTGGCCCAGGTTGCGCTCAGTAGAGGAGGGTCCACCAGCTGACTGGCCCAGGTTGCGCTCAGTAGAGGAGGGTCCACCAGCTGACTGGCCCAGGTTGCGCTCAGTAGAGGAGGGTCCACCAGCTGACTGGCCCAGGTTGCGCTCAGTAGAGGAGGGTCCACCAGCTGACTGGCCCAGGTTGCGCTCAGTAGAGGAGGGTCCACCAGCTGACTGGCCCAGGTTGCGCTCAGTAGAGGAGGGTCCACCAGCTGACTGGCCCAGGCTGGGCTGGCTTAAGGGGGTCTCCCGCTCAGTGTCAGCGCTGGTGGATGGGTTGGAGAGTTTTTGCTTGGTCCCTACAGAAGGGTCAAGGTTCACACCCTCAGGGGCATTGAGACCATCAGGAGAGATCACATGCTGCGCAAGATGTCCTGATGTTTGCTGTGTGGCTTTGGTGATCTCCTTCTGGCTGCTGTTGTTGCTATGGCAATCAGCCTCTGATTGGCTGTTGCTATGACAACCAACATCGGACTGGCTGTCCTGAGACTTGTTGTTGTTGCAGTAGAGAGACAGGTAGGTGCCGACGTCAGAGGGAATGGCAGACAATTTACTGGCATAGGTTTGTTGTCCAAGGAAGGGGTCAACTTTAGGGGCCTTAAACCTGTAGGGGTCAAACCGGGAGCTGTCGGGGTAGCTGCGGCGCAGGTCAGAGCAGAAGCGGAGCTTGTCATCAAGCAAAGTGCTGCGGCCAGGCTTGTAGAGTTTCTGACAGTAGAGGGAGTCGCCCAGCCCATCAGAGCACGAGTAGATCCCGTGGCTCTTCAGCGTGTCGGGCTTGGAACTGCGGCGCTTGTAAGCTCTGGCAAACTCACAACAAGATTTGGACTTTTTCTGACACTTGCACACCTCCCTCTTCTCATCTACCTCTGAGCTGTTCTCGTCCTCGTCTGAGTATTCAACTGTGATTTTCATCTTTCCTTTCCGTGGAGGAAAGCCAGCAATTGGAGACTGGCTCTTGCGTCGTCGCCTCTTGTGCTGCTTGACTTCCTTGCTGCGGGGACAGTTCATGAGCACCATGGGGGAGACGTCCAGCCGCTCACTGACAGAAGACTTGTCAGTGGGTGGGGACAGCTGGTCCATGTAGGACACTTTCTTCACGGCCGTGTGCGACTTACTGGCCAGTTTCTTGGACGGTCTGTCTTTGAGCTCGTAGGAAGTGGAGGTCAGCTCACTTAGGTCCACAGTGGAAGGTCGTTCAACTTCCTTCCTTGAGACGGATGGTGACATCATGATCAGTGGCGAGGTGTTGCGGTCAATGGAGGCCTTCCTCTCCGTGGCATGAATGTAGCCAGGGACCATCATGGCGTCTGTGGCATGAATGTAGCCAGGGACCATCATGGCGTAGCTGGAAAGTTTTCTTGTCTCTATTTCCTCAGGTGTGTCTTCCAGCACTTTTTTCTTGCTTTTGGTCAGGCACAAACTAATTTCCCTATCAGGGGCTGATTGCTCGTCACTGTTGGAACTTTTGGCATGGCACTGGCAGCGGTGGGCGGGGCACCTGGCTTGTTTCTTTCTCTCCTTGGGCGAGCGGTTCTCTTTGCACACACAGCAAGTTCTCTTTTTTATCTCTGTAGATGATTTGCGGAGTGAACCATCTTGACTGGGACTTTTAGATTTTGCACAGGGTGACCTTCGCCCTGCAAGACCCTGCAGTTTTCTTGTTGTAGATGGGGAAGAGTGTTGGCGGACATCTTGACGCGATGTTATGTTGCCCTCGCTGTAATTGGGGATGTAAGATGGGGATGTATTTATGTCTCCATCTTGGTTTGAACGTTTGTGATCAGAAGTTTTAATGCCCTCGCTGTAGTTGGTGATGTAAGATGGAGAACTGTTTATGTCTCCATCTTGATTAGAATGTTTGTGATCAGAAGTTTTAATGCCGTCACTGTATTTGAGTATAGACGAGGAGGTGTGTACGACTCCATCTTGGTGTGAATGTTTGTGATCAGAGGGTTTATTGCGGTCACTGTATTTGGCTATAGACGAGGAGGTGTGTACGACTCCATCTTGGTGTGAATGTTTGTGATCAGAGGGTTTATTGCTGTCACTGTATTTGGCTATAGACGAGGAGGTGTGTACGACTCCATCTTGGTTTGAATGTTTGTGATCAGAGGGTTTATTGCTGTCACTGTATTTGGCTATAGACGAGGAGGTGTGTACGACTCCATCTTGGTGTGAATGTTTGTGATCAGAGGGTTTATTGCCATCACTGTATTTGGCTATAGACGAGGAGGTGTGTACGACTCCATCTTGGTGTGAATGTTTGTGATCAGAGGGTTTATTGCTGTCACTGTATTTGGCTATAGACGAGGAGGTGTGTACGACTCCATCTTGGTTTGAATGTTTGTGATCAGAGTTTTTTTTGCCCTGGCTGTATTTGTGTATGTAAGAAGGGGACACAGGTGGCTCATGACTGGGGCTTGTAGCTGGTGACTTGGTGGGTGGGGGGGAGGGGTTCCTTGCTGTTCCATACCCAGAGTCCTCGACCCTTCTGGCCACATCAGAGGAAACCTTTTCTACCCCACCCCCGGGGGAGTTTTGGGTGTCTTCATCTTCAGCACTGAAGCTGATTCTCTTCTCCACCCTGTCCTTTTTAAGAAAGCTGCTCCTCTTGGGGTTGGCCGGGGCATCCCACAAGTTTGACAAGCTTTTGAAGGAGGGTTTGTTGGGGTCGGATAAGGCTGATTTACGCCATGAGTTGGACGAACTTTTAGACTGCTGCTTGCTAAAATTCTCTTTCCCAATATGGCTGATATCTGTGGGTACATTTTAAAGAAGATTAAGATTAAAAAAATGTTAAAATGAATTTAGAATTTAGAAACAATGTCATCTTAGGTCAGACATCCTTAGAACAACACAACAACCAGAGATGGAATCAGTTACCATAGTAACACTTGTTCTATTTCTTAAAAATACAATCACCTCGCTTGAGTTCATGGCACATGCCATCACTGTCAGCTGGCGTCAAATCATCGTCAAATTTAGAGGGAGATGTCAGGTGGCTGGCGTCAGAAGATGATTCCGGACGCTGACAACTTTTACTGGCAACGGCCTTCTGCCCGACAGGCTTGTCCTTCTGTGGGCTGCATTTGCGAGTCAAGATGGGGGAGGTGGTCCTGGAGCGCGTCACTTTCTTCTTTGGCTTCTGGCTGGAGGTGGAGCGTGAGTCTGAGCTGCAACGTTTGTCTGTGGCGTTTCTAGAGATGTTCTCAGCATAGCTGGAGGACAGGCAGTTCCTGCCTCGAGATCTGTACCACACAAGCAAGAACAGAAACATACCGGTACAACATCAAGAAACATACCGGTACAACATCAAGAAATATACCGATACAATATCAAGAAACATACTGGTAAACATCAAGAAACATACTGGTACAACAATGAAATATACCGGTACAACATCAAGAAACATACTGATACAACATCAAGAAACATACTGGTACAACAATGAAATATACCGGTACAACATCAAGAAACATACTGGTACAACAATGAAATATACCGGTACAACATCAAGAAACATACTGATACAACATCAAGAAACATACTGAAATATACTGGTACAACATAAAGAAATATACTAGCATAACATCAAGAAACAATAACAAAAATTAAAAAGTACTTTTTTAAAATAACTAAATAACGCCACTTTCTTTATTCTAAAAGGATAAAGGACCTGATAAACTGCAGAAATAAAAAAATGTGTTACTGCTATGTATGGCTTCCAATGCTTCAAAACAGTTTTCGGGAACCAAAGTAATTTAAAAAAAAGAAATACATCACAAATCCTAGAAATAACTGGCTTCCTATCTAATAATTGGCTTATTTATCATGTAAGTAACTGGAATGCAGGTTAAATGGAGACCAAAATTGCCATGCCTTGCTTGCATCACACTGCCTTAGTACAAATTAAAGACTGTGGACTATAATGTACTGCCTACAAAGTTTATGTCTGTTTGCATATTTGACAAAAGAATAAGAAGAAAATATTGCATATGTTCACATTGCTAAACAAATGTTAAACTATTCAATGTCAAACTTATTTTCTCTCAGACTTGTGGAACAAATATGATAAATATTAACAATGGTAGAGTAAATGCATTTAATTCAATCATTTTTTACTGTTTTAAGGGTAAGAATAAGATTATGTAATTTTCAATGAACAGAGTTAAGTCTTTTGTGGCTAAATCAATATGAAAATTTATACACTCGGTCATTTTTAATTCTCTATTTTCCCTACCTTTCTTTGTTAAATAAATCTTTGAAAAATCCCCCTTTTTTGTCAAGAAATATCTACTTCAGCTTTTGATGACTACAACTAGGCATTTTTATTCTGATGACTACAACTAGACATTTTTATTTTGATGACTACAACTAGACATTTTTATTTTGATGACTACAACTAGACATTTTTATTTTGATGACTACAACTAGACATTTTTTATTCGCGGTAATTTCCCCTGTGAGTGACTACCATGTGTGATCAAAATTTTTCTTTCTTTGCATTTGATATCAAAATTTTTCTTTCTTTGCATTTGATATCAAAATCTTTCTTTCTTTGCATTTGATATCAAAATTTTTCTTTCTTTGCATTTGATATCAAAATTTTTCTTTCTTTGCATTTGATATCAAAATTTTTCTTTCTTTGCATTTGATATCAAAATTTTTCTTTCTTTGCATTTGATATCAAAATTTTTCTTTCTTTGCATTTGATATCAAAATTTTTCTTTCTTTGCATTTGATATCAAAATCTTTCTTTCTTTGCATTTGATATCAAAATCTTTCTTTCTTTGCATTTGATATCAAAATCTTTCTTTCTTTGCACTTGATTATGAAATATCAAGCTGTATTATGTAATGAATACTTTAAAAATGTATTTTTAAAATTCTGTTTTATTTGTAGACTAAAAAGTCATTTGATTATTAAATAGCAAGCTGTATTATATACATTTGTACTTTTAAAAACTATGAAATACAATTTTCTTTTGTAAACCAAACTGAGCTGATAACAAAAGTTTAACAAATGTTTAAAATAAAAAAACAATTTGTAAAAAAAGCATTACTAATTCCTTTGTTTCTATGTAGTAAATAGTTGACAATTAAATTGTTTCATTTTTATACCATGAACGAACTATTCCTAGTAACTGGCCTAGCCAAAAATCTAAAAAAATTAATGATGAGTTACCTTCCCTGCTGACTGTCATCTGACAGCTGAGTGGTGCTGCTGGTGATGGTGGCAACGTTGTGACAGCGCACCGTGTGGCAAGCAGAGATGGACAACTCTCCTGACCTCTCCGTCTGCACGTCCAGCTGCGTGTCACTTCCCAGCTGGCCCCTCCCCTGCTTCAACAGGTAGCTGCACTCACTCTCCTGGGGGCCCAGTCTATCTTTGTGGGAGCTGGTGGGTAGAGGAAATGTGTGGGGGCTGGTGGGTAGAGGAAATGTGTGGGAGCTGGTGGGTAGAGGAAATGTGTGGGGGCTGGTGGAAATGTGTGGGAGCTGGTGGGTAGAGGAAATGTGTGGGAGCTGGTGGGTAGAGGAAATGTGTGGGAGCTGGTGGGTAGAGGAAATGTGTGGGGGCTGGTGGAAATGTGTGGGAGCTGGTGGGTAGAGGAAATGTGTGGGAGCTGGTGGGTAGAGGAAATGTGTGGGAGCTGGTGGGTAGAGGAAATGTGTGGGAGCTGGTGGGTAGAGGAAATGTGTGGGAGCTGGTGGGTAGAGGAAATGTGTGGGGGCTGGTGGGTAGAGGAAATGTGTGGGAGCTGGTGGGTAGAGGAAATGTGTGGGAGCTGGTGGGTAGAGGAAATGTGTGGGAGCTGGTGGGTAGAGGAAATGTGTGGGAGCTGGTGGGTAGAGGAAATGTGTGGGAGCTGGTGGGTAGAGGAAATGTGTGGGAGCTGGTGGGTAGAGGAAATGTGTGGGGGCTGGTGGGTAGAGGAAATGTGTGGGGGCTGGTGGGTAGAGGAAATGTGTGGGGGCTGGTGGAAATGTGTGGGGGCTGGTGGGTAGAGGAAATGTGTGGGGGCTAGAGGAAATGTGTGGGGGCTGGTGGGTAGAGGAAATGTGTGGGGGCTGGTGGAAATGTGTGGGGGCTGGTGGGTAGAGGAAATGTGTGGGGGCTAGAGGAAATGTGTGGGAGCTTGGGAAAAGTTACCTCATATTTTTATCTCTCCTCTAAAGTTGCCTCACATTTTTTTCTCTCCTCTAACGTTACCTCAATTTTTTTTACCTCTCCTGTAAATTTACCTCATATTTTTATCTCTCCTCTAAAGTTACCTTATATTTTTATCTCTCCTCTAAAGTTACCTCATATTTTTATCTCTCCTCTAAAGTTACCTCATATTTTTATCTCTCCTCTAAAGTTACCTCATATTTTTATCTCTCCTCTAAAGTTACCTCATATTTTTATCTCTCCTATAAAGTTACCTTATATTTTTATCTCTCCTCTAAAGTTACCTCATATTTTTATCTATCCTCTACTCTAAACTTACCTCATATTTTTATCTCTCCTCTAAAGTTACCTTATATTTTTATCTCTCCTCTAAAGTTACCTCATATTTTTATCTATCCTCTACTCTAAACTTACCTCATATTTTTATCTCTCCTATAAAGTTACCTTATATTTTTATCTCTCCTCTAAAGTTACCTCATATTTTTATCTCTCCTCTAAAGTTACCTCATATTTTTATCTCTCCTCTAAAGTTACCTCATATTTTTATCTCTCCTATAAAGTTAACTTATATTTTTATCTCTCCTATAAAGTTACATTATATTTTTATCTCTCCTCTAAAGTTACCTTATATTTTTATCCCTCCTCTAAAGTTACCTTATATTTTTATCTCTCCTCTAAAGCTACCTCATATTTTTATCTCTCCTCTAAAGTTACCTCATATTTTTATCTATCCTCTACTCTAAACTTACCTCATATTTTTATCTCTCCTCTAAAGTTACCTCATATTTTTATCTCTCCGATACTTTTCTTCCCGTTTCACTTTTTCTTCCTCCACGCTGACCCAGCTTTTTTTCTCGTCTTTCTGTCTTTGATTTTCCTCAGTTTCCTTCTGCTTGGTCTCGTGAGCTTCACGTACACTCAGGTGGTACAACGTCAAGTCACGGTTTTGTCGATCATATAGCTACAGATAATTGATTACACTTGTCATTACACAGCTAACAATGATTGTGTCATTACACAGCTAACAATGATTGTGTCATTACACAGCTAACAATGATTGTGTCATTACACAGCTAACAATGATTGTGTCATTACACAGCTAACAATGATTGTGTCAGCTCCACAAAGACATTGACTGGCAAGCCAATTTTGGGAATAGGAGAGCAGTAGCAAAGGGCTAGGGTTAAAAATTTGTATTGCTGTCAAGTGTCTGAACCTACACAAATTGTATGCCATGTCCTTGGAACATTTTCAAGAATACACAATAAACTATTCAAGTAAAGGCTGACAAAACAATCTCTAGAAACAGATAAATACTTCAATGTGTTGCTATGGACCATCTGGTCTAAAAAGTCCTTCAATGTGTGCATGAGTGGATTTTAGCTTGTTGTCATACAAAATATAACAACATAACAAGCTGGTTAAGGTTATGTATCTATAGTGATTTCTCTATTAGATGAGGGTCATGTAAAAAGAACAACGCAAACGAAATACCTCGCGAATATTTTGAAGCTCCTGCATCGTTCTTTTGTGTTGTTTTCTCAGTGAGTACATCACCTCTTCCTTACACTTCTCCCTTTCACCTGTAACACCATTTGAAAATGTTAGTAAACTTTCACCTGTAAATTTACACCATTTGAAAATGTTAGTAAACTTTCACCTGTAAATTTACACCATTTGAAAATGTTAGTAAACTTTCACCAGTAAATTTACACCATTTGAAAATGTTAGTAAACTTTCACCAGTAAATTTACACCATTTGAAAATGTTAGTAAACTTTCACCAGTAAATTTACACCATTTGAAAATGTTAGTAAACTTTCACCTGTTAACTTACACCATTTGAAAATATTTAAATAGAAAACTTTCACCAGTAGAGGAGTTTATAAAATCCACAGCAGATATAGAACGTTTTTAAGTGTTTGAATTAGAACATTTTAAAATGTTTGAATTAGAATGTTTTTAAATGTTTAAATATTTCATTAGGTGAAGAAGTTTTTAAATGTTTGAATTAGAATGTTTTTAAATGTTCAAATATTTCATCAGGTGAAGAAGTTATTAAATGTTTGAATTATAATGTTTTTAAATGCTTGAATTAGAATGTTTTTAAATGCTTGAATTAGAATGTTTTTAAATGTTTGAATTAGAATGTTTTTAAATGTTTAAATTAGAATGTTTTTAAATGCTTGAATTAGAATGTTTTTAAATGTTTGAATTATAATGTTTTTAAATGTTTGAATAAGAATGTTTTTAAATGTTTGAATTAGAATGTTTTTAAATGCTTGAATTAGAATGTTTTTAAATGTTTGAATTAGAATGTTTTTAAATGTTTGAATTAGAATGTTTTTAAATGCTTGAATTAGAATGTTTTTAAATGTTTGAATTAGAATGTTTTTTAATGTTTGAATTAGAATGTTTTTAAATGTTTGAATTAGATTTAAATGTTTGAATTAGAATGTTTTTAAATGCTTGAATTAGAATGTTTTTAAATGTTTGAATTAGAATGTTTTTAAATGTTTGAATTAGAATGTTTTTAAATGTTTGAATTAGAATGTTTTTAAATGCTTGAATTAGAATGTTTTTAAATGTTTAAATTAGAATGTTTTTAAATGTTTGAATTAGAATGTTTTTAAATGTTTGAATGTTTCCTTTTTCAGAGTTTACATATAAACTTCTACTTCTATTACAATAAAGAAAAAAAAAGTAAAATTTTTATTATCTATAGTTGAAAAAGTTCGTTCTGAAATTTTGAATTAAAAAGCAAAACATGTATGTATGTAAAAAGACATACAATTTGTGTCGAGAATAAAAAGACTTACAACTGGTGATGAGAATAAAAAGACGTACAACTGGTAATGAGAATAAAAAGACTTACCACTTTTGAAGAGAATAAAAAGATGTACAAGATGATGAGAATAAAAAGACGTACAACTGGTGATGAGAATAAAAAGACGTACCACTTGTGATGAGAATAAAAAGACGTACAACTTGTGAAGAGAATAAAAAGACGTACAAGTTGATGTGAATAAAAAGATGTACAACTGGTGATGAGAATAAAAAGACGTACAAGATGATGAGAATAAAAAGATGTACAACTGGTGATGAGAATAAAAAGACGTACCACTTGTGAAGAGAATAAAAAGAAGTACAACTGGTGATGAGAATAAAAAGACGTACCACTTGTGAAGAGAATAAAAAGACGTACAAGATGATGAGAATAAAAAGACGTACAACTTGTGATGAGAATAAAAAGATGTACAACTGGTGATGAGAATAAAAAGACCTACAACTTGTGATGAGAATAAAAAGATGTACAACTGGTGATGAGAATAAAAAGACCTACAACTTGTGATGAGAATAAAAAGACGTACAACTTGTGATGAGAATAAAAAGATGTACAACTGGTGATGAGAATAAAAAGACGTACAACTGGTGATGAGAATAAAAAGACGTACCACTTGTGAAGAGAATAAAAAGACGTACAACTGGTGATGAGAATAAAAAGACGTACAAGTTGATGAGAATAAAAAGACGTACAACTGGTGATGAGAATAAAAAGACGTACAAGATGATGAGAATAAAAAGCCGTACAACTTGTGATGAGTATAAAAAGATGTACAACTGGTGATGAGAATAACAAGACGAACAACTTGTGATGAGAATAAAAAGACGTACAACTGGTGAAGAGAATAAAAAGACGTACAACTGGTGATGAGAATAAAAAGACATACAAGTTGATGAGAATAAAAAGACGTACAACTGGTGATGAGAATAAAAAGACGTACAAGATGATGAGAATAAAAAGATGTACAACTTGTGATGAAAATAAAAAGATGTACAACTGGTGATGAGAATAAAAAGACATACAACTTGTGATGAGAATAAAAAGACGTACAACTGGTGATGAGAATAAAAAGACGTACAACTGGTGATGAGAATAAAAAGATGTACAAAAGGTGATGAGAATAAAAAGACGTACAACTTGTGATGAGAATAAAAAGACGTACAACTGGTGATGAGAATAAAAAGACGTACAACTTGTGATGAGAATAAAAAGACGTACAAGATGATGAGAATAAAAAGATGTACAAAAGGTGATGAGAATAAAAAGACGTACAACTTGTGATGAGAATAAAAAGATGTACAACTGGTGATGAGAATAAAAAGACGTACAACTTGTGATGAGAATAAAAAGACGTACAAGATGATGAGAATAAAAAGACGTACAAGATGATGAGAATAAAAAGACGTACAACTGGTGATGAGAACAAAAAGACGTACAACTGGTGATGAGAATAAAAAGACGTACAACTTGTGAAGAGAATAAAAAGACGTACAAGTTGATGAGAATAAAAAGACGTACAACTTGTGATGAGAATAAAAAGACGTACAACTGGTGATGAGAATAAAAAGACGTACAACTGGTGATGAGAATAAAAAGACGTACAACTTGTGATGAGAATAAAAAGACGTACAAGATGATGAGAATAAAAAGACGTACAAGATGATGAGAATAAAAAGACGTACAACTGGTGATGAGAATAAAAAGACGTACAACTTGTGAAGAGAGCTTTCTGTAGAGCTATGGCCTGCTGCAGAGACTCGTGGAGTTGCTGTGTCATCTTCTGAATGTTCTCTTCTTTGATTGTCACTTCCTCTAGACATCAGGACATAAGTCAGTCTTGTTAGCACAGAATATTGAATCGACTTTAATCTGCCCACATTAGCTTTACCAATCAATTGGTCTGCCCACTATAATCTGCCCACTTAAATCTGCCCACTATAATCTGCCCACATTAGCTTTACCAATCAATTGGTCTGCCCACTATAATCTGCCCACTATAATCTTCCCACATTAGCTTTACCAATCAATTGGTCTGCCCACTTTAATCTGCCCACCTTACCAAACAGTTTGTCAGCGTCATCCTTAGCGTTGCAGTATTTTTTCTTCCAGGTGCCGGCCTCCGTGGAGAGGTTGAGGTTTTTTTCTTCCAGCTCATCACACCTGGCCTGCAGGAACTCAATGTGGTCCTTCATATTCTTCCACTCAGCTCGTCTCTCTGACAGCTGGCAGTCCTGCAACAGAGGTCAGTGTCAGATGGACAGTGGTCAGTGTCAGACAGCAGTCAGTGTCAGGTGGACAGTGGTCAGTATCAGATAGACAGTGGTCAGTGTCAGATGGACAGTGGTCAGATAGACAGTGGTCAGTGTCAGATAGACAGTGGTCAGTGTCAGATGGACAGTGGTCAGTGTCACCTAGACAGTGGTCAGTGTCAGACAGCTGTCAGTGTCAGATAGACAGTGGTCAGTGTCAGATAGACAGTGGTCAGTGTCAGATAGACAGTGGTCAGTGTCAGATAGACAGTGGTCAGTGTCAGATAGACAGTGGTCAGTGTCAGACAGCTGTCAGTGTCACATAAACAGTGGTTAGTGTCACATAAACAGTGGTTAGTGTCACATAAACAGTGGTTAGTGTCAGATAGACAGTGGTCAGTGTCAGATAGACAGTGGTCAACATGAGTGGCCAATATGAGCTGAACAAGCAAGTCAAGTTCTAGCCAAGTATTCATGCTTAACTTTAGTTCTATCAAGTCAAAGTTCTAGCCAAGTATTCGTGCTAAACTTTAGTTCTATGAAATCAAAGTTCTAGCCAAGTATTCATGCTAAACTTTAGTTCTATGAAATCAAAGTTCTAGCCAAGTATTCAAGCTAAACTTTAGTTCTATGAAATCAAAGTTCTAGCCAAGTATTCATGCTAAACTTGAGTTCTATCAAGTCAAGTTCTAGCCAAGTATTCATGCTAAACTTTAGTTCTATGAAATCAAAATTCTAGCCAAGTATTCATGCTAAACTTTAGTTCTATGAAATCAAAGTTCTAGCCAAGTATTCATGCTAAACTTTAGTTCTATGAAATCAAAGTTCTAGCCAAGTATTCATGCTAAACTTTAGTTCTATGAAATCAAAGTTCTAGCCAAGTATTCATGCTAAACTTTAGTTCTATGAAATCAAAGTTCTAGCCAAGTATTCAAGCTAAACTTGAGTTCTATGAAATCAAAGTTCTAGCCAAGTATTCATGCTAAACTTTAGTTCTATGAAATCAAAGTTCTAGCCAAGTATTCATGCTAAACTTTAGTTCTATCAAGTCAAAGTTCTAGCCAAGTATTCATGCTAAACTTGAGTTCTATCAAGTCAAAGTTCTAGACAAGTATTCAAGCTACTTTAGTTCTATGAAATCAAAGTTCTAGCCAAGTATTCGTGCTAAACTTTAGTTCTATGAAATCAAAGTTCTAGTCAAGAATTCATGCTAAACTTTAGTTCTATCAAGTCAAAGTTCTAGCCAAGTATTCGTGCTAAACTTTAGTTCTATCAAGTCAAAGTTCTAGACAAGTATTCATGCTAAACTTTAGTTCTATGAAATCAAAGTTCTAGCCAAGTATTCATGCTAAACTTTAGTTCTATGAAATCAAAGTTCTAGCCGGTAAACGGAAAAAAAGTCACAGGAAAAAAAACACAGAAAAAAAGTCACAGTTTTTGCTAGGAAAAAAAGTCACGGAAAAAAAGTCACAATGGAAAAATTTTATCGGAAAAAAAGTCACAGAAATAAAGTCACAGAAAAAAAGTCACACAAATCTTTTTAGAAATATTTTGATTTATTTGTTAAGAATTGTAAAATTGTGTATGTTTATTGTTGTGGGTTGTATTTTTTGATAGCTTAAATTATTTATAGACGTTAAAAGCATTATGGTTTATACAAATTGTAAGTAAAAATACTCTAAGATAATTTACACAACAATCTTAACTTTTGTTACAAATTTAGTTACATACGCGGTAGAAAAGTTAACTATAAAAGAAATGTAGGCACATCATTGTGTTTTGCATAGGTTTTGCTGTAGGCTATTCTATGGTCGGCCTCTCCTCAGTCGGCATTGTCCGAACATATTTTGTGTTGTTGACGTTTTGTGTCAATGACAGCCTTTGAACCTTGTCGGCTCTCTGTTTTGATCCTAAGTTTTGTTATGTAATGAGCGTGATAAATGTGGGCAGTAAAGGTGGTTGAACTAAGTATAACTATTGTTGCGATGAGTTTAGGGCAGTAATTCAGATGACCTTACCATTTCACGGTAATTTAATTTTAAAAAAAACACGATGAAAACCGTGGACATTCTATTAAATGCTATAAATATTATGTTTAGCATAATTACAATCTACATAATTCATACTAAATATTTTTAGATGAATTATAAAAATTACTATACGTATACAACCTACACACATTACATTACATTTAATTAATCCTAAGTTAATTTGCACTCTCTGAATATTTAATACATAAAAGTATTAACAAATCCCATGAAAATATATATTTGTGACTTTTTTTCTTGAGACTTTTTTTCCTGTGACTTTTTTTCCTGTGACTTTTTTTCTGTGTTTTTTTTTCCTGTGTTTTTTTTTCCTGTGACTTTTTTTCCTACAATCTTCTAGCCAAGTATTCATGCTAAACTTGAGTTCTATGAAATCAAAGTTCTAGCCAAGTATTCATGCTAAACTTTAGTTCTATCAAGTCAAAGTTCTAGCCAAGTATTCATGCTAAACTTTAGTTCTATCAAGTCAAAGTTCTAGCCAAGTATTCGTGCTAAACTTTAGTTCTATCAAGTCAAAGTTCTAGCCAAGTATTCATGCTAAACTTTAGTTCTATCAAGTCAAAGTTCTAGACAAGTATTCATGCTAAACTTTAGTTCTATGAAATCAAAGTTCTAGACAAGTATTCATGCTAAACTTGAGTTCTATGAAATCAAAGTTCTAGCCAAGTATTCAAGCTAAACTTTAGTTCTATCAAGTCAAAGTTCTAGCCAAGTATTCATGCTAAACTTTAGTTCTATCAAGTCAAAGTTCTAGCCAAGTATTCATGCTAAACTTTAGTTCTATCAAGTCAAAGTTCTAGCCAAGTATTCGTGCTAAACTTTAGTTCTATGAAATCAAAGTTCTAGACAAGTATTCATGCTAAACTTGAGTTCTATGAAATCAAAGTTCTAGCCAAGTATTCAAGCTAAACTTTAGTTCTATCAAGTCAAAGTTCTAGCCAAGTATTCATGCTAAACTTTAGTTCTATCAAGCATTAAGCATATATTAGGATCAACTGGTTGTCCTCACCTTTTCATCCATATCTTTTAGTAGCTCGGCTTCTCTTTCTTCCCAAGATTTACGTTCTGCCATCAAATCTTTGATAGTAGCATTCAGTGATTTATTCTGGAACTTTTTACACAAAAATATTTACGGAAAATAATATATTACTTTAAACAATAAATATTAATTTAAGAGAGATTTACAATTATTACATTTTAACCAATAAAAACCAATTTTATTTGATTTCTTTAGTTAATCTCAATATATTAATTTCAATATACCTTTATATATATATATATATATATATATATATATATATATATATATATATATATATATATATATATATATATATATAGATATAGATAGATAGATAGATATAAAATGTAAAGCATATTTACATAATTTAAGATGAGCAAATATTGAAAGTTGGACAGTATCTAAGCATGTACCTGGACCTCCCCCCCTCCCCCCCAGGGCCCTATCCTGCCACAGATAATACGGGTATAAATCGTGAGTAAAGAAACCTCCATCTCCTTGATGTAATGGGAGTTCTCCTTGATTCTCTCAGCCAGTTTCTCCATTTCATTCTGAGTCCTTTTAAATTCTTTGGCGTCCGCCTCCCTCTGCTCGTTGACTCGGGACATTTCCGCCAATGTTTCTTTCAGCTGCTGGTCATTGCTGATTAATTCATCTAATTAAGGGAAAAATATTTGTTCACATACAAGACAAATCTAATTGTTCACATACAAGACAAATCTAATCGTTCATATACAAGACAAATCATGCTTGCTACTGAACTGAGTTGCTGTGAATCACATTTTATGTTGGAATAAAGAAATAAGCAGCTAAACATTGGCAGCCACCCAAGTATTGAATCCTGTCTATATTGATGCAGCCAGCCAACTACGTATTCCTACCAGTGCTTGCAAAGATGAGAATATTTTGGTTACTGAATACCACAATGTGTAGAATTACTGATAAAAATAGTCAAAGTATTACAGGTACTCTATTTCTACAGAATTTTATTACTAACATCAAAATCTGGTGGCCCGGACCACGTAGAATAGAAGGACAACCCAAAATGTGGGGGCCCTGACCATATAGAATAGAAGGACAACCCAAAATGTGGGGGCCCTGACCATATAGAATAGAAGGACAACCCAAAATGTGGGGGCCCTGACCATATAGAATAGAAGGACAACCCAAAATGTGGGGGCCCTGACCATATAGAATAGGTATGAACAGGGTAATATTAAATCTGAGAGATTATGCCCCATGTAAGGATTATGCCCCATGTAAAGATTATGCCCCATGTAAGGATTATGCCCCATGTAAGGATTATGCCCCATGTAAGGATTACGCCCCATAAAACAGTGACCTTCAAGTGAGAGTGAGCTGACCTTGATAACTGTTGAGCCGTGACTGTAGCATCTGGAACTTGTCGCGCTCCACCTCCCATGCCTGTACCTGGCGCTGGTGTGAGGCCACCAGGTCGTTGAGCTCCTGGTCTCTGGTGCCCAGCTCTTCCATCAGGATCTGGATCTCATGGCGCTGTTTGTTGATGATGTCTTGCTCCAGGAATATGGCTGTGGACTATACACAGCAATATGGCTGGAGACTATACACAGCAATATGGCTGGAGACTATACACAGCAATATGGCTGTAGACTAGACACAGCAATATGGCTGGAGACTAGACAGACACAGCAATATGGCTGGAGACTAGACACAGCAATATGGCTGTAGACTAGACACAGCAATATGGCTGGAGACTAGACAGACACAGCAATATGGCTGGAGACTAGACACAGCAATATGGCTGGAGACTATACACAGCAATATGGCTGTAGACTAGACACAGCAATATGGCTGGAGACTAGACAGACACAGCAATATGGCTGGAGACTAGACACAGCAATATGGCTGTAGACTAGACACAACAATATGGCTGGAGACTAGACAGACACAGCAATATGGCTGGAGACTAGACACAGCAATATGGCTGTAGACTAGACACAGCAATATGGCTGGAGACTAGACAGACACAGCAATATGGCTGGAGACTAGACACAGCAATATAGCTGTAGACTAGACACAACAATATGGCTGTAGACTAGACACAGCAATATGGCTGGAGACTAGACACAACAATATGACTGTGGACTAGACACAGTAATATGGCTGTAGACTAGACACACTACAATATGGCTGTAGATTAGACACAGCAATATGGCTGTAGACTAGACACAGGAATATGGCTGGAGACTAGACACAGCAATATGGCTGTAGACTAGACACAGCAATATGGCTGTAGACTATACACAGCAATATGGATGGAGATTAGACATAGCAATATGGCTGTAGACAATACACAGCAATATGGCTGTAGACTAGACACAGACATATGGCTGGAGACTGGACACAGCAATATGGCTGTAGACTAGACACAGCAATATGGCTGTAGACTATACACAGCAATATGGCTGTAGACTATACACAGCAATATGGCTGTAGACTAGACACAGCAATATGGCTGGAGACAAGACACAGCAATATGGCTGGAGACTAGACAGACACAACAATATGGCTGTAGACTAGACACAGCTATATGGCTGTAGACTAGACACAGCAATATGACTTAAAACAGATGACTTGACCTACCCCAGGACTCCAGGATCCCGCCTCGTTATGGACGTACACGCTGTCTTGTCCCCCGTCCCCCCCATGGCTCGTCTTACTCTTGGGTGTGATGTACCTGGGGTTACTCTACAAGGTAATGGTTACATTTTAGCTAGTGGTGGGTACCTGGGGTTACTCTACAAGGTAATGGTTACACTTTAGCTAGTGGTGGGTGTGATGTACCTGGGGTTACTCTACAAGGTAATGGTTACATTTTAGCTAGTGGTGGGTGTGATGTACCTGGGGTTACTCTACAAGGTAATGGTTACATTTTAGCTAGTGGTGGGTGTGATGTGCCTGGGGTTACTCTACAAGGTAATGGTTACATTTTAGCTAGTGGTGGGTGTGATGTACCTGGGGTTACTCTACAAGGTAATGGTTACACTTTAGCTAGTGGTGGGTGTGATGTACCTGGGGTTACTCTACAAGGTAATGGTTACATTTTAGCTAGTGGTGGGTGTGATGTGCCTGGGGTTACTCTACAAGGTAATGGTTACATTTTAGCTAGTGGTGGGTGTGATGTACCTGGGGTTACTCTACAAGGTAATGGTCACATTTTAGCTAGTGGTGGGTGTGATGTACCTGGGGTTACTCTACAAGGTAATGGTTACACTTTAGCTAGTTGGTCAAACAGGTTTGAAGGGAACCAACTGTAGGTAGTTGGTCAAACAGGTTTGAAGGGAACCAACTGTAGGTAGTTGGTCAAACAGGTTTGAAGGGAACCAACTGTAGCTAGTTGGTCAAACAGGTTTGAAGGGAACCAACTGTAGCTAGTTGGTCAAACAGGTTTGAAGGGAACCAACTGTAGCTAGTTGGTCAAACAGGTTTGAAGGGAACCAACTGTAGGTAGTTGGTCAAACAGGTTTGAAGGGAACCAACTGTAGCTAGTTGGTCAAACAGGTTTGAAGGGAACCAACTGTAGCTAGTTGGTCAAACAGGTTTGAAGGGAACCAACTGTAGGTAGTTGGTCAAACAGGTTTGAAGGGAACCAACTGTAGCTAGTTGGTCAAACAGGTTTGAAGGGAACCAACTGTAGCTAGTTGGTCAAACAGGTTTGAAGGGAACCAACTGTAGCTAGTTGGTCAAACAGGTTTGAAGGGAACCAACTGTAGCTAGTTGGTCAAACAGGTTTGAAGGGAACCAACTGTAGCTAGTTGGTCAAACAGGTTTGAAGGGAACCAACTGTAGCTAGTTGGTCAAACAGGTTTGAAGGGAACCAACTGTAGCTAGTTGGTCAAACAGGTTTGAAGGGAACCAACTGTAGCTAGTTGGTCAAACAGGTTTGAAGGGAACCAACTGTAGCTAGTTGGTCAAACAGGTTTGAAGGGAACCAACTGTAGGTAGTTGGTCAAACAGGTTTTAAGGGAACCAACTGTAGCTAGTTGGTCAAACAGGTTTGAAGGGAACCAACTGTAGCTAGTTGGTCAAACAGGTTTGAAGGGAACCAACTGTAGCTAGTTGGTCAAACAGGTTTGAAGGGAACCAACTGTAGCTAGTTGGTCAAACAGGTTTGAAGGGAACCAACTGTAGCTAGTTGGTCAAACAGGTTTGAAGGGAACCAACTGTAGCTAGTTGGTCAAACAGGTTTGAAGGGAACCAACTGTAGCTAGTTGGTCAAACAGGTTTGAAGGGAACCAACTGTAGGTAGTTGGTCAAACAGGTTTTAAGGGAACCAACTGTAGCTAGTTGGTCAAACAGGTTTGAAGGGAACCAACTGTAGGTAGTTGGTCAAACAGGTTTGAAGGGAACCAACTGTAGCTAGTTGGTCAAACAGGTTTGAAGGGAACCAACTGTAGGTAGTTGGTCAAACAGGTTTGAAGGGAAACAACTGTAGCTAGTTGGTCAAACAGGTTTGAAGGGAACCAACTGTAGCTAGTTGGTCAAACAGTTTTGAAGGGAACCAACTGTAGCTAGTTGGTCAAACAGGTTTGAAGGGAACCAACTGTAGCTAGTTGGTCAAACAGGTTTGAAGGGAACCAACTGTAGCTAGTTGGTCAAACAGGTTTGAAGGGAACCAACTGTAGCTAGTTGGTCAAACAGGTTTGAAGGGAACCAACTGTAGCTAGTTGGTCAAACAGGTTTGAAGGGAACCAACTGTAGCTAGTTGGTCAAACAGGTTTGAAGGGAACCAACTGTAGCTAGTTGGTCAAACAGGTTTGAAGGGAACCAACTGTAGCTAGTTGGTCAAACAGGTTTGAAGGGAACCAACTGTAGGTAGTTGGTCAAACAGGTTTTAAGGGAACCAACTGTAGCTAGTTGGTCAAACAGGTTTGAAGGGAACCAACTGTAGCTAGTTGGTCAAACAGGTTTGAAGGGAACCAACTGTAGCTAGTTGGTCAAACAGGTTTGAAGGGAACCAACTGTAGGTAGTTGGTCAAACAGGTTTGAAGGGAACCAACTGTAGCTAGTTGGTCAAACAGGTTTGAAGGGAACCAACTGTAGGTAGTTGGTCAAACAGGTTTGAAGGGAACCAACTGTAGCTAGTTGGTCAAACAGGTTTGAAGGGAACCAACTGTAGCTAGTTGGTCAAACAGGTTTGAAGGGAACCAACTGTAGCTAGTTGGTCAAACAGGTTTGAAGGGAACCAACTGTAGCTAGTTGGTCAAACAGGTTTGAAGGGAACCAACTGTAGCTAGTTGGTCAAACAGGTTTGAAGGGAACCAACTGTAGCTAGTTGGTCAAACAGGTTTGAAGGGAACCAACTGTAGGTAGTTGGTCCAACAGGTTTGAAGGGAACCAACTGTAGGTAGTTGGTCAAACAGGTTTGAAGGGAACCAACTGTAGCTAGTTGGTCAAACAGGTTTGAAGGGAACCAACTGTAGCTAGTTGGTCAAACAGGTTTGAAGGGAACCAACTGTAGCTAGTTGGTCAAACAGGTTTGAAGGGAACCAACTGTAGCTAGTTGGTCAAACAGGTTTGAAGGGAACCAACTGTAGGTAGTTGGTCAAACAGGTTTGAAGGGAACCAACTGTAGGTAGTTGGTCAAACAGGTTTGAAGGGAACCAACTGTAGCTAGTTGGTCAAACAGGTTTGAAGGGAACCAACTGTAGGTAGTTGGTCAAACAGGTTTGAAGGGAACCAACTGTAGCTAGTTGGTCAAACAGGTTTGAAGGGAACCAACTGTAGCTAGTTGGTCAAACAGGTTTGAAGGGAACCAACTGTAGCTAGTTGGTCAAACAGGTTTGAAGGGAACCAACTGTAGGTAGTTGGTCAAACAGGTTTGAAGGGAACCAACTGTAGCTAGTTGGTCAAACAGGTTTGAAGGGAACCAACTGTAGCTAGTTGGTCAAACAGGTTTGAAGGGAACCAACTGTAGCTAGTTGGTCAAACAGGTTTGAAGGGAACCAACTGTAGCTAGTTGGTCAAACAGGTTTGAAGGGAACCAACTGTAGCTAGTTGGTCAAACAGGTTTGAAGGGAACCAACTGTAGCTAGTTGGTCAAACAGGTTTGAAGGGAACCAACTGTAGCTAGTTGGTCAAACAGGTTTGAAGGGAACCAACTGTAGCTAGTTGGTCAAACAGGTTTGAAGGGAACCAACTGTAGCTAGTTGGTCAAACAGGTTTGAAGGGAACCAACTGTTTATTTAAGATGTGGCCCACAGAGTTTTGTGGCCATGGGAGATGTATGGCCACACAGCTGGGAAATTATCCTCAGCCGACCAACATGTACGATGTACCAGCGCTATACAAGGTACTAAGCTGGCCAGCGCTATACTAGGCTGACCAGTGCTGACAGAAATCTTACCTTACCTTCTAATCACTGACAGAAATCTTACCTTACCTTCTAATCACTGACAGAAATCTTACCTTACCTTCTTATCACTGACAGAAATCTTACCTTACCTTCTAATCACTGACAGAAATCTTACCTTACCTTCTAATCACTGACAGAAATCTTACCTTACCTTCTAATCACTGACAGAAATCTTACCTTACCTTCTAATCACTGACTGAAATCTTACCTTCTTATCACTGACAGAAATCTTACCTTCTTATCACTGACAGAAATCTTACCTTACCTTCTAATCACTGACAGAAATCTTACCTTATTATCACTGACAGAAATCTTACCTTCTTATCACTGACAGAAATCTTACCTTACCTTCTTATCACTGACAGAAACCTTACCTTCTTATTGCTGACAGAAATCTTACCTTCTAATCACTGACATAAATCTTACCTTACCTTCTAATCACTGATATAAATCTTACCTTACCTTCTAATCACTGACAGAAACCTTACCTTCTAATCACTGACAGAAACCTTACCTTCTTATCACTGACAGAAGTCTTACCTTCTTATCACTGACAGAAGTCTTACCTTCTTATCACTGACAGAAATCTTACCTTACCTTCTTATCACTGACATAAATCTTACCTTACCTTCTAATCACTGATATAAATCTTACCTTACCTTCTAATCACTGACAGAAACCTTACCTTCTAATCACTGACAGAAACCTTACCTTCTTATCACTGACAGAAGTCTTACCTTCTTATCACTGACAGAAGTCTTACCTTCTTATCACTGACAGAAATCTTACCTTACCTTCTTATCACTGACAGAAATCTTACTTTCTTATCACTGACAGAAATCTTACTTTCTTATCACTGACATAAATCTTACCTTCTAATCACTGACAGAAATCTTACCTTCTTATCACTGACAGAAATCTTACCTTCTTATCACTGACTGAAACTTCCTTGTCAGTAGGGCAGGAATCCAGAAAGAAACGTGAGCCTGGGGTAGATTTCATTTTCTCCAGTAAAACTTCTTGACTGTGTGCCAGTGAGGTCTCCAGACACTGAGCGTGCTGCACTGTCTTCTTGCTTGAGCACACATCAGAATCAGAGAGACACTCGGCACAGCTCGGACGGCAGTCGGACTGGTGGTTGGTGTTCCTGGAGTTGTCCACCCGCGAATGTCTGCCTGTCACCATGGCGCTGGTCTTGTTGCTGGAGTAGGACGTGTAGGACCCGTGCAGCAGAGCCGGCGGGTACTGGAAACACTGCGGCTGTGAGGTGTGCAAACAAGTGTACAACAGGGGGTCACAGGGGTTTGGTGGGGCGCAGGGGTTTGGGGGGTCAGGGATTTGTACAAATGTATTGCTGGGTGCATTAGAGGGGAGAGGTGTCAAGTCTACACAGTCAGCCACCTGCTGACAAGGGATGAGAGACAGGTCTGTGATGTCAACAATAGAGTCTAGCAACTCAGATTGTGTCAATAAGCAGCTGGGACCATTTGCTTGCTGCCATGCAAACAGTCCAGGCTTCCAGGGTACCTCTTTCTTTCTGCAGACACTTTGCTGCCAAGTTGGTTCATGGCCTCTCATTTTAGAAAGGACATTTTCTTGTCCCTAATTTGATTATAAAAACATGTTTTGTAAACAAAAAACATTTTAAAAATTAAATAAGATTCAATCTCTAAAACAAATAAAGTATAAATTATTAATTTCTTGGGACAATAAAACAAATAAACCATACAACAATATTTAACTCAAAAAGAAAATTTGATCTGATCAACAAGTCTAGAAAATGTGTACACGTGGTTATGTAGACATCCAGCATTACTAATGAATTGAAGTGTGTATTCAAATCCTCAAGTCAAGTGGAGGGGTGAGAGAAAAACTTACTTTGATGGGGGTGCTGTGCTGAGGTCCACATTCACTTGTGCTGTAACCATCTGTCACAGACAACAGTAAACAGTATTAGCAGGGTGCCAGGTGGTCTTAGACACTGTTACAGGGTGCCAGATGGTCTTAGACACTGTTACAGGGTGGTCTTAGACACTGTTACAGGATGGTCTTAGACACTGTTACAGGGTGGTCTTAGAAGTTAGACACTGTTACAGGGTGGTCTTAGACACTGTTACAGGGTACCAGATGGTCTTAGACACTGTTACCAGATGGTCTTAGACACTGTTACAGGGTGGTCTTAGACACTGTTACAGGGTACCAGATGGTCTTAGACACTGTTACCAGATGGTCTTAGACACTGTTACAGGGTGGTCTTAGACACTGTTACAGGGTACCAGATGGTCTTAGACACTGTTACAGGGTGCCAGATGGTCTTAGACACTGTTACAGGGTGCCAGATGGTCTTAGACACTGTTACAGGGTACCAGCTGGTCTTAGACACTGTTACAGGGTGGTCTTAGACACTGTTACAGGGTACCAGATGGTCTTAGACACTGTTACAGGGTACCAGATGGTCTTAGACACTGTTACAGGGTGGTCTTAGACACTGTTACAGGGTACCAGATGGTCTTAGACACTGTTACAGGGTACCAGATGGTCTTAGACACTGTTACAGGGTGGTCTTAGACACTGTTACAGGGTACCAGATGGTCTTAGACACTGTTACAGGGTACCAGATGGTCTTAGCTTTGACCTTATTGAACCCCATCAATTAGCATAGATTTTAATGAAACACATGACAAAAACTGTTTTCTATTTTTATCTAAGTTTCTTAAGTGTAACTTTGCATCATCTAAGTTTCTAAAATGTAACTTACCATCATCTAAGTTTCTAAAATGTAACTTTAAGTAACTTACCATCATCTAAGTTTCTAAAATGTAACTTTACGTAACTTACCATCATCTAAGTTTCTAAAATGTAACTTTAAGTAACTTACCATCATCTAAGTTTCTAAAATGTAACTTTAAGTAACTTACCATCATCTAAGTTTCTAAAATGTAACTTTAAGTAACTTACCATCATCTAAGTTTCTAAAATGTAACTTTAAGTAACTTACCATCATCTAAGTTTCTAAAATGTAACTTTAAGTAACTTACCATCATCTAAGTTTCTAAAATGTAACTTTAAGTAACTTACCATCATCTAAGTTTCTAAAATGTAACTTTAAGTAACTTACCATCATCTAAGTTTCTAAAATGTAACTTTAAGTAACTTACCATCATCTAAGTTTCTAAAATGTAACTTTAAGTAACTTACCATCATCTAAGTTTCTAAAATGTAACTTTAAGTAACTTACCATCATCTAAGTTTCTAAAATGTAACTTTAAGTAACTTACCATCATCTAAGTTTCTAAAATGTAACTTTAAGTAACTTACCATCATCTAAGTTTCATAAATGTAACTTTAAGTAACTTACCATCATCTAAGTTTCTAAAATGTAACTTTAAGTAACTTACCATCATCTAAGTTTCTAAAATGTAACTTTAAGTAACTTACCATCATCTAAGTTTCTAAAATGTAACTTTAAGTAACTTACCATCATCTAAGTTTCTAAAATGTAACTTTAAGTAACTTACCATCATCTAAGTTTCATAAATGTAACTTTAAGTAACTTACCATCATCTAAGTTTCTAAAATGTAACTTTAAGTAACTTACCATCATCTAAGTTTCTAAAATGTAACTTTAAGTAACTTACCATCATCTAAGTTTCTAAAATGTAACTTTAAGTAACTTACCATCATCTAAGTTTCTAAAATGTAACTTTAAGTAACTTACCATCATCTAAGTTTCTAAAATGTAACTTTAAGTAACTTACCATCATCTAAGTTTCATAAATGTAACTTTAAGTAACTTACCATCATCTAAGTTTCTAAAATGTAACTTTAAGTAACTTACCATCATCTAAGTTTCATAAATGTAACTTTAAGTAACTTACCATCATCTAAGTTTCTAAAATGTAACTTTAAGTAACTTACCATCATCTAAGTTTCTAAAATGTAACTTTAAGTAACTTACCATCATCTAAGTTTCTAAAATGTAACTTTAAGTAACTTACCATCATCTAAGTTTCATAAATGTAACTTTAAGTAACTTACCATCATCTAAGTTTCTAAAATGTAACTTTAAGTAACTTACCATCATCTAAGTTTCTAAAATGTAACTTTAAGTAACTTACCATCATCTAAGTTTCTAAAATGTAACTTTAAGTAACTTACCATCATCTAAGTTTCTAAAATGTAACTTTAAGTAACTTACCATCATCTAAGTTTCTAAAATGTAACTTTAAGTAACTTACCATCATCTAAGTTTCTAAAATGTAACTTTAAGTAACTTACCATCATCTAAGTTTCTAAAATGTAACTTTAAGTAACTTACCATCATCTAAGTTTCTAAAATGTAACTTTAAGTAACTTACCATCATCTAAGTTTCTAAAATGTAACTTTAAGTAACTTACCATCATCTAAGTTTCTAAAATGTAACTTTAAGTAACTTACCATCATCTAAGTTTCTAAAATGTAACTTTAAGTAACTTACCATCATCTAAGTTTCTAAAATGTAACTTTAAGTAACTTACCATCATCTAAGTTTCTAAAATGTAACTTTAAGTAACTTACCATCATCTAAGTTTCTAAAATGTAACTTTAAGTAACTTACCATCATCTAAGTTTCTAAAATGTAACTTTAAGTAACTTACCATCATCTAAGTTTCTAAAATGTAACTTTAAGTAACTTACCATCATCTAAGTTTAGCATTGCTTGTTTCTTGCCACAGTGTGGGCATTGAAAGTTAGGACATTAAAAATTCTCTAAGCTTTCTATGCTTCCTGAAAATTTCAACACGTATTGCCTTTTAAACAGTAAATAGATCTAGATCTAGATAGATGTAGATTATTCTAGATCTATAGTATAGGTCTACCTATTATTAATATTATTTGTTATTTTGGCCTATGATTATGAAATTATATATATATATTTAATTATTTATATAGGGCCAATATAGGCCCATATAAGATCTATAGGCCTGTATATAGTTTTGGTAAAATCTTAGTTTAGCGTCGTAAATTCCAACGTAGCTAGTAATGTGCGATGAAGGTAACTAATGAATATTTCTTTCATTTGGCCATATTTATGTCATATTTTACATAATATAACAGATAATTGAATAACAAATCACAATCCAAGACCAAACCAGACATAAATATCCTGGAATAAACTTTAAACTACTCCGTTCGAGACAACAATGAGTAAATACAAGCAGCGGCCATGTTTTAAAAACAATAAATTGTCTATTCGCATGTCTTTTGTGTTGATTTTGTGGTTTAATATGATTGTTTTGTATTGCTTTAATATATGCCGGGGGTAGTCCATAAATGACGTCACACTCGTAGGGGGGAGGGGGGTCCGTAATTTTGTGACGTTGTGTGATGAGGGGGAGGGGGGGGGGGGGTTCAGATGGTGCGACGTCACACTTTTGCATTTTAAAAAAGCAATGTTAGAAAACGAATTTTAGACGTTATTTTGCGTTTTAAAAAACTGTTTTAATACATTGTGTTAACAATTGATTAAAATACTCTATTTTGACAGAGTTCAGACAAGATTTTGGAAAAATATAGCTGTTTAAAAACAATTCAACTGCAATTTTGAGAGGGTTGTAGGCTGAGGTGTGACGTCATTTCAGGGGGGGTCTGGCTTTTTGTGACGACGTGTGACGGAGGGGAGGGGGGGGAGGTAAAAATCGTCAAAAAAGCCTGACATCATTTATGGATGACCCCCTGTATAGTAATTTTTCTTTTTTTTAAATATAGTTGACATGAATGACTAATAGACCTTATCAGACTTGATAGTGTGCATCCAAGACCACAACAATTGTTGGGCGGTCGAACTTTTGAACACTTTATTTGCAGTAAGCAAATCAATATTAGATCGCTTATAAATGACGTCGCTCTTAAGATAGTAATGACAGCGTGCATTATTACAGAGCAAACATATGAACATATTGTTTCAGATAGAAATTGTGATTTGTGGTGGGGAGAGGTTGAATAGAACTCAGCGATGTGATTTTGGAGACGGGTCAGGTTTTTTTTTCTCGTGAAAACGGGATGGTTGTGGGAGAAAGACCAGCTGTAGAAGTATGACGCGTCATTCATTGGTGATCCATTTTCTCAGTGGGGACGAAAGAACTATTAAGACATTAAGAAGGGTCAAGAAATGTAAAAAGCTTGCCGAGTCGCATTTCTTGAACCCCACCTTTTTCATTCCCCCACTTAGCACATCGTCACCGAGTTAACGCTCGCACGTGACGTCATGTAGCTGTACCGCCGACCGTTAGGCTAATTTTATAGAAAAAAAAACAACAAGCACTGCATTTTTTACGCTTTTGCGACGTTTAATTTGATTACATAAGCTGGTGTTCATTAAACGGCCCCTAACACATCTATCACTCGTCCATTTAAACGTACGTAGTAATTTCTGCAAGCTTGCTGTCTTGAAACTTTCGGCCCTTTAAAAATGTATTAAGCTCTCACCGTATAGAACTAGGCTACCCATATTAAGCTCCAAAAGACGCTTGGTGAAAACAGGATGGCCGTCCGATTTTGAAGCTGCTCTGCGCTTTATAAAAAGCACAATAAACGATAAGATGACACTTATATTAAAGTAAATTATAATTCTGAATCTTGATACATTAAAAGTGATATTCGGAAATTAAGAGCCAGACAGTCAACATGCTATTTCAATTTAAGTCCAAGAAAATAAATTTCCTCAAACGATGGAACATTACTAAATTTTCGCGCAGTTTAGCGAAATTGAATTTAAGTATTTACGTCATCTTACAAAGCGCGATAGCCTACTGGTGCTCTAACGCGGCCCATGCTAATGGCCGTATTCCTAACGCCCCGCATTAGACGCGGCTTATTCGTCGGCAGGCATTTGGTGGCAAGCCTTTTTGGCGGGGATAATGTGTTGCGGCCGTTTTGCCGAATGTCTTAAACTAGCAGGCTTGCAACATTTGTGATGATTCGTTTTAAGAAAGGTATACGTATACTAATGCTTATTTATCGCTATTTTGATTGAACAAAGCATTATAGAGGTTCTCCATCAATCATCTAGGTATTTTTCCCCGTTCACCTCCCTTCATGAGACCGACACGTCATAAATTGCAAAGCCGCATGAGTTGACGTCACAAATCTTCACTCACTCCCGTAGCAAATCTTATGTGACATCATTTATGGACAACCCCATATCACTCACTTGTGTACTTGATATTGACAATTTGACAACAAAGGATAACCAAAATGTGTCTGGCAGGTGGAGACTTGCGATCAACCATAATGACAACACGCACTTAAGGGGTGTACTGCTCATTGTTTTAGATGATGTTTTACGAGGGAAGCTGGTGGATAATACATTTTGTCTCTCTGTATATATAAATGATGACAAACATTTAATGTTGTCAAAATTATGGTTAGAGATCTTAGATAAGGCAGAGTGAAGCGTAATTTTTTACATTATGACTTGTTGTGACATTGACGACAAAAATATGACGGAGTTTGGGGTTTAATTAAGGTAAAGAGAAGTAAAAAAATGTCATAAGTTACGATAGAATTACTAATTGATGAAAAGAAAAACCTGAAATGAAAATAGTGAACATTCAAACAATAAGAAAAAACTCACAACTATTTAGTAATAGTAAGATCAAATAAACATTAGTAAAAAAAAACGTGATTTAATACATGGATACAAGTTGCATCTCACAATGCTTCTAGAATTAATAAAGTTGTTTGTTAGGAAATTCACATTTAAAAAAAAATGCTTTGTAATACGGACTACACAACAAGACGATCATATTTAAATACATTTTCATATGAATAGAAATTAAAGGGAAGCTACTCTCAATAACATTTTCTTAAGATGGCTGCTGTTTTTAATAGCAAATTTACTATCTCGAACAGGATTGATAAAAATTAATTTAAGGATATTTAAATTGATTTAACCATCAATGGTGATCTATTGTTCAATTATCTATAATACTTTATCAAAATATACGAAAATATAGGCCTACTCATATTTAATGACATATTCATTAATTCACTCTCTCCCACATTACTAGTTTTGGCCGAATTTACGACGCTAAACTAAGATTTTACCATAGTTTTTTTTCAAAATAACTTTAAAAAACTATTAAATAATTTCAATTTAAAACTAACTTAAAACAAAAAAAGTCATGAAAACAAAAGCTGAAAGAAAGCCTAAGAAAGCGGGCCCTAGGCGGCAACTTCTTGTTATTTCAGCTTGAATATTATTGATTTTCAATTAATGGTACTTGACGCGTTCAAAATTTTGTAAAACTTGATGGAAACTGTCGCATGTAATGTATTACGATGTATTTCTTACCACATACTGAGCAAACAACATGAACTAATCTTGAAAGGATGCAAGAAGATCCATATCGATCAAGCTACGGCTTCCCCCGTTGTCAACACCATCGACTTCCGGGTGAACTTATGTAAAAACAAGCTCCTGAAAAAATAGATAAACTATGTTAAGTAATTTTAAAAATCTATTATCTGTATACTGTATAAGTTGTAGATCTAGATGTATTTTTTATTTATAAAATATATAATAAATATTAATAATTATTGTTTTCGTTTTGATTTTTTAAGAAGCTAAATAGCTCTCAGTTCTTAAAATTTGTGCCACATATAAAATCCAGACAGATCATATATTTACTAGATCTAGGCCTAATTTAGAAAATTCCAAAAAAATAAAAATTCGAATCAGCGAAACGAAGATAACAGCAAGTATGGAAATATTTTTTTATTTCAGATGTTAGGCCTACTTATTAGTACTTAAAAGCATATTTTGTTTAATTTTTATTTAAATAAAAGGCCATGTGCAATAGTATAGCTGATAGATCTAGCTAAAGATTTGGGGAGAAAATTTATAGCGGTGTCCGATAGGCCCTAACCCTAAAAAAAAAAAAAGGCTAAAATCTCAAAATGGAATCTTCTTTAAAAAAAAAGGGTGTTAGTCTGTAGTGTTAGCCTAGGTCACTACTACTGTAAACTTGTAAATTAAATATTAACTCTAGGCCAGGCCCTAGGCCTCTAAACTAAAAATAGGTAATCTATCGTTTTGGGTACGTTAAATTACGGTTAAATCGCCTGCGACTAGTAATGTGAAAAACAGGTGACTCCTTAAATTTAAATTTTAATAATTATTTCACATTTTGAGGAGGATTTATATTTTGAAAAATACAAAAATGTTTAGATCTAGGCCTACTTGTTTCATTAATTACCTGTTTTTAAACAATCGAATTAAAACTTTTCAGTAATAAATGAAGACTAGCGATGTTTCCAACAGATGCAGCCATGCTCATTTACTATAGCAGCCATCTTGTTTAAGTTTTTTTTGTAAACTTATAGCGCGAAATTTAGGGGGAAGCCACTCTATTTTACAATTGGCTTCTGTTTATATAGCAAATCTTGCTCGCAAACACTGCTGCTGTTTAAATTTAATTTCTGACCCATATTGATATATTTAGCCATTGATTTAGGTTTATTATTCATTTATCTACAATATTTGACACAAATACATCACAATATACTTCTATTAAAGCCTTCACAATAAGGTAACTTTTTCGGACATTACTAGCCACTGGCGTTTTTTTACGTACCTAAAACGATAGATTACCCTAAAATCATCTGATTTATGTTTTGAAGTTACAAAAATCTTTCAAAGTTTCATTAATGTACCTGTTTTTAAACAATTGCATTCAAACTTTTCAGTAAAAAATAAAGACTCTAACTTACAGATGGCAACTGTTTTCAACAATCTTGCTGTTTAAAGTTAATTTCTGGCCTATTGATATATTTTTTTATTTAGCCATTGATATCTATAATATTTGACACAAATATAAATTAAATATATCACAATATTCTTCTATTTAAGACTTAACAATGAGGCAACTTTTTTGCACATTATTAGCCTCGGGCGATTTTACGCACCTAAAACATTGATTACCTTATTATTTCCTATACAGCTACACAGTTGGCGTAGGGCTTTTATAAATATGGTAACATTCGTTTTATAGGTATGTTAAAATTGTCCGAGACTAGTAATTATTTCACATTTTTATGAAGATTTATGTTTTGAAAGTTACAAAAATGAGACGATATTTTGAGTCGTCCCTTTGAATCCTGGGCAGAATGTTCCACCGGCCTGGCTTTAATCAACCCATGGGCTTGTTGCATTGAGTTAAATATAAACTCAAAACAATAATATAAACAATCTCCTTTCAGTAGGTCAGGCCACATACCAGGCACGCACAGTGTTGTGCGTCGTGCGTTAACCAAAACAAACTATCTCCCTTCCTATCATAGGTTCACAGCTTCCAGGTTTGTTTGTTAATATTATCTCACGGCACAAGCTCTCTTACACTATTACGATTAAGACGAGTTCTTTACTATATGCCTCAACTGTCATGGAACTGTCCGCCTGCCACATACATACACACAGAGCCACCGAGTCCGTTTGAATTTTATATTTTAAATTAATTGAGACCACCGATTTGACGACAATCCTTCATTTCATCTTTCTTAATGTGGAATTCTGGAAAAATCCATACTGTTTACAGGGATTATAAATGTGCTTTATATATTTTGCAATCAAAGCGACCGTAAATAAAATAAAAACAAGCCTAAAAATAAGGCTGCATCTATTCAGACCTGGATGCAGAATATATATTTTCCATTATTGTGATTTTTTTTTTTCTTGTAATTTTAAATGATATCTTGAGATCTTGCTTTCAATACCCGATATCATTCCTGACAAATGTCATGGCGAGCGGGAGTCATTAGATCTATAATATATAAATATATGGCCTATGGTATGAACTTCTCTGACCGAGCGAATGTTGAGCGTGCATGTAACGATGTGCTTTATTTTTTTTCTTCTGTTAAACATAATTTGGTTTTATAGGCCTATCAGTCCAAATAAAAAAAAATTATTGTAGCACTATAAAATAGATCAATATAGGCTACAGTCTACAGCTCCTGGTCGGTTTTCTTGAAATCTAATATCTCTCATGTGTGGTAGTACGCTAACATAGATATTAGAAGCAATATATAACATGAACTCACGATGACCTCAAAAAGGTTTGTTCATCTTGCAAAATATTTTTTTTAAAGTTATTTTGAAAAAAAAACAATATACAGGCCTATAGATCTATATATGGGCCTATATTGGCCCTATATAAATATATATATAATTTCATAGGACAAAATAACAAATAATACTAATAATAGGCCTATACTATAGATCTAGAATAATCTACATTTATCTAGATCTAGATCTATTTACTGTTTAAAAGGCAATACTTGTTGAAATTTTCAGGAAGCATAGAAAGCTTAGAGAATTTTTAATGTCCTAACTTTCAATGCCATAAGAAGGAAAAGGTCAAATTGATTTTGAAGGATTATTTTATGATAATATAATTATTTAAAAATGGTTCCTATGCCCTGTTGTTCTCTTTGTAATTAAAAACTTGATTTCAGTTAAAATTTGATTACACTTAAGGCCTAGGAAATTGAGTCCAATTTTTAAAATTATTACACGATACCAGATTAGTATGTAACCTACTTGCATTAGTATGTAACCTACTTGCATTAGTATGTAACCTACTTGCATTAGTGTGTAACCTACTTGCATTAGTATGCAACCTACTTGTATTAGTATGTGACCTACTTGCATTAGTATGTGACCTACTTGCATTAGTATGTGACCTACTTGCTTTTTTTTCTAAAGGTTACAGGCATGGCTGCTGTAGCAGATTCCAAGTCATTTTTAGAGTACCGTGGACCACAGCCTGGGGTTAAATATCCTATCCAAGTTTTATATTGTGGAGGTGAGGTTATCCTATCCAAGTTTTATATTGTGGAGGTGAGGTTATCCTATCCAAGTTTTATATTGTGGAGGTGAGAATTATCCAATCCAAGTTTTATATTGTGGAGGTGAGATTATCCTATCCAAGTTTTATATTGTGGAGGTGAGATTATCCTATCCAAGTTTTATGTTGTGGAGGTGAGATTATCCAATCCAAGTTTTATATTGTGGAGGTGAGATTATCCTATCCAAGTTTTATATTGTGGAGGTGAGGTTATCCTAACCAAGTTTTATATTGTTGAGGTGAGATTATCCTATCCAAGTTTTATATTGTGGAGGTGAGGTTATCCTATCCAAGTTTTATATTGTGGAGGTGAGATTATCCTATCCAAGTTTTATATTGTGGAGGTGAGATTATCCTATCCAAGTTTTATATTGTGGAGGTGAGATTATCATAGAAATGAAAATATCATAGAAAGCTTTAATGTTTTAATGAATCATGAACTTATCATTTAGAATGAAATTGTCCGAATACAACAGGGCTATAGATGAATCATATACTAAAAACACACCCTGATTAGAAAATTAAAACTATGCAGAAGTAATAATTTTAGTGTGGAAAATATATTTTATTTAGTCTGAGTTGTGTTATATGGTTTTAGATAATAAAGTTTTGTGATAACATTTTTTCTAATTATTTTGATATTTTCATAAAATTTTGTGATAACATATTTGAAATTATTTTGATATTTTCATGAAGTTTTGTGATAACTTTTTGCAAATTATTCTGATATTTTCATAAAGTTTCGTGATAATATTTTTGCAAATTATTTTGATATTTTCATAAAGTTTTGTGATAACATTTGTCTGATTATTTTGATATTTTCATAAAGTTTAGTGATAACATTTGTCTGATTATTTTTATTTTCATTACAGAATGTGGAGTCCCTGTAGAGGTGAGGTTTTTTATTTATTGGTTAATTTTCTCTTTAATGCAGTGTTTTAGATTCTGATTTTCCAGTTCTGGCAAATGCTTCTATAATTGAATTGTTTTCATCCAGTACTGTGAAAACTTTCTAATTGAATTGTTTCCTTCCAGTTTTGTGTACAATTGTACATTGTCTAGTCTAATTTAATTGTTTCCTTCCAGTTTTGTGTACAATTGTACATTGTCTAGTCTAATTTAATTGTTTCCTTCCAGTTTTGTGTACAATTGTACATTGTGTAGTCTAATTGAATTGTTTTCTTCCAGTTTTGTGTACAATTGTACATTGTCTAGTCTAATTGAATTGTTTCCTTCCAGTACTGTGAAAACTACCCAACATATGAGAAATGCAAGGCTTGGTTAGAAAAAAATTTGCCAGATGAATTTGAAAAACTGAAAGTTGACAAAACTTCTCCTACAGCTGGAGGAGGTAAAGACATTTTTCTTCCCTAATTATTTCTAGTAGAATTCATTTATATATTTTCTTACCTAATTCTAATAGAATTCATTCAAATATTTTCTTACTTTATTATTTCTAGTAGAATTCATTTATATATCTTCTTCCCTAATTACTTCTAGTAGAATTCATTCAAATATTTCAACTTGTCCCAAAATATTTTTTGATTGCTGACTGCAACGACATGGCCTTCATCTACCTACAATGTCATCCATGAGAAATGTTCAAAATGTCATGTCATCCATGAGAAATGTTCAAAATGTCATGTTTTACCATCTGTTTTTATATCCAACGACAGTTGATATAGATTCCAATTTTTTCTATCCATATTATTTTGTGTGCGTAAATTTCAGTTGAAGAGGATGGTGGGTCAGAGAGTAAAGAGGAGGGAGAAGAGAAGAAGAAGAGACAGACCAGGGGAGGTAAGGCCATCATGAAAGCTAAAAAGAAAATGGAGCCTCAAGGTGTGAAGTTGTGGACACAGACACGAGGTAAAAAGAAGAAGGTGACCATCATTGTAGGCCTGGCTTCATATGGTAAGTTCAAGATGTATGTAGGCTGTATTTATACACAGATTATATCCACACATATTTACGTTTATTGTTGTAAGTTCAAGATGTATATAGGCTGTATTTATACACAGATTATACCCACAAATATTTATTGTAAGTTCAAGATGTATGTAGGCTGTATTTATACACAGATTATATCCACACATATGTATTTATTATTATAGCCATGCTTCATGTGACAAAGCATGATGAAGTTTTCTAATCTTTGTATTATTTTGCCCTATATTAGATGCCATTTGTTTGTTGTTGACATATATTTGATTGGCCATTCTAATCATATGTATGTTGTTGACATATATTTGACAGAAATTGACCTGAAGGAAGCCAGTAAATTTTTTGCGGGTAAATTCTCCTGTGGTTCCTCCATCAGTGGGGATGATGAGATTGTTGTACAAGGGGACGTCAAGGACGAACTTTTTGATATCTTACCCGAGAAATGGAAGATAGTAAGTTCATTCAACATTTCTAGTATAGCTCCAATTGGAAGCGAATGGTCCAATTAAAAATGGTCCAATTAAAGTTTTTGTTTAATGAAGTTGTTTTGTTCCTAAAACATTCTTCCAGCTCAGTGAATATTTAAAGCTTTATGAATGTTTTGTATAATGTGTTTCTCTCATCCTTGTATATATGTATCTGTATGTTGTCTTGTATGGTGTGTTTCTGTCATCCTTGTATATATGTATTGTATGTTGTTTTGTATGGTGTTTCTGTCATCCTTGTTTGTGTGTCTGTATGTTGTTTTGTATGGTGTGTTTCTGTCATTTATGTAATCAAGCAAGTAACTCAGTGTTTTTATTTATTTTTTCTGCAGATAGACGAAGATGATATTGAAGATTGTGGGGATAAGAAATAGTGAGGTTGAGTGAATGTGTGATATTTTGTGAGGTTTGTGTTGTGTGTGATTTTGTGTGAAGTTTTGTGTTGTGTGTGATTTTGTGTGAGGTTTTGTGATGTAGTGTGTGACTGTGTGTGTGTGTAATGTCTTGTGGTACTCTTTCGCCCAAATAAAGTTCAACCCTAAAAGTCGTCTTTGTTCATAAATTGATCCATTACATAGAGTCATATGACTCCCAGTCATGTGACTCCCAACATTTGCAGATCATAGTCATATATTGATCCATTACATAAAGTCATATGACTCCCAGTCATGTGACTCCCAACATTTGCAGATCATAGAGTCATATATTGATCCATTACATGGAGTCATATGACTCCCAGTCATGTGACTCCCAACATTTGCAGATCATAGAGTCATATTACATGGAGTCATATGACTTGTGCCAGAGACGCATCAGAGAAGTGGACGAGCTAACCCTTTCCTTGGCGACTGGGTGTAATCAACCCGAAGTTGCTATATTTTTGCTCATATCTCGAGTCTCGTTTTATAAATTTTTCTGGGCCTCATTCCCATCTATAAGGTGGTTGGGATGAACACATTGGAGATTGTAAATTTTAAAAATATGCGTAAAAAATTTTTTTATGAGGGTTTGAAATTTTTTTATATGGTCCCTGGCAACTGGGTTTTACACACCCGTACACAATTTTGAATGGAAAAAATATTTATAACTTATAAACTGGCTTCTAAATATTTGTTTTTACTCAGTGTGGGTTAAGTCATTGTGTTAAATTTTCAAAGTTTAACTATAAATTAACAATCTGAAGGTAGTCATAAATTGATCCATTACATGGAGTCATATGACTTATGCCAGAGATGCTTCAGAGAAGTGGACGAGCTAATCTTCAACCACTCTCCACTATTATCATCTTTTCTTAGTAGATTTCTTATAATGACCTCGGCATACAAGGGGACAGTGTGGTCAGCAATATGCCCAGCCCCCTATGTTTCCCTAATGTGAGTGAGGTACCCATCAGAGTTGAGAGAGGGACGTTCTACTGATTTGAACCTGATTCAAACTAAAGACTGTCGGGTTAACAGTCTAGCTTTGGCCATGCAACGTTAACAAGATGAGAAAGATTTTTAAAAATCACGAAATATTTAACTTTGGTTTTATTTCACAACACAGAAAAAATGATCTTTGGTTTGTGCTCAAGTAATGTTGTAGTTGTATGCTTGGGTAGAATCGAACTATACAAATAATGGACATTGGTCAGACAGAAAAGTTGAGTCCGTCTGATGGATTAGGACCTGCGTGTGTTGTTGTACGTCCACGCAGATTGGCTGCTAGATATTGCACTTTGATCTCTTCGACAATCAACATCCTGTTCAACGATTGCCTCTCCTTGTTTAGAAAATCAAATAAAATCCTGATGAACTGAGAATTACATATTTACAAATAAAAAAATCTCCACGTTGCTGTGAATTCTCCCACCACTGGGGGGGGGGGGGGGGGGGGAGGAACGTCTGCTGAACCGTGAGACCTGTGTTAACAATGGAGGCCACTGACCAGCTAACTCTGCTTCTCTTTGAGCGCCAGTGTACAGGAGTCGTAGATGTTGCAGAGCGGGATGAAGAAGAAGGGGGCGTAGGCCGAGCAGAGTTTGAGCCGCTCCACCGGGCTCCGTGGGGCGGGGTCGGCGTACGCGCTGAAGTCTGCAGCCAGGGCCGTGCACCATATGGCCAGGACGGCCGTCACCGTGTGCACACCGTACAATATGGACGGCAGGACGACAGCCGGCTTCTTCATGGCACCTGGCGATACACGGCATGGTACAAATAGGCATGTCTTCAAGGGTTTAGAATATATGGTTACATAAATTTAAAACAGGCATTTTGTTTAATATATGGTTACCAGTTACAAATAAACAGTTAGGGGTCATCCATAAATGACATCACGTTTTTTTGAAGATTTTTACCCCTCCCCTCCGTCACACGTCGTCACAAAAATCCAGACCCCCCCCCCCCTAAAATGACGTCACACCACAGCCTACAACCCCCCCCCCCTCAAAATAGCTGTTGAATTTTGCTTAAAACATCGATATTTTGATCAATTCTTATTACAATTATTAATAAACCGGGAGTGATCTCCCCTAAACTTTCTTGAATATTCTTATATAACTTGGAATATAGACATGATTTTTAATTACTTAAACTTTTAAAAATAGAATAAAATCTCATAGAAAAAGAATTGCGCACCAAGCAAACGCCAAAACAAAATGTGCATAATAGTGCGCAATATTATTTGTACTTTATAAATTTACATGCGTTTTTGAGAAATCGGAAATAGCGTAAATTAGTACTTCCGGTCAACGAAAATTACTCAAAATTTGACAGAAGGTAGAGAATTAGATCTTTTACTTACATGTGAAATTTCATTTATCTATCTGAAATAGTACTCAAGTGATAGGCTTTTGAAAAATTCAAAGTAGGAAAAGTACCACTTCCGGTTATCGGAAATCGCTCAAAAGTTGATACGGATCTACAATTTTGATAAAATACTTATATATAAAATTTCATCAACTAAGCTGTAACGGTACTCAAGTTATCGTGTTTACACACAGACACAGACACACAGACATACGGACAAGATTGCAAAATTATGTTTTTCCGTATCAGTGAGGTGTAAAACGTCGAGATTTGTAAAAATCTCGATTTTTTTTTCACGATTACAAGACTTTCTCTATACTTCGTATATACGAGAAAGTAAAAACGCTATCTAAAACGCGAAATAACGGCTAAAACTCGTTTTCTAACATTGCTTTTTATAATGCAAAAAAGTGACGTCATACCATCTGAACCCCCCCCCTCCCCCCTACGAGTGTGATATCATTTATGGACGACGCCTTACATATAAACAGTTACTAATTAACAGTTACAAATAAACATTTACATATAAACAGTTACAAATAAACAGTTACATATAAACATTTACATATAAACAGTTACAAATAAACAGTTACATATAAACAGTTACATATAAACAGTTACTAATAAACAGTTAGATATAAACAGTTACATATAAACAGTTACAAATAAACAGTTACAAATAAACATATAATAAGTGCATATCTTCAAAATAATTTATTATGAATTTTCAAAATTTGGGTTCGTTCAAAACACTTAATTTTGGGGATTTTTGGGGGCATTAAAACTAGGGTTTTTAATGGACCCACAATTTGAAAATTCATAAAAAATTAGAAGAAAAAATTGGAAGAAGATTATGAATTGATTGTTTATTGGGCTTAAAACATAATATTTTATTAATGGTGGAAAACCTACGAAGGGGTTAATTTTTCAAGATGGCCGAAGTTGTCATAGTTACCAAGATTTTTCCAGGAATTTTTTTTTTAGTGGAGATGCATATGCGGATGTATCTTAATAAAACTGTAAAGAAATAACTGTTTTTAACGAGTATTAAAGAAGTTTTTTTTTACCGGAGCCTCCCCCCTTAATAAGTGTTGCCTAGGGCGCTAAATAACCTGGCGCCGGCACTGGGTACATATATTGTTGCTGGTGTCTGGCGCTCAGCCATGAGAGGTCAAAGGTCGCACATTTATAAATGCAATTTTCTTACCGTAGTAGTAGCAATAGGCAGCCCAGAAGAAGAAGGGCAGCTCTATAGAGTGCTCCAGCAGGCAGATGGACAGGTACCAGGGGTGGCCCCAGGGGTTGGCCAGGAAAGGGTCCCTGTAGGACTCAAGGTAATGCTGGCGTAGGGATCTGAGCTGAGGACACAAAGGTTGGTTCAAACAGGAGCTTAAGTCAGCTCTGAGCTTATGTCAGCTCTGAGCTTATGTCAGCTCTGAGCTTATGTCAGCTCTGAGCTTATGTCAGCTCTGAGCTTATGTCAGCTGGGAGCTTATGTCAGATGGGAGAGTTCAGTTTCTTTCAGATATCCCCCCCCCCTACCCCGGAACGAAATAGTATTTTTGTTAGGTTAGCTTTGCATGTCGTCCCTAAAATGTAAAATTTTATCAGCGTCCGTCCCTCTCTGGCAAATTTAGAGAGACAGATGATCTAAAGGTGAACTACAGAGAGACGGATGATCTAAAGGTGAACTACAGAGAGACGGATGATCTAAAGGTGAAATACAGAGAGACTGGTGATCTAAAGGTGAAATACAGAGAGACGGGTGATCTAAAGGTGAACTACAGAGAGACGGATGATCTAGAGGCCTACTCACAAATCCTGGGTAGAAATATTCCGGCAAAAGCCCTTGGCTGTCGAATAAAATTGTGGATGGGATTTGCATGAAGAAATAACCAAAGAACAGGTAATCAATTTTCCTGTGGTCGCTACCAGGGGGCGCCATCTCCACTGAAATAAAAAAAGTCACAAGACCTATTGAAGTAGGGTTGTGAAATTATTTTAGCAGCTGTTTTAATTTGCAGCGTAAATAAAAACCACACTTTGTGACGGGCGATAAATTGTGTACTAGGTGAGCTGTTTTAAGGTGCTTATCAGTCGTTGCAGGATTTTGACGAAGGTGCTTTTAATAGGATCTTTATATATATACGAGCCGACCCGCGGCGTATCATACGCCGCTATTTAGTTGTTTTATTTTCTACTTTTTAGTAATTCATAATTTGTGAATTCGACAGTACCAATGCTGCCACTGAAAATATTTGCTTTATAACACTAAAATCCTCCTTCATTGTGTTGAGCTAAGGTTTGCGTTTGTGTTGATGTTTGCCTTTGTGTTTGCGGTTATGTTTGCGTTTATGTTTGTGTTTGCGTTTTTGTTTAAGTTTGCGTTTGCTTTTGTGTTTCTGATTGCGTTTGCGTTTTTTTTTGCGTTGTTTGTGTTGGCGTTTGTGTTTGCTTTTGTGTTAACGCTTATGTTTTCGTTTATGTTTTGTTTTTGCTTGCTTATGTGTTTTTGTTTGTGTTTGCGCTTGTGTTCTGGTTGTGGTTGGTTGTGGTTAGGTTAATATGAAATGTAATATATTTCCTAAATCCGGACGATGCCGGGTAGTTGCTGCTTAATAAACATACAAGACACAGAAGCAAGTGCAGTGCCTGACTGTGATGGCTAGTATGTATATATATATATATATATATATATATATATATATATATATATATATATATATATATATATATATATATATATATATATATATATATATATGCCTATATTTATTTATTTATATAGATATAAATCTAATATATAAAGTTCAAATCTGTATGTTTGTAAAATGTTTGCAATCGAGGATTACAAAGGAATATAAAAAACAACGAAAAAAACGATACTTCCATGGATTTAAGTGTTTGATTATTATAGTGCTCATGGTCTAAATTAATGAGTTAAAAAATTACTATTGAAAGTCTTTAAAAACAATTTTCCTTTTATATACTTAGAATAATAATTTTCAATTATGAATATTACATAAAATTAAAACAAAAGTGTATCAACGTTTATAAAATTTCTAAAATTGTGTCTGAAATGTATTTGCATTTTGTCCTTTAGTTCTCATAACGTCCCTTGAATTGGAAAACACAGTTAATTCCCTTTAAAAAAACCATTAACTCGGGGGGAGAAAGAATTTACTTTTTAATACGTTATTTTGGTGTTAGGAAAAAAATAATTACATAATTAGGGGGGATTGATTAAGTGCAATGTTATTAGTATTTTTAATACTGCCTTTTATTTATTCCATACACTGAACGTACTGTTTTCTTCTGATTATTTTTTTTAAAATCAATAACATTTAATAAGCCAGGTCCTACAAATCCTATATGTTTATTTCTTTCCATTTACGGATAAGCTTGGAGTATTATAATTTTGTTCACTAAATTGAAACAGGCGCGTCCGCCGGCGCCCCTGCACGGTTCGATTTGGCGCCCCGGGCTATCATGTGAGCGCTATGGTGCATAATTTCGTTTTAAACAGTGCGATAGACTATGGATAAGAAAGGTTACTATAGTCTTTAAGTGAATCAAATCTGGGCGTTCTCCGGCACCCCGAAAGGGTGCTATTCGGCGCCCCGGGCCTTCCCGTGTTCGCGTAAGTGAGTTCAAAAGACTATGAATAAGTTGGGTACTATAGTCGTTTACTAAGTTGAATCAGGCGGTTACGCCGCACGTCGTCATGGTGTGATTTGGCGCCCCGGGCTAGACTTTGGACACTTTGAGTTTATCTTTGCGTTTGTGTTTTCTTTGTGTTTGAGTTTGGGTTTGCGTTTGTGGTTGTGTTGACGTTTGGATTTGGGTTTGGGTTTTGCTTTTTTTCTTTGCGTTTGTGTTTTCGTTTGCTTTTTTCTTTGCGTTTGTGTTTTCTTTGTGTTTGTGGTTGTTTTTGTGTTTGCTTTTTTGTTTTCGTTTGTGTTTGTATTTGTATTTGTGACGTTTGCGTTGTTTTTTTTTTGGTGTGTTTTGGTTTTGTTTGTTTGTGGTTGGGTTGGTGTTTGCGTTTGGATTTGTTTACTTTTTTGTTTGCGTTAGTGTTTCTGTTTTCTTTGTGTTTGTGGTTGGGTTTGTCTTTGCGTTTGTTTTTGTGCTTTCGTTTGTGTTTGTTTTGTGTTAGTGTTATGTTTGTGTTTTTTTGTGTGTTTTGGTTGGTTGTGGTTAGGGTGGGCAATGCCTGATAAATGCTGATTACTAAACACACAAGTTATGGTCCTTTACAGATACGTTTTTCAGAGATGCCAGTGCAGGGCCTGGCCGGCTAGTATAAGTATAAACTATATTATTAACACTAATAATAAAATACGTAACACAGCAAAAGCGTTACAACACGGCAAGAATTGAAACAATAAAAACACAAATCGACTCGAAACAAAACGATTCCTTTACACAATACAGCATTTATATCAGGGATGCAGCATTTCTCGCTTTCTTTTATTCTTTTATGGACAGTTAATTGGGTGTATTGGCATCCATGTTTTAGTTTGTTCAATTCTTATCCACTAAAATCGAAAGTTAAACAAACTTTAAATCGACAACTTTTCAGTACACATAAACTCCCCAGTTTTATTTCAGTGTAGCTTTGATAAAAAGTATGTTTTCTTGTTTTTAATGTCTTTTAGTTTGTTATGGTAACCGGTAAACAATTTCATACTTCCTTTTGTACCAAAGATATAAACTTTTTCTGTTGACTAAATGTTTTGATTCGTAGCGTTTAAAAAGTTTGTTTATAAGACGTGCTAGTTAGTGCTGTAGAAAAAAAAACCCGGGAGTGATCTCCCCTAAAATTTCTCGAATATTCTTATATAATATATATAACACTACGGGGGATGGCAACTCGGGATATAGACATGATTTTCAATGCATTTTTAATTGCTTACACTTTTTAAAATAGAATACAATCTCGTAGAAAAAAAATAAATGCGCCCCAAGTGAACGCCAAACAATCTGTGTATAATAGTGCGCAATATTATTAGTACTTTATAAATTTACATGCGTTTTTTGAGAAATCGGTAATAGCGTTAATTACTACTTCCAGTCAACGGAAATTACTCAAAATTTGACAGAAGGCAGAGAATTAGATCTTTTACTTACATGTAAAATTTCATTTATCTGTCTAAAACAGTCAACTCATTATATTGTCATGAGCGAACGCTGGTCCGGACTATGTTATTTTTAGTGAGCGTCGGCTTTCTATAAACAATGTCTGGGTAGGAGGTGATGACAGCTGGTATTTATTCATAAGCGTGTGCCCGTTTTTTTTTTTCTTTTTAAACAAGCTTGCAATGCAAACATTTAGGCATTTGGGGTTTTAGTAAAGAAAAACAAACAAATACGCTGTCAAGTTAACTAACTAGGCCTATGATTTTTAACAGGAAATTTTTGGGCTCCTAAACATCGGGGGCCCGCTGTTACAGCCCTCTCAGCCTCCCCTTTAATTCTCTACTGCAGGGCAGAATAGAATAACGGGAGTTTAGCTGATAAAAGTGTGGGGGGGGGAGGGTTGTGGTAGGGAGGGTTGTGGTAGGGAGGGTTGTTTCAAGGGAGGGTTGTGGTAGGGAGGGTTGTGGTAGGGAGGGTTGTTTTAAGGGAGGGTTGTGGTAGGGAGGGTTGTTTCAAGGGAGGGTTGTGGTAGGGAGGGTTGTGGTAGGGAGGGTTGTGGTAGGGAGGGTAGTTTCAAGGGAGGGTTGTGGTAGGGAGAGTTGTTTCAAGGGAGGGTTGTGGTAGGGAGGGTTGTGGGAGCTAATGAGTGCTTTGTGCTGCTGGTGACTGTTGACCTTTGTAAAACACCGGGCGGTCTAGCACACCATTTAAACCTTGCTTACGTCAGTGTGAGGCTGCTGCCCTGTGCGCATGCCCAGCTCTCCAATACATGTGTCAATGTAACAATTGTCCCCTTTAGTGCATTCAATATTCGCATTTTAAAAACTTCTTCCCCCCCCCCCCCCCCACTTCCGTCGCACCGTTCTGGTGAGTCCCGATATCAAAACAAAGCAATCAAGCGATCAGTTGTTCCCCTTGTGAAGTGCTTGCCTGCCTCAAGAGGTGGGTTCTGATTGGTCGACTGGATGGTGGGGCCAATTCATTATGTACATATGATAGGCCTACATCATGTTAGGCCTTCATCACGTTAGGCCTTCATCATGGTAGGCCTACATCATGTTAGGCCTTCATCATATTAGGCTTTAATTATGTTAGGCCTACATCATATTAGGCTTTAATCATGTTAGGCCTACATCATGTTAGGCCTTCATCATCTTAGGCCTTCATCATGTTAGGCCTTCATCATATTAGGCTTTAATCATGTTAGGCCTACATCATATTAGGCTTTAATCATGTTAGGCCTACATCATGTTAGGCCTTCATCATCTTAGGCCTTCATCATGTTAGGCCTTCATCATATTAGGCTTTAATCATGTTAGGCCTACATCATATTAGGCTTTAATCATGTTAGGCCTACATCATGTTAGGCCTTCATCATGTAAGGCCTACATCATATTAGGCTTTAATCATGTTAGGCCTACATCATGTTAGGCCTTCATCACGTTAGGTCTTCATCACGTTAGGCCTTCATCACGTTAGGTCTTCATCACGTTAGGCCTTCATCACGTTAGGCCATCACGTTAGGCCTTCATCATGTTAGGTCTTCATCATGTTAGGCCTTCATCATCTTAGGCCTACATCATGTTAGGCCTACATCATATTAGGCCTTCATCATCTTAGGCCTTCATCATGTTAGGCCTTCATCACGTTAGGCCTTCATCACGTTAGGCCTTCATCATGTTAGGCCTACATCATGTTAGGCCTTCATCATCTTAGGCCTACATCATGTTAGGCCTACATCATATTAGGTCTTCATCATGTTAGGCCTTCATCACGTTAGGCCTACATCACGTTAGGCCTTCATCACGTTAGGCCTTCATCACGTTAGGCCTACATCACGTTAGGCCTTCATCATGTTAGGCCTTCATCACGTTAGGCCTACATCACGTTAGGCCTACATGTGCTTCATGTTAGGCCTTCATTACGTTAGGCCTTCATCACGTTAGGCCTTCATCACGTTTGGCCTTCATGCGCATCATGTTAGGCCTACATCATGTTAGGCCTATATCACGTTAGGCCTACATCGTGTTAGGCCATCATCATGTTAGACCCATGACGTGTTATAGCGCCGTCTTGTCTAGCACTAAAAGCCAAACACCTGATGGTGATGAGGAGTGAGCCCCCCCCCCCCCCCCCCCCCCACACACACATGTTGAGTTAGCAGATTTTAGTTGAAACAATCACTGCCGGGCCTCATTAGAGTTGCACAGTTAATGACACATTTTTGTAGCAGACACATTTTTGTAGAAAAGTGTATCCACCAGTTGACACATTTTTGTAGAAAAGTGTATCCACCAGTTTGAAAGTTTAAATTCGGTGCAAAAACTTTGTGGATGGTGGTAAAATAGCACGACAAACTTTTATCAAGATAGGCGTGAACATGCGATACCGCGGGTGGTTTAGCAAAAGCTGAGAACTAGCAGTAAGAAATTAAGTTTACACTTCACCTCTGCACTGAGTTACAAGGCAGCTAAACAGTGCATTGATGCCTGATCTTTAAATAAACCACAAGAAATATATCATCGGCAATGATTAGAATAAATAGAACCCTGCTCGTGCGACCCCTAGCCTTTACCGCACGAAGGCCGCCACTATTTTCACATACCTTGTGTTGGAGGTTATGCTCCGACTGGTCAAGACGTCAGTTAGAGAATGGGCTGCCCACACTAGCACAAGAGCAGCGTGCAAGCGTACATGACATTCTTGGAACCAGGATGAAAATTTTCCTCCTCTCCCCTCCCCCATCAGTTGTCAGTTGCCCTCCCCGCCGTGCTATTACGTGTAATCTTGTTTGATGGGGCGGGCGGGAGGTGTAGTGGCATGTCAAAACTTCCAGGCGAATTTGTTCGTCTCTTTAGCTCGCATTTGTACTCAGCCGTGCAAATAGACATCGACCAGACGCGGATAGACTTGGTTAAATCTGATTAGCCCAAGTTTGATGTAGGCTATAGATAGGCTATAGACTTGGTTAGATCTGATTAACCCAAGTTGAATAATAGATAGACTATAGGCTTGGTTAAATCTGATTAACCCAAGTTTGATGTAGGCTATAGATAGACTATAGACTTGGTTAGATCTGATTAACCCAAGTTTGATGTAGGCTATAGATAGACTATAGGCTTGGTTAAATCTGATTAGCCCAAGTTTGATGTAGGCTATAGATAGACTATAGACTTGGTTAGATCTGATTAACCCAAGTTGAATAATAGATAGACTATAGGCTTGGTTAAATCTGATTAACCCAAGTTGAATAATAGATAGACTATAGACTTATTTCAGTCTGATTAGCCCAAGTTGATGTAGTGATAGAGCAGGGGCGTAGCGAGGGGGGGGGGGGGGGCGGGGGGTGCGGACCGCACCGGGTGACACCATTTAGGGGGGTTACACCAAGGAAAAAAATAGCAAAATATATAGAGAAAAACTCGAGGGGGGAGGGTGCAAATCGAAAACTTGAGGGGGGGTGGGGGGTGCAAATCGAAAGTTTGAGGGGGGGGGGGGGGGGTGCAAATCGAAAATTTGAAAGTTTGTCCCCCGGGAAGGGTCGCTACGCCTCTGGGGGGGGGGTGACACCCGACCTCGCTACGCCACTGAGATAGAGTATAGACTTGGTTATATCTGATTAGCTTAAGTTTGATATATAGATAGACAATAGTTTAAGGAAGATTAGTCCAAGTTTGATGTAGATATAGATTATTGATCAAGGAAGATTAGTCCTAGTTTGATGTAGATATGGATTATAGAGTAAGGAAGATTAGCCCAAGTTTGATGTATAGATAGATTATTGATCAAGGAAGATTAGGAGGGAGGTGAAGCAGAGTAGGGGATAAAGATTTAATCCATCTCTAGTTTTCTGTGCTTTGTCTTTCTTCACTATGTCTGTCTAGGGTGTATATATATATATATATATATATATATATATATATATATATATATATATATATATATATATATATATATATATATATATATATATATATGCACCTTAAGTTCTAAGACCTTCGAATCAATTTGTGCTTATTGATCGTATTAAAAGAAAATCGTATTGAAGAAGATCGTATTAAAAAGAACGTATTGAAAAAGATCATCTTGAAAAAGATCGTATTAAAAAAGATCATATTGAAAAAGATCATATTGAAAGAAAATGCAGCAACTGCTGGTCCAACTTTTGCTGCCTCTTCATTTGTAACAGAAGTGTTTATTTCTGTTGCTCAAAGATTCTCTTGTCGGCAGACGACATGACCCCCCATCTTGGCATCCAAACAATAAAGCGCGAGCTGGTTTTTTGCTTAGCCGACATTTTCTGTCTCGTCGGTATAATATCATGAGTTTGTATGAGCACGAGTTTGTGTAACTATGTAACTATGACGTTTGTGTGAGCTGAAACCCTGTCACATGTTTGTGTGAACCCTGTCACATGTTTGTGGGAACCCTGTCACATGTTTGTGTGAACTGAAACCCTGTCACGTGACCTAGGTAGGGGCGGTCCACATCTCGGCACATGGCCTTGAACTTGGAGGTCTTAGATAAACACGCCCCCCCCCCCCAACCTAAGCGTTATGGAAACGAGGTCAGAGAATGAAT